TGTAGAGTTTTCTATGTTGTTTTTCAGTTGCTCAGTCGTGTCCGACTCTTTGCGACCCCATAGACTGTAGCATGCCAGGCTTTCCTGTCCATCATCTCCTGGAGCTTGCTCAAACTTATGTCCATTAAGTCAGTGATGCCATCCAACCATCTCATCCTCTGTCATCCCCTTCTCCTCCTGCCTTCAATCCTTCCCAGTGTCAGGCTCTTTTCCAGTGAGTTGGCTCTCTGCATCAGGTGGCCAAAGTACTGGAGCTTCAGCTTTAGCATCAGTCTTTCCAATGAATGTCCAGGACTGATTTCCTTTAGGATTGACTGGTTGGATCTCCTCACAGTCCAAGGGACTCTCAAGAGTCTTCTCCAACACCACAGTTCAAAAGCATCAATTCTTTGGTTCTCAGCCTTCTTTATGGTCCAACTCTCACATCCATACATGACTACTGAAAAAACCACAGCTTTGACTAGATGGACCTTTGTTGGCAAAGTAATGTCTCTGCTTTTTAATACGGTGTCTAGGTTTGTCGCAGCTTTTCTTCCAAGGGGCAAGAGTCTTTTAATTTCATGGCTGCAGTCACTATCTGCAGTGATTTTGGAGTCCCAAAAAACAGTTAGATGAAATGGATTGGAATGAAAACTGATTTTTCCTCCCTGCTTTTGGAGAGAGTTTTATTGGCACACAGCATTCATGTCCACCATATCCTGGTGGCTTTTTGCAGCAGAGGTGAGCTACTACCACCAGCCAACCTCCAGGCCTTTGCAGAAGCTTTGCAGATGGCCCCACTGGACAGTTCCCAGCCTCCCAGAGACGTCTCCTGGGAACCTTCTTGATCATTTCAGAGCCTCACAGGTTCTCCATATGTGACTTTTCCCTTCCCACCTACGTCTACTTCTGTAATAACTGAAGTTCGATAATGGGTATGGATGAATTGTGCAGTGAACAATATTCTGCCCTATTCCAGCACATCTGGACACACCTTTGAGCCTGAGACCATGTCAGTGGTCCAGGCCTTGTATGACCTCCAACAGCCCTATACACGAGCTCAGTCACTCCCACTCTCACCCTAGAACACCCCAGACCTCAGGGGAGCTCAACCCTGAGGTTCCAGCCACCCCAACTCCTGCCAAGCCGAACAGAGGCCAGCTGTCCCCCCAAAGCCCTGCCTAGGCTGCAGCTCATGAGCAAAATGGATGTTGTTGTGCCACTAAGTTTTGGGTGATTTCCCGAGCAGCTAAGGCTCCTGGAACTGCCCGCTTTGTGGATGAGACATCTGAGACCTGGAAGGTCCGAGCGACTTTTCTGAGCACAGAGCGGAGCCCAAGCTGGTGGGTGCCAGGCCGTGACCTCACCCTCAGCTGCTGAGATGGGATTGACGCCCCAGGGCAGGAGTGGCTTCTATTAGTCCAGGATCCCCCTCAGAGGAGGGTGACTCAGTGCTGAGGGGACCCCTACCCTGGCCCCTGGTCCAGAGGGAAACCCTTGATGGGAGGGGGCAGGCACATTCCCCCAGCTTGAAGCCCTGACTGACGTCTCAGGAGACACACCTCTGACATCCAATTTTCTGTAGCTAATTTGCTAAATGCCAGTGAAATGCTCAAGCGTTCCTTATTGCTGGAGAGCATTCTCCACGTCTCGTCGGACTTCCTCATTACTTGTGTGACTATGACTTAATTGCCGGCCAGCCTCATTCATCTCCTGGAGGGAGACAGGGAGACAGACAGGGAGAGAGAGAGGGAGAGACTGAGAAATAGAAGGAGGGCAGCTCTGGAGACAGGACTACCCTGCATGCTCGGGATGTACCAGCAGACAGACTGTGTGCCAGGCACACAACGGGCAGCATCCGTCCCACACCCTGGCCCCAGTGACTGCTCACACTGCCCTCCCTCCAAGCTTTTCTGAAACTCTGGGCAAACTCTGGACCTGAAGGCCTTGGAGGCTGACTGTGCAGAGGGGCAGTCAGTGGGGGGCCACTCCTGGACCCAGGAAGGGGTCCCCTGTGTCCCGGGCTCACTGTATCTCAGTAAGTTAAGGGGCAGGACCACGGGACCTGCAAGAGATGCTGCATCCCTGTGTTTCTGCAGCAGGATGCAAATTCTATTTCAAGCTCCAACTCTGAGTAAGGCAGAAATGGGGTCTATGTTGGCCAGGGTGGCCCCTTTCCCCAGCGGTGTCAGGATGGAGGTGTGTGTGCCAGGGTAAGGGCCGGTAGAGAGAAGCAGCGCCTGATCCGGGAGCTGCCTCAGTGACCAGAGCTGAAGAGCCAGCAAGGAGGGAGGTGGCCCTGAGATTGGAGCCACAGGAAGCTGTCACCCTGAGCAGAGCCGCACCTCCCATGCGGCTGCCTGCGAGGAGCCTGGACTCAGGTCACAGGGGAAGGACTTGGTGGTCCCTTGATACACGGGGCACTACCTGTCCTGGCTGGCACCCCAAGAGGCATGTCCTTCCCACCAACCTGTCTGGAGGCCACCGGTCCTCTCTTCCCCACCGTGAGGCTCCTGTCTGCCCTGCTGTCCCCGGCGATCCTGGATGCTCCATCCAAGGTCCTCCACCAACCTTCCTTCTCTGGGGGTGTTTCCTGCCTTGCTCAGATCTCCCCGGGACCCTCACCAAGGTGGGGTCGGAGGGTCTCACCCTTCCTACTGCTAGGTGGGGTAGCAGGTGCAGGGACCCTCTTTCTCAGGAGCCCTCCAATGTCATGCACACTCCCTTCCCCAAGAACATCTCCATCCTGACCCTGACTGCCAAGTCTGGGGTCCTTGAAACTCTTTTGTGATGGACAAGCCCCTGGGAGGACTCCCCCAGGCACCTGAGGGCTCTGTTTCCACGATCCCAATTCACTGCAGGGAAGGGAAGTGTCCAGCCCCTCCGGAGGGGGAATGGACACCACTCAGTCCAAAGCCCCACTGTGAACCCCACTGGGGACTCTGATGGACCCCAACCCAGTGATCCCAGGAGATAGGATGCCCGGGGCCTGGGTCCCTCCTGGAGCCAGACAAAGGCCAGCCCTCGATTTGGACCAGGTTAAATCATCCATCAGATGCCAGACTCCCCGGAGTGGGCATGGCACTTCCTTCCTCCAGACCCCCAGCCTGGGTGCCTCTGCCCGGGTCCACTCAGGTTTCTGTTTCCTGCCTGAGGCCTGGGGCTGACCCAGCTTGTGGAGGCCACTCAACCTTAGAGGGAAAGGATGGCAGAGGCTCTGCCCTTGTGGGTTCCCAAGTGGGGGCTTCTGCTTCTCAGATGCCTTCCCACGGGCTTCATCATGAAGCAGGAGGGGTCAAGATACACACCCATGGGGCAATGGAAAGTTCTGGAACTAGATACAGGCAGTGATCACACACCCATGAATGCATAAATGCCACAGAGCCATGCATTTTAAAGTGCTTAATTTTATGCTTTGTGGACTTCAACTTTTAAAATTTAGTACACCTCAAATATCAGATGGGGCATACCTACACCAAAAACGTATTTGTTGTATATCTGAAAATTTTAAAAGCTGACTGTAAAAACTCTGACCCAAGCCAGGAAATAACATCCCCAGTGCCACAAATAACATGCCTACATGGGGTGGGGGTGGGGGGGCACACCCAACCTCTCCTAGAGTGTGGGCAGCACATGGGATGTATTCGTTCTAGGAGTACAGAGACGGGGAAAGAGAAAAGACCCCAGCAGGATACCCCGCCCTCCTCCTCTCCAACCCTGCTCAGTTCTCACCACCCGCTCACTGCTCACCTACAGCCACTCAACCAACCTCATGGCCCCTGGGAAGGGCACTCTCAACCCCTTTCTCCAACAGGAAACAGGAACCTGCCCAGGGTCAACCATCACGAAGTGCAGCTGCCTGGGGGTCAGAGTGGCTGTGGGTGGGCATCCCCGAGCTGCCAGAGTGAGGAACTGCGGGGAGCACAGGAGGCTGAACCCAGGTATGACCTAGAAAACGTGTTCGCATTTCATAATTTATTTAAAATTTTTACATACTGCTATTTTTCAAGAAAAGCGAGACTCAGGCCTGTCCAGCACTGCCCCCTGGTGTCCTGATGAGGCCATGGCAGCCTCTGGCTCACTGGACACTCTTGGTGCCAGGCTGTCCGGGACTCTGGAAACCACTCAACACGAATGTGCATGAGGGCCCCCAACCTCGAGGCAGGCCCTGTGCCCCAGGGACAAGACAATCTCCAGGGCAGGGAGGAGCGTCCCTGGTTCTCTCAGGACAGCGGGGCCGTGCCGTGTGCTGCTCCCAATGGGGTGCTGAGCGCACACTGGGACCCTGGGCTGGCAGTGAGGGTCCCCGGAGACCAAACTGGCTGGACTGTTCCCTGCTGTGACTCCCAGGGTGCCTGCTGTGAGCTCCCGCCCTGCTCCTCTGGACGAGGGTGCAGGCGGAGGCAGGGGAGGGGTGTGCCCAGAACATGGTGGGGACAGGAGGCTGCTGGGGGCAGTGAGGGTCTCTCTCTGCTGGGCTTGAGAGCCACGGCCCGCTCCCTGCCCCGGCCCCAGATCACTCAGTCCCTGCCACACATAAGCTAGCACCAGTTGTGTGCTTGAATAAACCAGTTTCTTAAAGAAATGGGGTCACTGCTGTAGATGGAGAACCAGGCATCCATGGTAAAACAGAATAAAAAAATAATAACCACCCTGGAAACACAAGCAGCTGCTGGCCCGTGGCCAAGGTGCCTGCTCTGCTCAGGGTGTGGAGGGGCTGGAGGGATGAACCAGCATGCTTGTAACTGCCCCTGGAGGCAGGGACTGCTCCTGTATCATCCCCTGCATAAACCCCCACCTGTGTCCCCACCAGGCTGCAGAGAATGGAGGGTCCCTGGGTAGCACGTTCCAGCGAGGCCAGCAACACACTGCAGTCATGAGGGCATGCTGCCAGCACTGACCCCAGCCCCACAGGCACAGGAACGGGGGTGGGCTTCCCTAGACCCCCACCCACCAGCCCACCCGAACAGCTCTCCTATGAAACCACTTATGGGGGGTGGTGGGGAGCAGGGTGCATAGGGTCAGCTCAGCGTGAAGTGCTGGGCACAGAGGTCCTCCCGCCGGCCCAGCAGGCCCCGTGCTGGGATGAACTCCAGTGGCACCGACTCAGGCCCCTTCTTCTTCAGGTCCCGCTCAAAGATCTGCAAGGAAAGGATGGACAGTCAGTCTGCGCTGTGCGTTCACGGCCACCCCACCCCCCCATCTCCCCACCCTCTCCACTGCAGCCCTGCCACATGCCCTCACCTCAAAGGCGGTGACCTCCAGCAGTGGGGCAATGCTAACCTCGGGCACAGACAGTGCCTGGTTGATGGCGCTGGCCGCCTTGGACACCTCAGGGTGGTAATGCTGCTGGAGGGCCTGGAGGGACACATGGGATTTCACCAGCCTTCCTCGGGCAGCCCTGAGCAGTGGACATCTCAGCGCTTCAGCAGCCCAGGGAGGGGGACAGAGTGGAAACTCCAGACAGAGACAAAGACTCCCCTGGGAAACCAAAGTGATGGGGCAAGATGGGATCCTGGAGGACAAAAGCCAGAGGAAGGAGCTGGGCAGACACACAGGCGGAGCTGGGCGGGTGGCCAGGGGGAGCGCCCCAGTGGGGGTGGCTCTAGGAAGCTCAGGGTGTGATCTGCGCAGTCAGGGTGCCCTCACCTGCAGCTCCCACAGGGAGCTCTCCAGGGCTCGGCTCTGGGCCGGGTCCTCCTCTGTGGGGTCATAGGGGTCGGCGTCCAGCTCTAGAACAAGAGCCAGGGTTGATCTCCACTCGTCCCCACGTACTGGCCTCACGGTCAGGCCTCCTCCACCTCCAGCCGCACTCACCAGGGCCCCGGGGCCGATGCACGAGGACCCGGCAGGCCGGGTGTCTGCGCAGCAGGTTGCAGATGAAGGGCAGGACCATGAGCAGGGCCTCGGGGGGTGCTGTCAGGGCCAGGCGGGCCAGGCGCTTGGCGAAGGCAGCCACCAGGTAGGCGGGCAGGTGCCTGGGCAGGGCCGTGGGCGTGAGATCCTGCTGCCCCCTGCACCGGCCCCAGCTCCCCTTCCCACCCCGCAAGCTCGGTGGGGCCCGGGTGGCCCCTGTCACACTGAGCCAGGCCGGGTGTCCCCCAGTTCCACCCCCACCCCTGTACTCACGAGGACGACAGGAAGAGGTCAGCCAAGTGGAAGAAGCGGGCCCGGTACTTCACGTGGAAGACGGACGGATCAAGGAGACCATACAGCTTCCGGTAGAAGTCAGGGTACTCCCTAGAGGGTGAGGTAAGTGAGGGCAGCACGCATGGGGAGAAGCCACAGAGAGGATAGATCGGAACCCCGGCCCGGGGGCCTCCCTGGTGGCTCAGTGGTAAAAAAAACCCGCTTGCCAATGCAGGAGACTCGGGTTCGATCCCTGGTCCAGGAAGATCTTGCACGCTGTGAGGCAACTAAGCCCATACACCATGACTATTGAGCCTGTGCTCCATAACAAAAGGTCACGGCAACTAGAGAGTAGACCCTGCTCGCCTCAACGAGAGAAAAGTCCGTGTGGCAATGAAGAGCCAGCACAGCCAGAAAGAGATAAATTAAGTTTTTAAAAAAATGCCAGATCAGGTCAAGTAGAGCTAAAAGGCCCACAAACCCCCAGGCAGACACTCACAGGTTGTGTTTATGAATCAAGATGAAAAGTCCATTCAAGGCCAGCAGGCTGACGGCTCCACCTACAGATAGATACAGCAGTGAGGCCCCAACCCAATAGCACCCCGACTCCAGGGATGAGATTCCAGCAAACCCAGAGCCCATCTGCCAGGTGGGAGGTAGGAAAAAACCTCCAGCACAAATACTGCTGACCAGCTGGGCCCCTGCTCTCAACCCTGCTCGATGCCAGCATCCAGGAACACAGCGCACCACCCCATGCCCGGTCCCGCTCTGGGCCCGCCGGAGTCTCCTGCTCACCGATGTCGTAGGCACGGGTGAGGAAGTCGATCATGAGGCTGGGCTGCGCCAGGTGGGGCAGGATGGAGTCGTGCATGATCACCAGCACCTTCTTGCAGACGCGGAGAGGCAGCTGCGGGAAGCAGCAGGTCAGGGTGCCGGCTGCCCCATTCGGAGAGCCCCGCACTGGAGCCCTGCTCTGGGTCTCTCCCCCTCTCCCTACCTGGTGCTTGAGGAAGCGGAGCCACATCTGCTGAAAGGCCTTCCTGTGTTCCTGCAAGGAAGCAGCAGGGGTTGAGGTCGCCCATGTTTTCAATCCCGCCCCACCCTCCTCCTGCCTCTGGTAAGTAGGAGACAGGATCTAAGGAGTCGCAGCTAGAGAAAACCTCCCTCGGGGCCACAGGGTTGGGGTTCACAGCCCACCCTGGGACAACACTCAGCACCCAAGAGGTCTGGGCAGGCTGCCTCTGACCTCCGGGAACCGTGCCTGTAGGCATCCTCTCCCCTGTGGGTCCTCCTATGACCCCGCTGTCAAGGCTAGGAAGGAGGTGCTGGCCCAGGATCAGGTGGTTCCCAGGAAGGCCAACCACCCATCTGTCCAGGGAGTCTCACCTTCAGATGAACGACCTTCCACTTGTCTGACAGCTCTGTAAGGAATGCAAGGGGTCACCAGATGTGTGACCCGGCCGGGCCCCTCCTGCCCACCCTCCCACCCCCGACACTCACCTGTGTGTTTCACATAGAAGCTGGAGAGGGTGCCCTCCTGGCGGGGCAGGCTCACGGAGGACAGCAGCATGAAGGCATTGTTCCAGAAAGCGAGGGGCACCTGCCAGAGGCCTGGCCTGAGCACCTGGATGCTGCATGCCCACTGCCTCCTCCCTCCCTGCTCCCAGGGACCCAGGCGGCTCACCTCAGGGCGCCCATCGGTGGCCCGGGCCACAGTGTCGGAGGCGGCCTGCATCGTGTGGTAGCGGATGTCGTCGTGTTCCAAATACTCCCGGAACTGGGAGAGGAGCAGGGAGCGGTCCTCCTCTGGAGATAGGAGGCCTCCCACCACCAACTGCATGTGGGGAGCGGGGCAGGGCAGTGACCATCTCTCCCACCCCCGGGACAGGCAGCCCAGGGGTGGCGCTCACAGAGCAGAGTCTAGGGCAGCTGCGAGAGTCCCCTCAACCCCACAACCCACAGATGGCTGGGGGAGACCCCGAGACTCACCCTGAAGAGCTGGTGGGGGAACAGATAGTTGCCTTCCCACTTGGGCTGCTCCAGCGGGTGCTCACCCTCCAGCTGCACAAACTTCATGAGTGTGCTGAGGGCCAGCTCCTAGGAGGAGGGGTGGCAAAGGGACCACGCTGCACACCCACCACACGTTACCCCCTGCAGACAGGCGCTTAGACCTGAATGCCTGCAAAACCACACTCCAGGCAGAGTCAGGAGACAGAACCCACAGCCCAGGAAACCAGCCACAGAAAGAGAGAATATCCTTACCCAGAGGGGGGTCTGCAGTCACAGCCCCAGACCCCTGCTGTGCAGAGAAGGTGGGGCAGGGGCGGTACAGGCAAGAGGCAAAGCCAACCACCCCAGCTCACCTTGACCTGAAAGGAGGGGTGAGCCAACAGCTCCCCCAGGCGGTTGCAGCAGCTCTGGTACCGGTGCCGCATCCACACCTTATATTTGAGAGTGGCCCCGCGGGACCCTGTAGGCAGGACAGGGTGGTCAGCCCACACCCTGACTGGTGCCAGCCCCAACCTCCCCCTGCCTTCTACTCTGGGCAACCAGGGAACGAGTGGAAACGAGTCACTGTGGCTCTGGACCTGGGGTGGGACCAGCACGTTCCCACAGGCAGGCAGGGCAGGTCCTACTTGGACCTACTTAGGCCCTCTCTCTTCACCCCAAGACCCAGACATCCCAAGGACCAGCCACATAAACCTAAATCTTTGTGGTACTTACAGTCAACACTCCACAACGTCAAATCCCACAAGAGGCATGAGACACAGTTACACCCCACCCATCCTTTACTTAAACTCGGCTTCAAAGTCTGTATTACCCATCCCTTTCCCCAAATACAATCCCCTGATCCCACCCACCTGCATGGCCCAGGATGGAGTTTGGGGTGGGTTTGGGGGGCTCATTCCATGTCAGCAAAGTTCCTCTCCAACCCTGTCAAGACTAGGCCCTCCTGGACACTCACCTGTCAGGACCATCTCCTCAGAGGGCAGTGGGCCCACAAACAGTTCTCCTCGCGCCAGCAGGGCCCCAAAAAGTCGGCTGCATGCATGCACCGCTTCCTGGATCTCCTCCTGGTCCTCAGACTGTGGGGAGATGCCGGTGTTCGCAGGGTGCCCCGTCAGGAACTGTGTCCCCTGCTCCCTTTCCCGACCAGGACCTCAGCCCCATCACCCTCCACCCCTGATCCCGGCGTGACTCTCCCATCCCACCTCTGCCAAACCCCCCCGACGCCCTGCAACCTAGAGCCCTGCAAGGCTGGAGAAAACTTCCAGTATAGCCCTGGACTCCACCTCACAATTATCTGACCCCATCTGAGACCAAGTCCCACTTCGTCCGAACCCGAGGAGACCCCCATTCTGGTCTCTAACCCGCGGACCCGGCCGCGACCCCAGCCACACCACACATGCCCCCACCTGCAGAACGGCCAGGATGTCGAACACGGCGTTGGCCTCGCCGCGGCTGGCCAGCACCGCTTCCACTAGGTGGCCCAGCGCCCGTCGCGCGTCCCCGGGGCCGACGTCCCCCTCCATGCCGCCACCCCACGCGGGACAAACCAGACTCTTCGCTCCGCCGCCTGGCGCGCCCCTGACGTCACGCCCGGCCCCGCCGTCATCGCGACGCGCCGGGCAGGAGAGGCGCGCGGTGGCCGGCATGGCGCTCTTCCACGTCGCGCGGTACGCTGGCCCCGAGGCGGCCGGGGCGGAGGCCGAGGCAGACAGCCGGGCTCGCGCGCTGCTGGAGCGGCTGCAGTGCCGGGCCCGAGAGCGGCAGCTGCAGAAGCAGCCGCCGCAGGGAGCGCCCGAGGAGGCCGCGCAGAGCGCGCCGGCGGCTGGGAAGCGGCGGCGACGGCCTCGCAGAACTCGGAGGCGCGAGGGCGGCAGGGAGCCGGGGAGCCCGCCCGCGCCCCCCAGCAAGCGGCAGAAGACCGACGACGAAGACGAGGAGAAGGGCGCAGGTGGGGCCTCGCGGGGCGGGGCGGGGCGGGGCGGGGCCCTGAGACTCGGGGCCGCGTGGTGCTGACAGCTGCCCCGGCCCCGCTTCTGCCTCGCAGAGAGCAGTGAGGAGACACCGGCGGAGAGCAGCGTGGGCGCCGAAGCCGCACATTCGCGGGAGAGCCCGGGCGGACCGCCCCCCGAAGAGGCCTCTGGGCCCCTAACCCACGCCCTGGTGCTCGGGGGCTTCGGGAGAAGCAAGGTGCCAAAGGTGAGCGGCCCGGGGGAGGCTGCAGAGCTGGGGTGACTGTCGTTAACGCAGCTCGTGTTCGTGGAACTGGGGGACGGTGCCTGCACCTGGTGGGTGTCAGGTTTGTGTTCAGTGAGTGGATTCCTGAGTAGACGAACTACTGACGCCTCAGCTGTTTTGTCTGCGGTGGCTACTAATCGTTTGAGTTCTGTGCAAGCTCAGCATTTCTACTTTCAGTTTTAAAAGTTCTCTTTTTTCATAATCTATAAGATCGACTTGGTTTCTATGCTGTTGTCACAGAGATCTCTAACCAGCTTCGCTTCCTTGGTGCACATTTAAGGAGGTTCTACAGTGCTCACTTGCTTACCAGACAAACAGGAGATTCTGCCTGGGAGTTGCAGCTTTATCTTAGCACAAGAGATTTCAGTAAATAAATAACGGAGCTAAAGGGTGTTTGGATGGTGACAGTCACTAGAAAGAATAAGAGAGGTTTGGCAGAGTCCATGTGAAGAGATCCACTTTTTTTTTTCTTTTAGTTTTATCAGAGTATTGTTGATTTACAGCATTTTGTTCATTTCTGCTGTATAGCAAAGTGAGTCAGTTATATATTTGTTGTTAAGTCGCTCAGTTGTGTCTGACTCTTTGCCACCCCGTGGACTGTAACACGCCAGGCTTCCCTGTCCTTCACCATCTCCCAGAGCTTGCTCAAACTCATGTCCATTAAGTTGGTGATGCCATGCAATCCGTCTTGTCCTTTGTCGTCCCCTTCTCCTGCCTTCAATCTTTCCCAGCATCAGGGTCTTTTTTAATGAGTCAGCTCTTTGCATCAGGTGGCCAGAGTATTGGAGTTTCAGCTTCAGCATCAGTCCTTCCAATGAATATTCAGGACTAATTTCCTTTAGGATTGATAGGTTGGATCTACTTGCAGTCCACGGGACTCTCAAGAGTCTTCTCCAACGCCACAGTTCAAAAGCATCAATTTTTTGGCACTCAGCCTTCTTTATGGTCCAATTCTCACATCCATACATGACTAGTGGAAAAACAGTACCCTTGACTATATGGAGCTTTGTTGGCAAAGTAATGTTTCTGCTTTTTAATACGCTTTGTCATAGCTTTTCTTCCAAGGAGCAAGCATTTTATATCCATTCTCTTTTTGATTCTATTCCCATATAGGTTATTACAGAGTGTGGAATAGAGTTTCCTGTGCTGTAGAGTAGGTTCTTATTGGGAGATCCATGTTGAGTTGGGATCTGTCTTTCTTAAAGACAGAAATCAGCCAGTTAAGATGGAGGAAGAGGGACAGGGAAGTGTGTGCCAGGCAGAAGGTCAGATTGGAGCAAAGGCCCTGAGTTAATAATGAGCTTAGTGTATAAAAAGCATGAAGGGGATTGTATACTTGGGGGGAGAGAAACTGCCAGGTCATGCACTGGAGCTGTGGCTCAGAGCACAGATATTTTTAGAGCATGAATGTTATCGTAGGTGCGAAGGTAAGTCCCTGGGTGGTTGGTTTGGCTCAGGAAGTGGCGCATTTTGGATTGTATTTCTCAGTTCCTTTAAACCTCACATGGAGAGTGAGTTGTGGGGGTCATGGAAAAGCTGGGAAAAGCTGGGCACTCTCTGATGGTCCAGTGATTAGGATTCCACACTTTCACTGCCAAGGACCTGGGTTCGATTCCTGAGGTTTCAGTCCGTGAACAACAATTCAGATCCCAAAAGCCGTGCAGAAAAAAAAGAGCTGGGAGAAGTTTGAAGCCTTGCCTGTTTCTACAGCCTCTTTAGCCTGAATGTTTTGAGTTCTTGGCTTCCCAGGCCTTGCCCAGCTAGCTCTGGAGTATTCACCTGGTCTTTCTCTTCTGTCCTTTGTGATAGGTCCAGCCTTTCCTGCCAGTGTGGTTGGCTCAGCCAAGCTGCGTTGGAAAGAATGTAACTGAAGGCTTGGTGCCTATCGAAGACATCCCTGAAGTCCACCCAGACCTGCAGAAGAAGCTGCGGGCACAGGGCATCTCATCCTACTTTCCAGGTGCCCAACCCTGGGCAGGTGGACAGGGGACGGGGGTGGGGTTCCTTCTAGAGCATGTTCAGGGCCATGCAGGGCCTCACTCAGCAGCTGCCAACACAGGCAGCCCCTGCACACGTCCAGTGTCAGGTGTGGACTTGGTCTCAGCACCTTCAGCCTCTTCGACACTCCTGGAGGCCCTGGTGCCAACCCTGAGGGAGAGCCCAGCCTAGAGGTCACAGACGGGGAAGAGGCTATTTCTGGCCTCAGAGCCTGTGCTAATCCTGGGTGTCCCTGCACAGACATGACCTGCCTCTCGCCCTTCCTTGTCCAGTGCAGGCTGCAGTGATTCCTGCTCTCCTAGAGAGCACAGCCAATGGGTTTCTGATCAGCAGAGGCGGCTACCGGCCTAGCGACCTCTGTGTTTCTGCCCCAACGGGCAGTGGGAAGACCCTGGCCTTCGTCATCCCTGTGGTGCAGGTGAGCATAAGGACCCCTCACCCTCCGGTCGGGCATGCAGTCAGGGAGCGACCCTGCTGACACGGGCGGTCGTCCTCCTCTGCAGGCCCTGCTACATCGAGCTGTGTGCCAGGTTCGTGCCCTGGTTGTGCTGCCAACCAAGGAGCTGGCCCAGCAGGTATGTGGACCCCATGCCTGGAGGTCAGATCCAGGGTCTTTGTTGCTGCAGGGGGGCCTCAGATCACACTGGTGATGGCCGCTTCTCTCCCAGGTGAGCAAAGTGTTCAACGTCTACACGGATGCCACTCCTCTTCGGGTGACCCTGATCACTGGGCAGAAGTCGCTGGCTAAGGAGCAGGAGAGCCTCGTGCAGAAGACGTAGGTCCCACTGGGCTGTGGGCACCTCGGGGAGGCAGGCTCACTTCGTGCAGCTGAGCTGGAGCCATCTGGCCCCAGGGGAGCGGGAGCGACTGCCGTCCACAGGGTCCCCATGTAGGAGGGGTCAGTGTCAGGGGACCCTGCTGAGCCACCCTCTGCTCCACAGAGCAGATGGCTTCCGCTGCCTGGCCGACATCGTGGTGGCCACCCCTGGCCGCCTGGTGGACCACGTCGACCAGACCCCAGGATTCAGCCTCCAGCACCTCCGCTTCCTGGTAGGTCGCCCACTTGGAGGGAGCTTCGCCCACTAGAGCTGAAGCTGACCTCAGCTTCCTGTCTTCTGCAGATCATTGATGAGGCCGACCGCATGATCGACAGCATGCACCAGTCCTGGCTACCGCGGGTGGTGGCTGCCGCCTTTCCTAGTGAGGGCCCCAAGGATCCCTGTGCTGTGCTCCAGAGAACGCAGCCCCGGGTGGTGACTGCTGCCAGGTATCGAGCCCTGAGCTTGCTCTGCTCCCTGCAGTGGGACTGCCAGTGGGGCTGCCCTGAGCTGGTCCCTCGAGCCGTCTCCCATCTGAGATGCTCCCCACCAGGCTGGAGGGGCTGCTGGTTGGGCTGTAGCTGCTTTTCCAGTACCCCATTCCCTTTCAGCATGTGCTGTCCCCAGATGCCCCTGCAGAAGCTACTCTTCTCAGCCACCCTTACCCAGAACCCCGAAAAGCTGCAGCAGCTTGGCCTTTATCAGCCCCGGCTCTTCTCAACGGGGTCAACACACAAGGGCCCCAGAGACCCCGACATTGACGTGGACATGGACTCGGGTGGGAAGTACACCTTCCCCGCAGGGCTCACGGTGAGCAGGGCACTGGGGGTGGGGAGGGGGTGCATCTAGGCACCCAGGCCCTGGCCAACCCCGTGCCATCCCCCACAGCATCACTACGTGCCCTGCAGTCTCCGCTTCAAACCATTGGTCGTCTTGCATCTGATCTTGGAAATGAACTTCTCACGGGTCCTCTGCTTTACCAACTCCCGTGAGAACTCACACAGGTGAGGCCTGGCTGCCCAGGGTGGGGCAGGAGCGGAGGCAGAGGTGGTTCTGGCCCCAGCCCACTGGGCTCTGGCTTCTCCCACCCAGGCTGTTCCTGCTGGTCCAGGCTTTCGGGGGTGTGACCGTGGCCGAGTTCTCCTCCCGCTATGGGCCTGGCCAGAGGAGGAGCATCTTGAAGCAGTTTGAGCAGGGGAAGACCCAGCTGTGAGTACCTGGCAGGCAGGCCAGGTCCTGCTCTGGGGAGGGGCGCTCACTCGGGTCAGCTGGGCTCCTGAAGCTCTCCTGGTGCAGGAAATGCGCCTCTGGACTTCATGGGAGTGTCCCCTGCCGGGGGTGTTCCCCGCTCCTGGCCTCGAACAGGGCCCACAGCCCCTTGTATCCCACCAGTCTCATCAGCACTGACGCCACGGCCCGCGGCATCGACGTGCAGGGCGTGCAGCTGGTGGTCAACTACGATGCCCCCCAGTACCTGCGGACCTACGTGCACAGGTGCGGGCCTGACCCTGGGTCTGGGGGCAGGGGTGGCCTGGAGAGGAACCACAGTTCGCTCAGATCCCTGAGGGGCTGGGGGCCAGCACTCTGCAGCAGCTGTGCTTGGTTTCAGGGTTGGAAGAACTGCCCGGGCAGGAAAATCAGGACAGGCCTTCACGCTGCTCCTTAAAGTGCAGGTCAGTCCTCGTGGTCTCAGCAGGAGGCCGGGGCTGGGTTCAACCCGGGGCACCAGGGGTGGGGCAGGGTGGGCGGAGATGAACCTCTTCCCCTCCTGTGCTTCCCTCCAGGAAAGGAGGTTTCTCCGCATGCTTGAGGAAGGTGGGGTGCCCGGGCTGGAGCGGCATGACACCCCCAGCGAGCTCCTGCAGCCACTGGTCCCGCGGTACGAGGAGGCCTTGTCCCTGCTGGAGAAGGCCATCAAGGTGAGGGGCCACCCACGGGGGCTCGTCTCTGGGGGAAACCCGAGGTGGAGGGAGGAGATGGGGCGGGGCAGCCCACAGCCAGGCTCTTTCTGAGCAGGCGCGCGGCATCTCAGCCTTGGAGGGGCAGGGCTGGTGCAAGGAGTGAGGGGAGGTGGTGTGGGCCAACCCTGTCTCCCCTCCTGCAGGAGGAGCGGAAGCAGAAGGCAGCCTAGGCCAGGACTGGGGACACCAGCGAGGGCGCCCTCCTTCCTGGAAAGATCCTGAGCAGTGGCTGCCAGATGCCTGAGCAGGAGACAGGGATTCCTCAGTGACAAGAGTCTCGGTCCCCAAGTACTCTGCTGCTTCAGGCCAGGCCTCGGGACACACATGAGGCTTGGCCCAGGCCCAAGACCGGCAGAGGGGCACAAGGTCAGGTCAGCTTCCCGTCAGGTGGTCTTCCTGGAAATAAGGCTCCAGTGAAGCTGTTCACACTCGCCCAGAACTGACGGGGTGGTGTCTGCCATGCGTTTGGCTGTAAGTTGGGGGTCAGCCTCGAAGTGCCTTCAGGAATGCAGTTCTTCTAAGGATGTGAGCCACCACCCCGAGTGGGAGAGGTGGCCCTGGGTCCCTCACTCTTGGGGCGAAGCACTGGCCACTTGGTAGCCATTGCCTGAGAGGCATTGCAGAGACCAGAGGACACGCTGTGTGGTCATCAGTGCTTTACTTCATGATTATTCATGTGAGATGAACATCTAGAAAATGGCTTCGGAGCACCAGCCACTGGCTGTGAACAAGCCTCATTTCCAAGACTCATGTGCTAACGTTAAATAAAGTGTTAAACTGGGGACGAACTGTGGCTTCTCATCTCTGCCTGGACACGTGTCAGTTGTTCTGGCAGAGCAGCAACCCAACCCACGAGTCCTGGCGTCCCAAGTGCGCGCTGTCACTGCATCAGGGAGGCAGTGGCTGCTACCTGCAGCTGCACTGCTTTCTGCAGAAAGTCCCTGGGAGCACAGGGGCCTGCTGTCTGGCTGTGGTGAGCCTGTGTGTTGGAGGGACACGATTACAGGGGGCTTGGCTCACACCTTCCTGAGGAGCTGGAACCAGTCTGCACAAGTGGCGGGGGGGGGGGGGGGGGCGGGGGCGGGGGCGCACAGTTGTAGCCAGTGGTGAAGCAGAAGCCTCTGAGTCACTTGTCATGAAACATTAGGTTGGATATGTCCAGTTTATTGAAAAAAAGTGCCCAAAATTAACCTGAGTCTGTTTCTGATAAATAAACAGCCCCTGCTGACTAGCTTTTGCTCACAGAAGGTTGACTGGAATCAACTTCCAGGAGGTGGAATGGGGAATGCCGTAGACCCTCTCCCTAACAAAACTACTAGCAAAATCACAAAAACATAGCCACTTAGAGTCTAGAGATTGTCCTAAGGGCAGATAGCAAATGGAGAAATTTTCTCTAAGAAAATCCAGACAAGGGCCAGCTGTGTTTGAGCTCCTGCACCACCCCACCTCCCACCCCAGCCCAGCATGGCGGAGGCTCCCCTCCCGGTGGGTTCGGCCGACAAGCCATCAGAAGGTGCCTGGTGTCACTGGTCACCCAGGAGGTGCACACCAGACACAGGCCACCCCCCGCAGCAGTCAGCCGGGACAGCACAGGTGTGGCACGGACACGGAGACGGCCCCGCATGCTGGCACTGCTGGTGGGTGTGACCCCAGTCCCACACCTGGGCACACGCCCCAGAGAATGAACGTGTGTGCATGCAGGACAGTGTTCCTCCTAACAGCCAGGGAGTGGAAACATCCCAGGTGTGCATGACCTGATGAATGGATGAGAACACGGTGTGCGCGCACTGGAATAAAAGGAGTGAAGTGCTGGCGTGGGCTGGGGAGGGGCAGGCAAGGGCAGTGGCTGGTGGTGGGTGCAGGGCCCCGTGGTGATAGGATTATCGGAAATCCTGGGTTGCCCCTCAGCTTGCCCTTTTCTTTACATTCAGACACGCTTATATCAGAAGAAGGTGACTAAAGACAATAGCTGAGCCTGAAAGTTTTATAATAAATGCTAACAGGACAAAAAATTCCAGTATCATGTATACTGAGTATTGTGGAATGGCCAGGCTTGCCCTGCTCCCCACTGTCCTAGGGGCCCCGAGCCTATCCACAAGTTCTGGGAAGGGGTGCAAGCGGAGGGGAGGGTACGCCTGCAGGGATACGGGTGGAGGCTCTGGGTCAGGTCAGCAGAGAGGGCGGGAGGGCGGGAGGCCAGGAGGCGTCAACCGGGGGCCAAGGGTGCCATGTGCTGAGGGCTCCATGCAACTGTGCCCCTGAGCAGTGGGAGAGTGGGGAGGGGGCCTGAGTCCTGACCTGCTGGCATCCTCACTTCAAGGAAGTAGCCAAGTGACCACAGGAAACTGGACATGGCTTGCCTTAGACTTCACTCTGAACTTGGAGATAGTTGACCTGCAGCAGTGCCTGCACCTGCTGGGCCCCAGGGCCCTGGGTGTCTGGGAGACGGGAGGGAACAGTTCTTCAGGTGGGCTGGAGGTACAGGTCACTTTTTGGTACTGGGTTTCAATAGTGACCTGCTGGGCATTTTATCTGGAATAAAAAAAGACTTCAGGAAAGTGAAGTAGGAGGGATTAACAGTGTAGTAAACCAATTAAACTCATAGAAAAAGATTTGTCATTACCAGAAGCAGGGACTGGAGATGGTCAAAAGGTACAGACTTCCATTTATTAGCTAAATAAGTACCAGGGATGTAATGTACATGACAAGTATAGCTAACACGCTATAGGTTATATATGACATGTATGAAAGTTGTTGAGAGTAGATCATAGACTTCTCTGGTGGTCCAGTGGCTAAGACTCCACACTCTCAATGCAGGGGACCTGGATTTTATCCCTGGTTGGGGAACTAGATCCCACACGCCATAAGTAAGCGATCCTGCATGTTCTAACTAAATCCCGCATGCTACAGTGAAGATCAAAGATCCTTTGTGCTGTAACTAAAATCTGGCATGACCAAATATATAAATTATTTTAAAAAGAGTAAATCTTGAATTCTCACCATAAGGAAATTTTTTTTCTATTTAATTTTCTATCTACATGAGATGTACGTTCACTAAACAGTGTGATAATCATTCCATGGTATGTGCCAGATCATTATGCTGTACACAGTGCTGTATGTCAACTACATCTCAATAAAACTGGGAGAAAAATGGAAGAGGGTGGGAACGTGGCCAACCAGCAGTGGCCTTGGGCCCCCCCAGCAGCAGGGGGGCTGGCGGGCAGTGAGCTCACAAAGGGTCTCGGGGGACCTAAGACCCCAGAACTGCGCCCCAGGGCTTAGGAACTGAGCACGCTTCAGGCCGCCCCCAGAGCAGGGGGCCTGGTGGGGACCCACGAGTCCAGCAGCTGTGCTGGCGGTTATCTGACGTCCCTGGGCAGGCTGGTCGGCCCTCCTGTGTGACCCCTGGGTCAGGCCAGAACACAGCGTGACCTCAGCGCAACCACTCTGCTGCCCTCGCCCACTCAGGGGTGCAGGGCAAGGATGTGGAGCGAGGCAGCTCCGCCAGATTGGGGGAGGGAAGGCAACAGCAGGTCCTGTCATCCAGGAAAGACCCAGGTGCTGCCTCTTGGCTGGAGCTGGGGGAGGTACTATACCCTGGGGCAGCAAAGGCTCCCTCCTGCTAAAGAACAGTCTAGAATGTGCCCACAGGTGCTTCTGGGAGCTTTCCTTGGCAGGTGTGTGAAGCGGGTGCCCTGGCCTGCCAGCTTCCCCTCCCCCAGCACATCGACACCTTCTGATACAAGAGACAGAAGAGGATGGCGAGGCTATGGCCACAGCTCTGAACACCTGTCTGTGAATCCACATCTCCACTCAGAGCATCACGAGAGTGTCAGGCATGAAAAGGCAAAGGAGGGGGCTGTCGGGTATCACCCAACACTCCATCTATGACTGGACATTTGTCATCACCCTACAAAACTATGTGACCACACAAGTCCTAAATAACCAAGTGTCCAGTTCATGCTCCCCTCTGTGAATCCCTATCCCCGTCCCACTCCCCCACAGATCTAATCCTAACATTTCTTTTGGAATTATTTTATAGACACCAGATCATGTGTCTCTGCAATAGAAATGTGCTCAAAAACTGACCACAGACTCTTAAGTACTCAAAAATAATCTTCTGGATTGATACTCTGGTACAATTATTATTGGTATGTTAGTAATCTAACTGACAAGTGTACTATGGTTATAGTAAATAACTACTAAATATAAAAAGTGAAATCTAACAGATGGAGAGGGCTGTTCTATTCTTCAATTAGTTTCTAGATCCACAAGATTCAATGTCAACTCTACTGTTTTCCAATTTACAGATCAAAACACCCAAAAAAATCCCATCCCCAAAAATAAACTGATGGGATGAGAAAGAACTTTTGTTGTTGAAACGTTCCTCAATCCTTTGCTCCCTTTCTGAGCTCTCGGGTCTGTGGCCAAAAGCCGCGTCCAGACCAATGCCCTCCCAGCTGGAAGGACGAGTCCTGCAGGTGGAGAAAGAGCAGAAGCCACCACCTGGCTGGAAGCAGCTACAGCCCCGGCCCCAGCCCACGAGAGCATCCGTCCTGACCTGTGCCCACAGAGGGCACCTGCGGGCACAGCAGGCAGAGGAACGGACGAGGGGTGTGAAGGCTGCAGGGGCCACTCCCCTGAAGCCATCAGGGAGGCACTCCTCGGAGCCTCTGTTTATCCCAACACCAGAAAGAACCTTCTGGTTCCCAGAGTTACCACTGAGAATTTAGCCAGGTTTTCTCCACACCCCCTCAGTCACTAATTTTCTAATGGACTGTTTACTTTCCTATGAAGTTTTAAAAAGTCTGCAGTGGAATCTGCATCCAGCAAAAATCACCCCCCACCCCGCCCCCCACCCCCAGCCTTTCTTTTCTGGGCAGCTTGTGGGATTTTAGTTCTCCAACCAGGCCTTCAGCAGTGAAAGGTTGGAGCCCTAAAACTGGACGTCCAGTGAAAGTGTCAGTCGTGTTCGACTCTTTGCAACCCCATGGACTGTAGCCTGTCAGACTCCTCTGCCCGTGGAGTTCTCCAGGCAAGAATCCTGGAGTGAGTTGCCATTTCCTTCTCCAGGGGATCTTCCCCAACTCAGCAATCGAACCTGGGTCTCCTGCATTGCAGGCAGACTCTCTACCATCTGAGCCACCAGGGATCTGGTACTGGACCACAAAAGAAACCCCAAATCTTTTTGATGCATGGGACTGTGAGTGTTGAGAAAAGCTATGAACAGGACATTTGCATCACCCCATCTCCAATGGCCCTTCTGAGCTCAATCTTCTCTCCCCACCCTCATCCCACCCCTAAAACCCTCAAGCTATAGTCTGACCCTATAGTTTTGCCATCTCCAGGATGTCATATAGGTGAAATCATACAGAATGCAGGGGCTTCTCTGGTTGCTTCCTGCCTGCTAATGCAGGAGATATAGGAGACATGAGTTTGATCCCTGGGTTGGGAAGATCCCCTAGAGAAGGAAATGGCAACCCAATCCAGTCCATGGAAAATTCCATGGACAGAGAAGCCTGGCCAGCTACAGTCCATGGGGTCACAAAAGTCAGACACAACTGAGCATGCATGCACAACTACAGAACGCAGCCTTGTGTGTCTGGCCTCTTCCTTTCTGCACAGTACACTTGAGATCCTCCTGCTGTCCCAGCACCAGCAGCCTGGTCCTGCTTCCCGAGGGCTGTGTCATCATCTGGAGGGAACACAGTTTGCTTCTCCGTTTGTCAGTTAAATGACTGGGTTGCTTCCAGTTTGCGGAGATTATGAATAAAGCTGCTCTAAATGTTTGCATACAGGTGATTATGTAAATGCCTGTTTTCACTCCTCTTGTGTGAACAGTGAGAAGTAAGGTTGCTGGGTCAGAGTAAATGATGGTTTAAATCAAACAAGCTGCTTCCAAAGAGGCTTTACACTTTCAGGTGCCCATCAACAGAGCATGAGAATGGGCTGTCCTGCATCCTCAGGAGCCAAGGTCTTCACTGTTGAGCCAGTCTAACAGGTGTGTCCTTGTATCTCACTGCTGTTTTTTAAATATATGAACTTTTAAAAATTAGTACATCTAATTTTGAGATCTTATTCAAAGTAGTGGCCAACATGAACAACATTTTAAGATGCCCACAACTGTAACACAACACAAAAAAGTAACTGATCTGTAGTCATGGGAAAGTTGCAGGCATTGCTTTTACTGTCGTGATTCGCTGCCAGCATTCAGATCCAGAGTAAAGCTAAAATTTCAGCTATATCTGTGAAAACAAAGATGTAATTATTTTCTTCCACTAAGTTCACCGATACCGCTGACCTCTACCAGGGTTTAGAAGTCCTGCTTTCAGAGTAAATTCTGGACACATTCAGGACACACAGCTGCAAAGATTTAGAGAAGAGGCAAGACCCTATTCAACAATCCCCTCTGCAGTGCAGACACATGTTCTGTGATGTTTCTGTCCTTGCTGTTTTTGTGGTGGTTGCTGGAGGTTCCCACTTGGAGCCTTTATGTTCAGGACTCGCTGATGATGGATCTGAAAACAAGTTCATCAACTCAAGTTGAACAGCAAACGGCTTCCAAGTCCTTATCAGATTGCCAGCTTAGTTAACATGTTAAGGGGAACAATTCATTTCACTGTCTTCCACCTCACAGGTCAACAGGGTGTGACCTGCAGGGTGGCCAGGGATGGGGGAAATGTGGCCACTGTGCTGATAGGGTAGTCCTGGGGGCAGACGTCCTTGGCCAGCCGCCCCTTCTTCTTCAATGCTCAGGCCTCCTGGTACGATGGTGAGAGGGTGGGGGCTGAGTGGGTGGAGTCTACTCTGAGCCGTCTTCTAGGTCCTGTGGGTAACTGCAGTCTGAATCATAGGTGCTCTGGACCCCACAGGTCACAAACGGCACGATGACGCGGGTGGGGCCATCTAATTGGTTGAAATCTGGATCGTAAGAGTGGTCCAGTAGCGGCTTGGTCAGGTCGGGCAGGAAGCCCTCAGGAGGGTCATAACCCTTACAGACAGCAAAGGCCTCGATGCTGGCGTTCCGGCTGCTCCTGGGCTTGGCACAGAGCACGCTGGAGAAGAAGACACGCAGCTGGCTGTAGATCAGTGTCACATCCCGGCCTCGGAAGATCTTGGCCACAAAGCAGCCCCCTGGCTTCAGAACGTGTGTAGCAATGTTCAGAGCGGCTAGGAGGAGCTGGGACTGCATATACTCGTCGACGTCGTGGAGGCCGGTCACATCAGGGGCCCCATCGCACACCACTAGGTCCGCGGGGCAGTCCTCAAAGTGCTGGACGATCTCCTTGGCAGTGGACAGCTGGGTGATGTCCCCCTGGATCTGTACCACGCCTGGTAGTGGGGCCATAGCCTGCAGATCCACAGCCACCACGTGGCCAGAGCCCTGGCCCCCAATCTTCTGACTCAGAACCTGGCTCCAGCCACCTGGGGCTGCACAGAGGTCAACGGCCCGCATCACTCCTTGGAAGAGGTGGAATTCCTCATCCAGCTGCAGCAGCTTGAAGGCGTTGTGGGCACGCCAGCCGTTCTCCTTGGCGAGGCGGTGATAGACATCCTGCTTGTCCTCTGATGTCCGGCCCATCTCACAGTTTGTCCAGGCACCTGCCAACAGTAAGCTCAAATTTTCGGAGTTGGGAGAAAAGGAATGAAGCAGGTCGCCAGTCCAGGAGCAGTACGAGCCTCGGCGAGAGGACAAACCAGTGAGAAGTTACAGGATTTCGCTTTGTGTTCTCAGTTGATCTGAGTATCTGTCGCGGATGCCTAAGGGCCGCCAGAGTGTGGCAAGCCTGTCATCAAGGAAAGCGGTGGTTTGTGCGAAGCCAAGACCAGACCTGAATGTACCACGTGAGTTCCAGTATCTCGTGCCTATGTGGCCGGTCTGGCAAACTCTCTCACTGCTGTTCTCAGGGGGCACACGTTCAATCCGTGGTCAGGTCAGGAAACTCGGACCCTGTATACCACATGGCATGGCCAAAAATGAAAGAAAAGAAAAATGAATGATTTCTCAGTAAGTTTTCACAGTTCTTCATTGTGAAATGATAATACATACAGAATATACTGGTCTCTGCCCCCAGCTCCTGACACAGAGCCCCTAGAACCCATGGAATCTCCTGAGTGGTAGGGCTGCCAGGAGGGTCTTTTGTTCTAACCAGGTGACTCTTGGTGGGCTCCTGGCCAGAAGATGGTCACCAGAAAGACTAAACTATGGTCAGAAACTTGGAACCTTCAGCCTCACTCCCCATCCTCTGTGGAGTAGAGAAGGGCTAGACACTGAGTTAATAATCAGGTCCCAAGTAATGGGACCTCCACTGAATCACGAAAGGACAGGTCCAGGGAAGCTTCCTGGCTGGTGAATGCAGGGAGGTGCGGAAACTGGAGCCCAGCGAGGGCACAGGGGCTCCACACCCCTTCCCCACTCTGCTCTGCCCCATGAATCTCTTTCATCTGGCAGTTCCTGACTTATACCCTTTAATCATAAACCAGTAACCTAGGAAGTAAACTTTTCCTGAGTTCTGTTCTAGCAAATGATTCGACCTGAGGATCATGGAATCCTCCGATTTATAGTTGGTGGGTCAAAAGGCCAGGTGACAACCTGGGATGTGTAACCGGCATCTGAACTGAGGTCTGAGGGGCTCTGCGCTAGCCTCGGGCCCTCAGCATCCAACTGAGCTCTGCCAGGACAGCTGGCCAATGTCACGGGAACCTGGAGAACTGCTTGGTGTGGGAAACCCCACACATCTGGTGTCAGAAGTGTTGTCAGTACAGAAGATGGGTGTTTTATTAGTACTATTATTTATATATTCTATGTACTTCATAAGTTGTGTCTTTTGCAAATGTTTTCTCCTAGTAACTCTTTTCATTCTCTTAATGTTTTTCAAATAGCAAAAATGTTTTTAAGTTCCACTTTTTTTTTTCTTTTATAGATTGAGCTTTTGGTGTTGTATCCAAGAAATCTTTTTTAAAACTTTTCTTTTTGGCTGCACCAGGTCTTCATTGCTGCACATGGGTATTCTCTAGTTGGGGCAGGTGGGGGCTACTATTTGTTGGGGTGCTCCGGCTTTTCATTGCAGTGGTTTCTCCTCTTGTGGAGCACAGGCTCTGGGGACCTGGGTTCAGTAGTTATGGCACACAGGCTTAGCGGCTCCCGAGATCAAGGATCAAACCCGTGTCCCTTGCACTGGCAGGCAGATTCTTATCTGCTGTACCACCAGGGAAGTCCCAAGGAATTTTATCCAAGGCTACAAAGATTTTTTTTTCTGTATTTCAGAATTTTAAGTTTTACACTTCTGATCCATTTTGCGTCCATTCCTACGTATGGTATGAGGTAGGGATTGAGATTATTGCCATGAAGTTTTAAATTTCAGTTGTTTTAATTTCTAGATCTGGTTCATGTTTTCATCTGCTTGGTCTCTGATGGCCCTGTCTCTTCTCCATGCTTGTTATTTTCTCCATTTGCTTCTTTCACCATATTAAAAACACTTTGCATGTCTTATTCTAGATCCAGCAATTCTAGCATCTAACATATCTTCAGCTGTGAGTCTCTCACTTCTGAGGCCTCTGTGCTATGTAGACTGTGGTTTTCTATTATGAACGTACATTCTGGGGGGTCCACTGGCCTGAGGCTTGGAGGTGAGAGCTCTTCCAGTGAGGCTAACATCTTCTGAGGCCAGCCCTCTGGGCTTAGACATGGTGCTAATGGCTTCCCAGCCCTCATTCGGTGATTATTCACGAGAACACCATCATCCCATGTGACACAGAGGGAACTGAGGCTGAGAGAGGAGCCTCCTGCACAAGGACAAAATGCAGTTGGTATCTTCAGCCCTTCCACTCCTTCACAACTTGGGACTAAAGCCCAGGACACAGGTGATTCCCTATTTCCAAATGCGCTTGAATAAAGTACATGTATTATAGACAAATGTATTTTATAAGATGTTCAGATCTCATTTCTTCCATCACAGTGCATCAAATAAATTCAGGGGAAACATTTTTAAGTTTTTCAGATCACATTACCTGATACAGAATTTCTTTTAAAGATTTTTATGTGAACCATTTAAAAAGTCTTTATTAGTCACAAAATTGCTTCTGTTTTGTTTTGGTTTTTTGGATGCATGGCATGTGGGACCTCAGCTCCCTGACCAGGGATCAAACCCATACCCCCTGCATTAGAAGAAGTCTTTTTTGTTTTTTAAATATTTATTTTTATTTATTCATTTGGCTGTACCAGGTCTTAGTTACAACATGAAAACTCTTGCTTGTGGCATGTGGGATCTAGTTGCCCAACCAGACATCGAACCTGGCCGCCCTGTATTGGGAGTGCAGAGTCTTAGCCACTGGACCACCAGGGAATTCCATAGAAGGCGAAGTCTTAACCACTGAACCTCCAGGGAAATCCCTGATATAGAATTTCTATGCAGAAAAAGTCTCAAACTCAATTTGAAGGAAAAAAAAATTTTTCTTGATTTATTTTTCTGCATCTGGTCTTACTTGCAGCAGCATTAAGTGATCTTCGTTGCTGCCTGTGGGATCTTTAGTTGTGGCAAGTGGGAGCATGGAGTCTTAACTACTGGACCACCAGGGAAGTCCCCAAAACTTTTTCCCGAGTTGTTTTTTTTTAAATTTTATCAGTGTACATTTGAAGTGAAAACTTTCTTAATTATATACAAAAAGAAACAGAGATGCCATAAAGGAGAAAACAATTATGTAAAAATGTTCTGTGGGTTTGTGTTGTGTTAGTCGCTCAGTCATGTCCAACTCTTTGTGACCCCACGAACTGTAGCACACCAGGCTTCTCTGTCCATGGAATTCTCCAGGCAAGAATACTGGAGTGGACTGCCATTCCCTTCTCCAGAGGAACTTCCTGATCCAGGGATCGAACCTTGGTCTAGTGCATTGCAGGCAGATTCTTTACTGTTTGGGCTACAGGCAAGTCCTATGTTCTAAACAAAGTAAAAAGACAAAAATAATCAAGGGGGAAATATATGCAATATTTTATTTTATTTATAGCTGCAAAGGGAAAATATCCCTAATATAAAAAGAGACCCTACAAATTAGTAAGAACAACAACTTACTGAGGAAATTGGGAAGAGCATGAAGGGCATTTACAGAAGAGACAATGACAGCAGGCAACAGCAGCTGAGAAAAAGTAACATAGCTCAACAGCAGGATGCCCTTTCACTTACTCAACTGGCAAACCTTCATGATGTAAAGGGTCCTCCCCTACATGGCACATAGGAATATAAGTTGCTATGTTTGGGGAGAAATATTCTGTCAATACTTGTTAAGATTTTTATAATTTATTCATTTTTAAAACCAATCATTTATTAAACTTTTTATTTTATACTGGAGTATGGTTGATTAACAATGCTGTGATAGTTTCAGGTGGACAGCAAAGGGACTTAGTCATCCATATACATGTATCCATTCTCCCCCAACTCTCCTCCTACCCAGGCTGCCACACAACACTGAACAGGGTTCTGTGCTATACAGTAGGATCCCTAATAAGAGTTTAAATATGTGTATCTTTGACCCATTATCCTAACTTAGTTCCTACTAATGGGAATCTATAGAAACAAAGCAGCACGACCTACGTTTTAAAATACTTACCTCAGCTTTCAATGGCTAAAATCAAAGATCTCTCTTGGTAAACATCACACTGCACTTGAAAATGCGTGGGTTATTTTCAAATATCTTTTGATATTGATTTCTAACATAATTCCACAGTGATAACAGAACAGACTCTGTATGATTTCAATACTTTTATACCATGAAATTTTTGCACCTTGTTTTATGTTCCTGGATGTGTTCCAGTGTCTCCTGCTTTATACTCTATGGGAACTTGAACAGAATTTTTATCCTGCTGTTAGGTGAAAACTGTATAAATCTTAATTATGTTGAATTGGTTCACAGCATTTTTCAGGTCTACTATATCCTACTTTTCTGTCTATTCATTCTATTATTTTTGAGAGCTTGATACTGAAACCAAATCTAACTAAAACTCTTATTTACTTAAAAATAATTGTGATAGTGGATTTATATGTAACTTTGTTCTGTATTTTCCAAGTCTCCTGTAAATGTGTTATCATACTTTCACAATTTAAAAAATTAAAAAAAAATTTTTTTTAATACTTACCTCAGTATGACTCTATAGTGGCAAAAGCCAGGCTCTAAGTGAAAAACCCATCAATGGGGAATAATGAAATAAATATATGCTCACTGTGGACTATTATCAGTCATAAAAAGAATTAAGTTGTTTATCTCTTGACTTGAATAGACATTGGAGATCTATTGTTTGAGGAAAAAAAGAGGGGTGGGGTGGGGTAAATAGGTCTAAGAAGGACAAAGAACAGAAAGGAATTCTTATTTTTCTGTTTGAATTTTTATGAGAATGTATTTTGTAATATTTAAAAACTATGTAGGACTGTCCTTGTGGCCCATTGGTTAAGACTCCATACTTCCAATGCAGGAAGCACAGATTCAATCCTTGGTCAGTGAAGTATGATTCCATATGCTGTGGTGTGGTAAAAAATAAATAAATAAAAACACAAAAATAAGCCAGGTGACTTTCCTGGTGGTCCAGTGGTTAAGAATCCACATTCCAATGCAGGGGGCATGGGTTGGATTCCTGATCAGCGAACTAAGATTCCACATGCTGTGGGACAACTAAGCCTGCAATACCACAACTAAGACCCAATGCATCCAAATACATAAATAAATAAATAAGTACTTTAAAAAAGTAAGTCAGACACAAATATGTAATCTCTGGGGCAGTTGGAATGAAACAAACACAACAGAACAGCAGGAGCTGGGTTTTCCTTCTTCTTAGATTACCTCAACACCACAACTCTGCATCCAGCACAACCCTTCACCACTCTCCTCCACATGGTCAGTGTCACCAAAACTTTGAGGGACCAAGAATCGTTTTAGATTATTTTGTTCTAGTCAAAACGTGTAGTGCCCCATAGTTCTCAAGGTCATTCCTGAAAACCATATTCTTATACCACCCAACAATTGATGATCCTCCCAAAACTTCCCCAAGGACCCCCACATTCCATTATCAACTTTCAAATATTAAAACTTCACTGCTTTTGATCATCCATAAAGGAAATTGTCATGATGATCATTGATATTTAATTATTAACATTATGAACCATCAGTGGTGTATCAACAGACCCAGGAGTACACAGTCACACCTAGAAGTACTCTGTATCACACTGTTCTCATTAAACCTTTTTTTCTTCGCAATCTCATCTGCTACATATTGTTAAAAGGAGAAAGTTCTATTTATCTATTACCTCGAAGTCAACATTAAGTAGACACTTTTATAAATAAATTAACAACATGTCAATTTGCTTTGCTAAAGGTTAGAGAAATATGTGTGCAATACCTGAGGCATTTTGTAGGCGTTGGCCGTCTCTACACAATACACAAAGACCCTAGGAAGATTTTAAGATTCGACATCGCATCTGGAAAATAAACCTGGTTTTGAGAGACCCTCCACGCCCTCAGCTCTGCAGACGCTGAGAGTACGCATCATTCTCAGACCCCGGCCCCGCTGAGGCAGGGGAACCGTTAACGCAACGTGGCAGCTTGGGAACCTAGAGCTTTTTCGCACGTGAACTGCGAGCTACGCGAAGCTAAACCAGGTTTCCGTGAGGAAGGAAGGAATCCTTATCAGCTTCGGGGACAGACTTCAGTCCCTTAAACTGCGCAAAGGTGTTCGCAGTTCTCGCTGGGTCCTGGGGAAGGCCTCCGGGGAGAGGGGGTGGGGAGGCGCCTCTTCCGACTGACGCCGACGCTCCGACATGGAGCACCCGGAGGCGTCAGCACCGAGGACAGCGCCCTCCCGGGGGCGGCTGGGGGCACCCGGGAGGAGAGTCACCAAAGGACACCGGGTGGGGGGGGGCGAAGGACTGAGGGTGAGGTGGGCCGGGAGAACCGCGGGGCCACGGGCGGGCGCGGGGGCTGAAAGCTGCGCCGCCATGAGATCTCCCCCGCCCCACGCCCGGGTGCGGACAAGCTTCGAAGCACTCACCGTGGCTGCCTGGCGACGCGGCGGCAAGCGGCAGTCGGGGCGAGAGCTGCGTCAGCCGGAAGGGTGACCAGGCCCTTCCAATTTACCAGCCTGCCGGCCTAATCCGGTGCGCAGGCGCAGCGTCAGCTAAGCGGGGCGGGGCGAGGGTGTAGGAACCGGAAGGAGAGGCGGGATGAGGGCGGGACCTGCGCGCGGGTCCCTCGGTCAGCGCCTGCGCACTCCGCAGGCCTTGTTCTCCCGCGATCACCAGGGCCCAAGCCCTCGTTCAATCATTCCGTTTTGAATCCAACTCGTCCGTCCGCTCCTCCCCGGTCCCGTCCACCCGCTCATCACATACCTGTTAACGTTGACGAAGCACATCTCGTCGTTGCCCTGATAGAACCTGCAAGCTAGGGAGGAGGGGACACACATCAAATAAATGACCAATTAGAAAATAAGGCTAGGCCAGACAGGACGAGCAGCTTGAGAAAGGGAGGTGGTGGTTGAGTGCCTATTTTCAGTTGGGGGAAGGGAGTCAGAAAATGCCTAATAGGCTAAGCTGGGATTTAAAGGTCCACAGGGATAATTTGTTTTCTCTTGTGACCAGGGGGATGGTCCAGTGTGTCTCCCTGGTTTCACTCTTGCTGCCACTAAACACCATCTGCACTGCAGACAGGGTGAGCTTTCAAAATTGAAAATCAAGTCGTCTTCCAGGTTTCAAAGCTTAGGATGAAATCCAGACTGCTTGTCATGACCTTTTCCCTATTTCTGCATGGTACTTACTTACACTGTTTTGAATTCTATTACCTGTCTGGAGTAGGAGAATGTAACCTCCTTTTCTACTTTGCTCATAGATTTAGCTCCAGGGCCTTGAAAACAAATTACCACATGGTATGCTCAATAAATGGAGAAGGAAATGGCAACCCACTCCAGTACTCTTGCCTGGAAAATCCCATGGACAGAGGAGCCTGGTAGGCTACAGTCCATGGGGTCACAAACAGGCAGACACGACTGAGCGACTTTACTTACTTTATGCTCAATAAAGGGATTCCCTGGTGGTTCAGACAGTAAAGCCTCTACCTGCAATGCAGGAGACCCGGGTTCGATCACTGGGTTTGGGAAGATCCCCTGGAGAAGAAATGGCAAACCACTCCAGTACTCTTGCCTAGAAAATTCCATGGATGGAGGAGCCTGGTGGGCTATACAGTCCATGGGGTCACAAAGACACGACTGAGCGACTTCACTTCACATGCTCAATAAACATCAGCTGAAAAAACCAATAATTTTCCATCTCTCTTAAAGAAATGAACCAAGTGTTGCTTTTTCAAAAAAAATTTCCATCACTAGTGATAAAGCTGGCATGCAATATGCTTCAATAAATATTTGCTAAAGAGGATAAAATAGGACCACAGCACAGCTGGGAAAACACTGTTATCGTGTACAAGGTAGTACTGGAGAACAAGAATATTATGAATAATAAAATGCACCAGGTCTTTCCTCCGTGTGTGGCTATGGAACACAGTGGCTAGGAACACATGGTCTCTGAGGAAAAAATTGGTGATTTCACTGAAAGACTCCATTCCTTCTAGTTCCTTCTACCCTGCAGGGGAGAGGCAAGGAGAAGAAAACTTCAGCTTCCAACACTACTTGGTTTCTCTGTATTTTGTTTTCACATGAATGAAATAAATATAACATCTTATTTTAACTTGAACAGTAGTTTTCTATGAAAGACAAAACAAACAAGCATATAAAAAGGTCAATTTATTATACCTTTTGTTTGGTGGGATATCAGTGCCCTTTAAAACCCTACTATTCAAGTACAAATGATTATGTTTACAAAGTATTTACAATTTCAGTCTTCTTTCTTTATATTTTAAAACACAACAGCTATCTGGACACAACAGTTAACAAAAAATCCTGAAGGTGGCAAAAGGGAAAGCCTCCGCCTGAGGAGGCTCACTTCAGTCTCCTGCTTCCCCCAACCCTCTGACCACCGCCCGGCCCCCACTAGAACAGATGTCTCTGAATCAACGAAAAACTAGGTGACTGATTTCCATGGTGGCCAATTCCAGTTTGACAGTGTTTGGCTGCTGTCTTTATGTTTTATGTTCTGAAGATTTCTTTCAATCATTACCACTGTTCTGCAAGGTAATGTGGGATTCTGCCAACAGTATCAATCAGAGGAAACCTGGAAAACAACACCCTAAACTCACACTTAAATATGGAAAGTTTAACCTTTAAAACAGAAGGTCAAGAAAACAATACACTGTAACTTTTACCTACAAATGACACTATTGAAGACTATGAGGTCAGTGGCAACACATCTAGATGTTACTAAATTGAGTGATACCAATAAAACTATTTTCTCTCCCTTATCTCCCAACAGGGAATTGCGAAGGAAACTTCTTTCACTCACATGGTAAGACAGGGAAGGAGTTCCACACTGCAAATATTCAGACTCCAGTTCTGTTCTCTTAGAAGGCTTTGAGAAACTTTTCTAAATTTCTCTTCTAGTGTTCTAGATTAATAGAGGACGTCTATTCAGGCAGCTATTTCTAGGATATTCTAAACACTCAACATTTCACCACCATCTACAAAGAGACTGTCAACACTCCGTGAAAGATAAGAACAAAACCATCAGCTGCACAAATTAAAGTAAGCTGAAAAGGAGAGTTCCTTTTTAGTTCTGCACATTTGAGGATTAAAAAAAATGTAGAAACTCTCCTCAGCACCCAGCTATGAAGTATCTCCTGCACACAGTACTCTCTCATCACAGCAGGTACCAAAGCACAATGAACAAGTCAGAAGGCAAATTACAGTGTTCTGTTTTGGTATGTTCAATTTATTGATATGTTAAATCCCTCCCACTTTCAACACCTGATTTTAACTTTTTTCCAAATTTCATGCCAAGAAGGCAAAAATGAGCTGCTTAGTTGGCTTCACTAAGGTATCAATCGCCATATTACTGTCCACATAAATTGATGGGAAATAAGAAAAATTCAGGACAGAACACTTTCCTTTTTGTCATAAAAAGTGATATAAAGGGGGAGGAAACTGATTAAAATGAAAAATCTCTTGGTATGCTAGAATTGTTCCTTAGTACACAAAGACTTCACACAATCTGATCTCCTGGACCAAAACTGTAAAATATGCACGGAGACAGAGCAGAGGGTGTCATCAGACATGTGCCTTTTCCTTGGGTGGACACTTCCAGGTAAGCAGACATCATCACCCAACCAAGTCCACTGCAGTTGCCATAGTGGGGGAAAAAACCCTAAAAGCAGCAAACACAGGGCCTCCTCTCTGCCCCTCAACCATGGGGCTGCCACCCCAAAGAGCCTGGACAACTCCCTGCTTTAGGCAGAAACCCAAGCAGCCGATCTGCTCACAGATGACATTACAAGTCTAGTATGAAGATGCCACCACATCCATTTCTGTAGATTATACCTGTAGGTGCATAAACACACCACCTGTACATAGAGACTCCTCACCTCCACAGGTCATGGCTGGGCTGGGCGTGAGAGCAAAGAGGAGATGCAGGCTGCCTGCCCTCAGTGGGCATTTTGCCCCACCCTGCACTTAGCAGTGACCTCTGCAATGTGACGACCCTTGCACAGCACTCTGGGCCCTAAACAACTCCCAGATGGGAGCCTCACAGTGTCTTTGGGGGAGCCTCACAAAGTTCAGGAGCTGCCTCAATACTCTTAAGTCCAATTACAAGTTCATCCAAAACCTGGGAAAATACTGTGGATGTACTAGGATGGGAGCAGTCCCAAAGGTTCCGTTTACATGGAAACTGGTCACTCCAGGGGAAGCCACACCAGTGCTCTTTGGAATGAAAATTCAACCTCAGGTCACTTCCCTTCAACACCAGCTGGGGACACGTTATGAATGTGCTTCGATATCTATCAGTACTAAGTCTCTCCTTTAAGGGTCCAAACAAGTCACATTTTAGGAGGGAGGGAAAAAACCATACTGGTTTTCTCTGAGATGACCTACCTTAGATATTAGACAGTTTCTCTCCTCTCGAAGGACCATAATGTGTTTTCAATTAGGAATAAAGAACCAAACAGAGGCAGATGCTGTCAGACCACATTTTAGCTTCATAAGGTCTACTTTATGACTCACTGCACCTTCCAAATGGCTGCTTACAATGTGCAAAACACTGTACACTAACAGACAAATTCTAGCTGACTTTCAAGACCCAGCACTATTGCTCTGGAGGAGAAACTAAAGGTAAAACATCTAGCAAAGACTGCCACTGTCACTTTTTCAATCAGTTATGTAACACAGAAAGGGTGTTCGCTGAGGATTGCTACTCCAAGTGCTGAACATCCCACAGGACCCAGTCCCAGGGTTCAGTAAATAAAGTCTATCCCGTCTCGGTGGGATGGTGGAACACACAGGTAGCCCGCCTGGGGCTGCCCCTCTATCCCAACTAGGGGCACGGAGGTTTGGTGGGCGTCTTTAACCTGACGGCAGGGACCCTCATCTGGAGCTTGGGCTGCTGGTTCGGGCTGTCGGAGGTGGCTGGCACCTGGGCAGGGGTGGGGACGCCAGGGGTCTGCAGCTGGGCAGCTGCTGTGGTCACCACTTGCTGCTGCATGAGCTTCTGCTGGACCACCTGCGCTGTCGCTGTCACTGCAGGGATCATCTGGACCTGCTGCCCAGCAGCTGTCGCCTGGGTGAGGGTCACAGTCTGTGGGGAAGCCTGAGCCAAAACAGAAACACACAGCGTAGAAAATGCATGCAGGTGACACACAAAATTAAACATTCTTGGGTACAGAAAGGAGGGGTGTTTAGAAACTTAGCACAAATAGATCTGTGAAATGTAAAAACTACCCAACATATCAAAATAGGACCTCCAGTTTCTAACCAAACGAAAGTCAGAACACTGAACTACTGGTGCTTTCAGGCTAAAAGTGGATGCCTCTGGGGACGGACAGTGCTGGTGCTCAGCTTCTAATACCATTTGGTTTTTTGAAATCTACATGTCAGTGTGATTTTGAACAAAATAAAATTATTTTAAAGCACTGCTTTTATACCACCACATTTCTCAGCAGTAAATAAAATGGTAAGAACCGGAAAGCTAGGCTCTGTTAGGAAGGTGTTAGGTTGGTGCAAAAGTAATTGCAGTTTAGGACTGTGAATTTTAAATCATTGTACTAGGCTCAAACACATTTTTATTAGTCAAAATAGGAACCATTAAAATCAACACATTTTTGCCAATGGGAAGTAAGTTTGCTTATTCTTGTATCAAAAAAATCTGTGCTTCTGGATTCAATGAATTCCTAAAAAGGATTTTCTGCATCCTGCTTGTGGTGAAGGTGTTTTCCCTGCAAAAAGCTATCAAGAGGTCAGATGAATATGGTGAATGAGGCAAAACTTTGCAGCCCAATTTGTTCAACTTTTGAAGCACTGGTTGTGTGATGTGCAGTTGGGCATTGTTGTGAAGAATTGGGCCCTTTCTACTGACCAATGCCAGCTGCAGGTGTTGCAGTTTGCCAGCTGCAGGTGTTGCAGTTTTCAGTGCATCTCATCAATTTGCTGAGCATACTTTTCAGATGTAATGATTTTGCCAGGATTCGGAAAGATCAGACCACCAGCACACCACCAAACAGTGACCATGACCATTTCTGGTGCAAGTTTGGCTTTGGCAAGTGCTTTGAAGCTTCTTCTTGGTCCAGCCATTGAGCTGGTTGTCGCTGGTAGTTGTATAAATAATTCACCTCCATGGCATGTCACAACCTGATCAAGAAATGGTTCGTTGTTGTGTACAGTAAGAGAAGACAGCACTTCAAAACAACGATTTTTTTTTTTCATTTGCAGTCACCTCATGAGGCATCACTTATTGAGCTTTTTCACCTTTCCAATTTGTTTCAAATGCCCAGGGACTGTAGAATGGTTGATGTTGAGTTCTTCAGCAATTTCTCAGGTAGTTGTAAGAGGATCAGCTTCTATGATAGCTTTCAACTGGTTGCTGTCAACTTCCGATGGCTGGACACTCTGCTCCTCATCTTCAAGGCTCTCACCTCCTTTGCAAAACGTCTTGAACCACCAGTGCACTGTATGTTTGTTAGCAGTTTCTAAGCCAAATGTGTCACTGATATTCTGAGTTTTCTTCCCTACTTTACGACCCATTTTGAATTTGAATTAAAAAATCACTCAGATTTGCTTTTTGTTTAACATTTCCATAGTCTAAAATAAATATAAAATAAACAGGAAGTAATGTCATTAGCAAAACACATAAACCAAGAACTGCACGTTAAAATAATGTATAACGCAACCACATTTATTAAGAATGTATTCTGATATCAAACAGCAAATTTCAATAATGCAAAAACTGCAATTACATTTGCACCAAGCTAATAAGTCCTAGTTGCTGCCTGTACTATTTCTACTTCTGAACATAAGGTCAATACGAGCATATTCTCTTTTCTTTGTTCCCTAAAACTCATGTGTGGTGGCTTCAGCTGGCAGGACACACCTAAGATTACTGGCTGAAGGAAGAAGCCCAGAAATGAGCCCCTTCTGTGTACACATGACACTGAGTCTGAACATATCTGTTCAGGCTTTTTCCTGCCAGATTAACGATATCAAGTGTTTTCCCTAAAGTTAATTGCTTTTTCTGTACTATGAAAATGACAAGCAGTTCTCTAGGAATTAAAATTCTGTTTCCTCAGGATGAAATCAAGATCTCTGTGAGCACCTCCCAGCTGGCTCTGGTCTCCAGATCCTACCTGTTGGGAAGCAGAGGCAACCTGCTGGATGCTGGCCACAGGTGTCTGCTGTTGGACGACTTGAGGGAGTTTTGCAACCTTGGACAAAAGGAAAAAAGCCAAACACAGAGGCCGAATCAATGTGTGCACAAAAAGAGATTTCTCACCCTTTTTCTCTTTCTCAGCTCTTAATGCAAAACAAAAACAAAAAACAGTGGTCAGATGCCACAAAATAGCAATTCTCAAAGTGTGCTTACCTGGAACCCAGAAAACTGGTTATTGCACTTTTGCACTGAATAACAACTGTCTTCCTAACCTGTAATCATCTGTAATCTGAGGCTCTATTGGTCTCATATTTCAGACGGTCACATTTTTCTCTTACTAAAAATTTCTGGAAGCTTATATAAGAGAATTAAATGGAAAATGGAACATTTGGGTACCATTCCAGGTGTGCCTCCACTGTGAAGTGCTCTGGACCAACACCACAGTTCAGCCCTAGTCCAGAAATGTGCCAAAAAGTAGTTACTTCATTATTTTTCTTCATCACAACTGAGATATTCCTCTTCATAAAACAAAATTTTCTACCTAATGGTCACTTTTTGTAAACCTGCATATCGTGCTGTCCTGACACAATAAGACAATTCAGGTCACCTGTCTACTCAGGGCTTCAGGGGCACCGGCTCACAGAAGCAGAAGGGGCTCCCGAGTGGGCAGCTGCTGGGGGCCGTGGAAACCCCACTCAGGCCTCTAACTGGTAGAACAGGGATGAAAATAAGTCTTGCCCAAGATAATTCTAGATAAAATGTGAAATTATATGATGTACTTGCAAATAACAAGCTCCGAGTAAATATGAATTCTCATTAAGAAATTAAAATTAATCAGAAGGCGTTTACTAGTTTACTACAACTTAAGTTAAAAACCGTGAATAGGATTTGCTGAGATCAAAGCAACTCCTGACTGAACCCTGTGTGCTTCCTCTGACAGGAAAAATGGGCAGTCAGCTGCTATAGCACACGGACCACAGCTCAGATGGGCAGACACTGAATATGCTGAGATGCTGTGGATAAAACTAAGGCAACACCTATTTTTTGTTTTTATTTTACCCTAGCCATTCTATTTTTTTATTGGAGGATGACTGCTTTACAATGCTGTGTTGGTTTCTGCCATACAATGATACGAATCAGTTGTAACTATATAAATATCCCTCCCTCTTGAGCTCCCTCCCACCCCTCCCCTAAGGTGACATCTCAAATGCATCAATAAACTTGCAGATAGTCCAGAGCTCCCAGTTCCAAAATCTAAGCAAAGAGGGGAGACCACAAGCCATGACAAGGCTCCCAAGACCCTGTGCTGCAGGTGAAGACTTAGACTGGGTTTTCACCACCCCTGGGGTGTGGCAGACAGGAGACGCATCCAAACCCGCTCTCAGGAGGAGCTAACGGGAGGGCCTCACGCTGCCCCCTACAGCTGCAATCCTGTCACTCAAAGGATCTGTGAGGAAGTCACCTGTCTGAGGCCTCAGTGCTGGGCCAGGGAGGAGGAGACACAGGCTGAGAGACCAAACCCTCAAGCCACAAGCTCATGTGGTCCTGATTGCAGCCACGGAAGCCTAGCAGAAGGAAGAACCTACCTTCCACCCAAACCTCAAAGCCTTCCCACAAACAAGCTTCAAGGGAAACTGGCTCACAAGACAATTTCTATAAAGACAAAAACCCCACAGTTTCTGAAGCAAGAACAGTGGAAAAGAAGTAAGTAAAATCAGATGAACCTTGACTTCAAATAAAGGAATTACCAGACACGCACAAACTAGTATGCAGCTCTGCACAGCCTGAAAACATGGATGTGAACAAGAAACTACAAAGACCAAGCAGATTTGAGATAAAAACAAACAGAACTTCAAAGAATAAGTATCACCAAAATTAAAATTCAATGGGCAAACTTTTAACAGCAGATTAGACCTAACAAAAGGGAAGATCACTGAAGTGGGAGACAGGTTAGAGGACATTCCTCAGAATACAGCACAGAGAGACAATGAGAGGAAAACACAAAGACTGAAGGTACATGGAGGGTGGGAAATGGAGCAGAGGTGGCATCCACTGAAGTAACGGTTGGTCAATGCCCAGGTTGTTCCAGGAGGTCAACAGATACCAAGCCAGGGTGTCATGGCATTCATAAAACACCCAAGACAAAGAAAGGCACTTTCCAAGTGGTGTGAGTGGTAAAGAATCTGCCTGCACACTGTTTATAATAGCCAGAACATGGAAGCAACCTAGATGCCCATCAGCAGACGAATGGATGAGGAAGCTGTGGTACATATACACCATGGAATATTACTCAGCCATTAAAAAGAATTCATTTGAATCAGTTCTAATGAGATGGATGAAATTGGAGCCCATTATACAGAGCGAAGTAAGCCAGAAAGATAAAGACCATTACAGTATACTAACACATATATATGGAATTTAGAAAGATGGTAACGATAACCCTATATGCAAACAGAAAAAGAGACTCCGATGTATAGAACAGACTTGTGGACTCTGGGAGAAGGCGAGGGTGGGATGTTTCAAGAGAACAGCATTGAAACACGTATATTATCTAGGGTGAAACAGATCACCAGCCCAGGTTGGGTGCATGAGACAAGTGCTCGGGCCTGGTGCACTGGGAAGACCCAGAGGGATCGGATGGAGAGGGAGGTGGGAGGGGGGACCGGGATGGGGAATACATGTAAATCCATGGCTGATTCATTTCAATGTGTGACAAAAACCACTGCAATGATGTAAAGTAATTAGCCTCCAACTAATAAAAATAAATGAAAAAAAAAAAAAAAAAAGAATCTGCCTGCAAACACAGGAGACACAACAGAGGTAGGTTTGATCCCTGGGTCGGGAAGACCCCCTAGAGAAGGAAATGGCAACCCACTCCAGTACTCTTGATTGGGGAATCCCACGGACAGAGGAGCCTGGCGGGCTACAGTCCGTGGGGTCACAGAGAGTCCGACGTGACTAAGCAGACACACAGAGTTTCTTTGTAGTTTGTTGCTACAGGAGGTGTTTGTCCAGGTGCAAGTATTGCAGCAAAAGGCCCCAAGTCCCAGCCTGTCTCAAGACCACCAATATTTCTCAAGCAGCAATTATATGCAAGACACTGGGCTCAATGCTGAGATTACAAACATGAACAAATACAAAGAAAAGATCTCAAAAGGAAACAAAGAAGAAAAGACAAGTTACATAGAAGCAGTGACCCACTAGATAAACATCTGACTTCTCATCAACAACCCAAGACCAGGATCAGGGACAGCTGTTAATGTGCTGAGAAAATAAATGTTCATCTAGAATTCCACACCAAGCAGAAGTATCTTTCAGGAACAAGAGTGAAATACACGCATTTTCAAACACTGCAGGAAAACTCCAAAGAATGGATTTCAAGCAGAAGAAAAGTAGTTTTACATGAAAAGTGACAATGAAACAGGAGAGAAGGACACTGTGTGATCACAGCACATGTGGGCGCAGAGGCTGGCAGCAACAGTGTGACAGACCAGTGCTCAGAGCAGAGCTGAGAGGGGGTTTGCACGGCTCTTTGAAAAGGTGCACCTGCACATGGACATTTTAGGATGACCACTTCAGAGAACCGAGAGAAAACATGCAATTTTCAAACACGTACAGTAGAAAAAAACAGAATGACAAAAATAAATACATAAATGGAAGAAGAGAAGACAAGTAAGGCAGGAATGAGAAAACAGAAAAAGCTGAAAATCCAAGCAAAATGGAAGCTAAAGGCCACCCTTCTGGGTCTCCCCAAAAGGCGAGCAAATCTGTCACAGGTAAAGGACCAAAGCTGAGATGCAGGACGAAGGCAGCACGGCAGCATCCACCTGACCATTTCTGTGACATACGTGTGAAACAGGGAAAATGAAAGAGGGAAACATGCACCAGAAAACTGCAACACAAAACAGGTGGAGTTCTCAGTTTGAGGCAGAGCAGGCTGCCAGACCAGAACAGTACTTCAAAGTAATAAAATTAAAAAGTTTAATTTATGTGTAACTAATAATAAAGGGCTTCCCAGGTGGCACTAGTGGTAAAGAACCAGCCAGCCAATGCAGGAAACCAGGGTTCAATCCCTGGGTCAGGAAGATCCCCTGGAAAAGGAAATCGTAATTCATTCCAGTATTCTTGACTGGAAAATTTCATGGACAGAGGAGCCTGGCGGGCTACAGTCTATGGAGTCACAAAGAGTTGGACATGACTGAAGTGACTTAGCACACACACAATAATAAAGAACCTAATATGTCTCATAATTCACAGAATAAACCTGACCTGGACGTGACAAAGGGAGCCCACAGCCACACCCCGCACCACCACAAACCACGTCTCAGCACACTTCCCCTCAAGGTCAGCGCTGGGCCGGGGCTAGAGTGTGAAGAGCAGCAGAAGGTTTGGTTCAGGTAAGGCTGAAGGTCAGGACGGAACTGCTGTCCCAGGGCTGGAAGTGGAGTTGAGGTGCACAGGAGGGTCTCAGGTATTGGAGGTGCACACCTCCAAAGAGCCATCCTCAGGCAGCTGGGATGAAAATTGTGCACGAGGCAGGGGGGTAGACACGTCTTCTCTGGTTGTCCAGTGGTTAAGAATATACCTCCCAGTGCAGGGGATGCAGGTTTGATTCCTGGTTGGGGACTAAGATCCCACATGCCCCAGAGCAACTAAGCCCAAGCGTTACAATGCAAGATTCCAAGTGCCGAAACGAAGACCTGCCGCAGTCAAAACACATAATAAAAACAAACAAACAAAAACCCTGTGAAGAGTGGCAACTGGCTACAAATATGAATCTGGACTCATCAGTAGAGATGGGCTCACAGCCTCAAGACTAGAGTGACCACGAGGAGAGAGAAGCAGACAGAGGGTTTAAAAAAGACAAAACACCAAACAACTAAAGGAACAAGAACTTGTAGCCAACTAGATCGAGAAGGGAATTCTCTTACGGGCTGAAGGATGAGTTTAAAAACCCAACCCTGCAGAACGACCATAAGGAAAGAGATGCGGCCGAGCTTCCTGTCTGCACCTGCCCTGCAAGCCCTCGTGAGCACGATGAGGCAGGGAGAATGGGAAGGAGGAAGGGGAAGGCGTCGCCACCAGGACTCACAGGTGACAGTGTCAACACAAATGACAGAAGAACAGACTGAGGCTGCAGGATTCAGAAGTCAACACACACAGTGCCTTAGAGACACATAAAAGAGAGGGAACTTACAGTAGAGCACCAGAAAATGCTATTACTCAGGAATAAACCCAGGATGAGCAATAAGATTCTTATGGGAAAAACATCAAGAAACTTACTTGAAGGGTCTTAAAGAAGATTTAAACAGTAAAGGGTGTCTCACGTTGGTGAATCTGAAGTCAAGGTTGTAGAAATGTCTATTCTCCCCCAAAGTGATCTACAGGGTCAATGTAATTCTAACAAAAACCCCATCAGTTTGACTGTGGTGTGAACACTTAATATGCTGACTCAAAATTCAGAACTTCTGTTCGTAAAGTGAGTGAGAAGATACGCTACAAGCTGGGAAAAGTGTGACACAGACCCAAAGGTGAACACCAGGATGTACAACTGCACTGGGAAGCCCCGAACAGGCTTGTCCCTTGGAAGGGGCCCCGACAGTCAGCAGATTCACCAAGGACAGACTCACACGGCTGCTAGAGGAAGGTAGACAGCAGGCCAGGGTGGCGTGGGTAGAGGCCAGGGGACCATACAGCACCTCAGCGGTGTGTGTGCCCAAGCCCCACACCCTGTCCCAGACATTACATGTGGCGATTACAGGCAGGACCCACAGGATGTGTGACACTGGGCTGGGCAGCACTGGGAGCAGCAGAGGGACAGAGCTCATGAGCTCCTGAAGCACTGGGATGACCACGAGCCCTGGAGGAGCCTCACCAGCACAGAGGCCGCCACTGCAGTGGGACCTTAGCACGGCCCCCAGGCCACACTGTGGGGCCCCACAAAGCTTTTCAGGAGGTACTGATCTGTGGTGTCCCCTTGTTCTGCCTCCGAGTGCCCATCCGCCCAGTCTGCTGTCAGCCCACAGGCTCCCCCTGCTCACCTGGATCTGGGTCTGCACCTGCTGGGTCCCGGCCAGCTTCTGGGCCTGGGAGATGGGTGTGGTGAGAAACTGGGTTTTAAGGGCTGGCTGGGTGGCGTAGGTGACCTTCTGTGGTTGGCCCTGCGCAGCAATCTGCTGTGCCGTGATCTGAGGAAAGAGACCGCCCAGGGTTAGAGCTGCGTCCCTGACTCAGAGCCGCCAGGCCTCCTCCTGGGCCCTGTCTGCCCCCAGGTGCCCACAGCATTGACCACCTCAGCTCCCGGCCCTGCCTGCCCACTGCCCCCACCCCCAGCACCCAGTCCTGGGTCACTGCCTCCTCTCCTGGGAGGTCCCCTCACAACCCAGGCTGGGCTTCATCTCCACATCCTCTTCAGAACCTGGGGCCATATCAGCTTATCAGGTGAGTGAGAGAGTGAAACCGACAAGACAGGAGACACACGTGCATAATTTCTCAAATCTAATTTTAAGAATTTGGCATATACTCAAACATATTTAGGACAAATAGAAACTATATGCACAATCTTTGTAGCTTTAGTCTGATTTTTAGCTTTCCCTGCCAGAAGAATTTAAAACTATTCAGAAAGCCATGCGTAATATACAGACCATATATTTGGTTACAAAGTCACCTCCATGAATAAACATTTTTTTTTTATCTTTAACCTGTGTTTTATTTTAAGAGATCATCTTGATTTTCTTATGTAATAAACTTTTACGTTTTAACTCTCAATCCTTAATAGTATTATTCATTATATTCGAGCTTAGCTTTCTCATAGAGAAAAAAACCCAAACATAAACCTTTATACTATCCACCTCCTAGTCTAACAGCACAATTTCAATAAGAAAGTTTTATTGATAACTGAAAAATTTATGTGACATCAGCAGAGAGATATCAAGAGTGATTGTGCGGTGGCCATTCTTGTTAAGAACTGTGATCTTTGACCCACTGTTCAATCCACTTCAGTATCTGATTGATATTATCCTCTAGATCTTCTGGTTTATTGCTCGGCAATTGATGCACTATTTCTTCCTTGTAGGATGCTAAGGCTTCTTCATGAAGAACTTGAAAAATTTCACACTGAACATTATCTTTTAGTTTCTTCTCATTATAACCCCTATTTTCAAGTCTTTTGTACAAAATACTGTTAACTGTTCTCAGCACAAATACTATATGAAACCAGCATTCAGGGAAGAAATCACAGCCATGGTAATCAACAATAACTCCACCTTCACTCAACTGGTTTTCTAACTCATCAACTACTCTATCTTCATCTAAAATGGGACAGTCATACTCCTCATCATAGCCATCATACAACTGCCCTTCTCAAGCTAAATCACCCACATTAATGTATTTCAGTCCTGATCTTGATGCAACTTCTTTGCCTAATGTAGTTTTTCCAATCCCTGGTGTACCGGTGCGCAGGATGTTCGGAAGCAACATGATCCTCACTGCGCTGGCTCCACACACCTCTGCACACGTGCTCTACACACTCCTGGGAGGGGCTGGGAGGGGCTGGCAGGGGCGGGCAACGGCGAGCGCCAGCAGCTCGGGGTACTCGAGGCCTGGAGGGGCGCTCGAGACCCACCTCTGCTGCCTTGTCACCCACAGTTGGTTACCCGGCCCTCGAGGACACGCTTCCATCACAGGGTCCGAGATACCACCACCGGTCAGGCCGGCGCTTCGAGTCCCATGAATAAACATTTTTAAGGTCTCAAAGTCTTCTTTCAAGTCATATGAACATACAGACCGGCACTTTCCTAAAGCCCTTCTTCTCTCTTTGAGACATTGGCTAAGCCATGCTGACCCTGTCCAGCACTCCCCACCCACAAGTCTCTTCATTTCTCTACGTGTCAGTTTCTGAGAATGGATGCCAGCGCCCAGAGCCCTTAGCACACAGAAGGAATGTTCCAGCTCTGGTTCAGAAAACACAGATACAGAATGCAGTTCAGTATCAGTAGTCAGAAATCAGCATGATGATACATCATCATCTGTAGGCCAGGCTTCATGCCACCGGAAGCAGACAGGGCAAAAGCCCTGGGAAACAGAGTGCCTTGCACTCTGCTCCTGCTCGTCAACACGGGGCCTGCAAGTACAGCCCTAAACCCCCATCTCCAAGGAGGCCTTGCTTTTGGGAGCTGAATCAGCTCAGAGCTGCTTCCCAGCCTTCTGAGTCAGGGTATCACCGCCACACCGACGACACTCCTCTCGCAGTACCTTTGCCCGCTATCTCTCCCCTCCCTCCATCCATCCTCTAAGCATGAGTGCCAGCATACACACACTCTCTCAAGCAGACACAGTCCTTGCCTGGCCTCTTGACAGCTAGACAGCTGTGGCCTGGCTCCATCTGTCCAGTACACCCAGGTGTACCCAGGTCACACACCATGAGCTACACCTGTGTCCTGGAATCCTTCTGGCCCCTCCCCAGTTATGCAATTCCATAGACCGAGTCCATCATGGTTGCCCCCACAAACCCTCGGTGCATGGGGGTCCCTCTCCCCCTAGGACGAACCCCAAGACCATCCTCTGTGCTGCCCAAGCCCACCACCATAGGGTCTCCTGTGTGAAGAGGCCAGGCAGCCGGGCAGGGCCCGTTCAGGACCCTCTCCACCTCTGTGCACCCAACGCTTGGCAGCAGGGCCCAGCTCAAATGAAGAGGGGATGACTAGGGACCCCAGTACCTTCTGCTGGACAGTGGCAGGGCCTGGGGCAGCCTGCGGCTGGATGGCCTTCTGCTGCTGGACGGCTTGCTGCTTGAGCTTCAGCAGCTGCTGGACGTGCACGGGCTGGGCCACAACAGTCTGTCCTGCGAACACCAAGCAGATCCTTTAATCACAAGCACCAGGGACGAACAAGGTCTTAGGACTCACACTGAGTTCAGCTTCAGTGGTTTCTATACAGAAAACAACAGCCCGAAACGGTGCTGAGACAAATAAAGCCATCCTTTATGACTACTTTAAATGTTTCTGGGTTCATAATAACATTCAGACAAAGGTCTGGAGAGTTGAGAATGTTAACAATTAAATCAAGGGACACCTCCGCTAACACACAGTGACACTCCCGAGGGGCCTAACGGCCATGGCTGCTAGAAAAGGCTTGTCAGCCCCACTCAAGGATATAAGCAGGGGGTGATGTGGGGGGGAAGCGAGGGGCGGCATGAGACAGGCACCTGCGGCTTTCTGCGGCTGCCCGATGGCCACACTGATCCCAGCAACGTTCATGGGCAGGGTCGTGACGCCCGGCGAGGAGACCACAGCTGCCGGCACTGACACCACCGGGGGCTTCGCCAGTGCCACCTGGGCTGGCTGGGGCGCTGGGGCCTGCATCTGCCCTTGGGCCTGCAGCTGTGAAGTGGGGACCCGGGTCTAGACAATGAAAATAATGGGAGAGTCCAGAGATATTCAGGATTCCATGCATCTGCAAACACTTCCCACCAGAGGTCAAGTGGTGAAAAACTGAAAAATTTATGAAGGTGCAATGTGGTGGTCAGCTAAGGGAAAACATCTTGCTGTGGGCTGCCTATGGCCCCTGACCATCACCAGGAAACACGGGGAGCAGGGCTCAGAAAGCCCCACATGTGCCCAGGCACACTGCTGCTCAGCCACGGCTCCTGTCCTGCCCACAGTGCGCATGCGTCTCTGCCTCGCCTTCCACCTCAGAACCTCCCTGCGGCCCCAGACTGCCACACCTCCTAGTCTCATGTCCTAGTCCTTCAGCTACAACCCTGACCCTGAAATGAGTGCCACAGCCTCCCAAGGGCCACCCTCGGTCCCACCTCCTGAGACTTTGTTATCACACTGCTTCCGAACATTTCTTTCCTTAAGTTGTATTTTTAAAAAGGAAAATGCAAATAGACCTGTTTTTACATGTACAAAAACTCAGAAAAAGAACATATGTCTTATCTATATGGCTCGCTGGGGAAGTGTATGAAATGAGATGAACTTTAGGTATTTTGTAATCTGAGTCTCTTCCTTTTGTAACAATCCTTTTTCAAAGCTGCGTACTATTCACCGCGTGCATGCTATGCAGTCTATTTAGTCGACTCCTTAGCGATGGCGATTTAACTCTCTCCTAACATTCTCAATACAAGTTTGTACATTTATCACTTTGCACTTGTTCTATTATTTCTTTAGAATGTAACAGAAATAGAATCACTGGGTAAGATAATGTGCACATTTCTTAGCTCAACTGACTAGAACTCTCTCCAGAGGGAGCTGGTTCCTGCCAGGAAATCCCATTCAAGGAATGGGCTCCCCAACTTGGCCTCCAAGTGTGATTACTACTCTGCTCATTTGAATTGGCATTTTTTGTGAACACAGGCAACACCAAGCTTGCTCTCACAGTTTTTATCCACTTCTGTCCCTTCTCTTACAGACTTAGAGTGAAGCACACGAGAAGCAGAGCCTGGACCCCCAAATTACAGCTGTGTTGTGGGTGATGAGTTGTAGGATCTGGGTGTTACTAAAGGTGTGTGACTTGGTTTCTGCACCTGCAAAATGGAGTTAACATCACAGCACCCACTCCCACCTCAGCACCAATCAGCTGACAGGCAGGGAGGCTCAGGCAGCACCCAGCCCAGAGCAGGGTTCCTAGTACCAGATTTCACCAGGTGTGACAGAGTCTGGCCCACCAGACACTCCCTCGATTCCTGCTGATTGTGACTGACCATCCCAGACACCCCTCTCTCCCCAGCATCATCCCCTCCTTCAGAAATCTCTGATATCTCTCCGTGCCCCCAGAGCACTGCAATCCCTGAGCCTGGCTCTGGGGCCTTGCTCGCCCCTCTGCCTCCTGCAGTCTCCCCCACCTCCCCTCTGCCCAGCAGCACCGGCATACCTTCCACATGCCAGGTCTCATGCTCCCCTCATCCCCCACGTAAACTCTGCTCTCCCTCCATGGTCTGGCTTGCTCCCCTCCTCCCTAACCTCTCAGGCCACCATAAGCTTTGTGACACCGATGTTCTGGAAGGCATGACTGTGTAAATGTTTCCCATACATGTGCTGTGCTTCGCCCTCTCCAAGGAGAACTTAAAGTTCCTGGGGAAAGACCATGTCTTTACTTGTCACTCCACCATCATACCTGCAAGGGCCTGAGCAAGCAATAACAGTTCAGTTAAAACGTTAAGAAGACGCTGCTCTGGAAAAACAAGCGTATCAACGGGAACTTACGAGCCGGGCCACCTGGAGGTTGGCCACGGTGGTGCCCGTGAGCAGGGCGCCGGGCCTCGGGGCTGTGACCGTGGTGAGCTGGGGGCTCTGCTGCTGCGTGGGCTGCGGGGGCTGCACCTGCACTTGAGCCGTTGGCTGCGGGGGCCCCGCTGGGGCCTGTGCTGGGGGCGCCTGCTGGGGCAGCTGCAGTTTCTGCTTCTGCATTTTGATCAGGTGTTCCTAAAACCCAGATAAAGTAATCTTTTCATCAACATTAACTGTATTCCACTTTGTATAAATCTTGGTTTTAAGTTACTGTTCTACCCATTAAATATTGAAGAAAACAGTTGCTACTGTCCAGTCTGCAAACAATCCTCCAGGCCTTTGCCAAACATTTTTTAAATGTTCGTTTATCACTGATGAAAACTAGCAACAGTGATTCTGACAGATCAGCAAATGTGTAACAAAATTTCTAGGTTCTGATCACTCATAAACAAGTTAATTTAAATCTGCAGTACCATCAAAAATATTCTAAAAGTCTTAAAATCATAGTCCTTCTTGAAATTTTAAAATGTATTATAAGCAGTAGCTCTAAATTTTGTATTCCAACTGTCTCCAAATGAAAGTTTAATTGATAAATAAACCCATGTCTTTAAAAGAAGTTGAAATAACAAGATAAAAATATTCTAGGGAATAAGAAATTTTTTAGGAAAACTGATACTAAGTTATTCATTCATGACTGTCAGATCTCTTTCAAGATGCTGAAAAAGAAAAGGACTTTGCAACTGGTTTAGGAGAGGGCAGGGAAGAGAGGAAAGGAATCAGGTGCATGAGTGGGTCAGCGGGGCTCTGAGCAGCTGAAAGTGGGGAGCAGGGCACTAAAGGCCCTGCCATCATAGAGTGGAAGGAGCAGGGAGGTGGGCGGGGGAGGCAATAGTGTGGGGAGCGGCACAGACCCGCTCTGACAACTCGCCCCTGCTGGGCTGGGCAACCCTAATTCAGCACTGCGCATCAGCATTCTGCAGCAATGGACATGCCCTGGAGCTGGGCTGTCCAATGGGATGGTCACAGCCATGTGTGGCCTTGCACCCTTGAGCTGTGGCTGGTGTGACGGAGGATGGAAAGTTGAGCTTGGTCACATTTTGTTTCTGTGGTGTGCACGCGGGTGCCCCTCCAGGATGAAGTCCTGGCTGGTGCTTGCAGGTCCTCAGGGTCCTCCAGCACCCTGGGCCCCTCTATCACCCACAAGGGGCAGGCCCGAGGGCAGGTACTTACTGTGGCAGCTCCGACAGCCAGCTGCAATTCTAAAATACCATCTTGATTCTATTACATACGTTTTTCTGACTCCTTTCTATGTTGAGTATTAATGCTTTTCCATTTGTGGCAGTATTTCCTTTTAAAATGAATGTGTTTGGTTGTATAACAGCACAGGTGGTACAGAGAGTGGCAAAATTCAGGAACATCAGTACTCAAATGACTGACACTGAGAAACGATAATGCAAATGAACAACTCCTAGAGAAACCAAGTCTTCACCACCTCGGCTCTTAAACTATAGATGAATGCTTTTCACCAACATTTTCTCAGGCTGGGAAAAGGGTCCAGTGGCCTTCAAGTTCTCCCTGGAGCCTGAGCTGCTGCACACAGCACAAGCAAGCAGGTGGGAAGATGCATCTGGAAACAGGGATTAAGGCCTCAGAGAGCTGGGAACAAGCTGGTCACATGATCATGGAAGCGGCCCTGTAGGCAGGGTTGTTTCTAAAGACAACACACATACACTTCCCACACAAAGACGATGGCAGGTTGTGCAGAACACATTCTGAATGACACAACACAAAAAGGCGTCATCACACAGCGGGCGTCAGGGTTTCTAGAAGATGCTCACCGGTGTCAATTTGCCCACAGCCTTGATCTGCGCCGGTGACTGGGCCTGGCCTTGGATCTGTGGGACCTGCACCTGTGAGGCCTGCTGCTGCTGCTGCTGCTGCTGCTGCTGCTGCTGCTGCTGTTGCTGCTGCTGCTGCCGGAGGAGCTGAAAGTGTGCGGGCGTGATGGTTTTCCCTGGGAGCTGGACTCCTGTGGCTGAAGAGGTTGTCTGGTGAGACCGCAGCCCCCCAGACACACACACACACCTCTGAGCCCTCAGGAGCTGTAAGAGCAGGGCAGGTCATGTAGGAAACCAACCCTGCCTTTACCTTGGGACACCTGAGTCACCAAAGACCGGGTTGGGGTCTGCACGGGGGTCAGGCTGGTAGTGACCACAGCCGAGGCCGTCACTGAGGTGACCGCTCGAACACCCTGAGTCGGTGCCAGGGACACCAGGTCAGATGTGGCCGTGGCTGGGGAACCAACTGCTCGAGGCTGGGTGTGGACCACTTGGGCAGGAGCAGAGCCTCCGGAGGTCTGGAAAAGGCAAAGGGAAGAGAACTGTCAGGCTGCTTCGCGATACTCAAGATTCTACAGTCATCGGGTGAAGAAAAAAGGCCACAAAACTCTAAAACCTAGAAAATGAAGCCTCTGACAAAGTGCTGAGAGACCTGTGAGGGCAAAACCTGTGTCCTGGGCTACAGCAGGTGGCAACACGCAGAAAAGGAAGATCCCCTCCCCCGTCTTAACACTTGCCCTGTGCCTATCCAGGTGTCCTCAGTCGAAAGACCTTTGGTTTCCAAGAAACCATCTAGATGCCCATGTTTATCCCTGCAAAACACACCAGGACCCTACTCCCCATGGTCATCCCCAGCCGGGCATGGAAGCTGCAGCCCTGAACCCGCTCCCATCCACTCCAGGCCTCGTGGCGTCCCAGCTGAAGTAACTTCTCAGATCTCTTGTCCATTAAAAAAAAATTATTCTGTCCACTATTAAAAGTTGTTGATTTTCTTACTGTTGATGCAAGAATCTTCATATATATTTATATATACATATATATATATATAATTTATTTTGGACTGGTGTTGGGTTTTCATTGCTGCATGGGCTTTTCTTTAGTTTCAGTGAGCGGGCTTCTCATTGAGGTGGCTTACTCTTTTTTTTTTTTATTTTCAACATTGAGGTGGCTTACTCTTGTGGAGAACCTACTCTAGCGCGTACAGGCTTCAGTAGCTATAGCACATGGGCTCAGTAGTTGCAGATCCTGGGCTCCAGAGCACAGCTTTAGTAATTGCGATGCAAGGGCTTGGCTACTCCACATCATGTGGGATCTTCCCAGACCAGGGATCAAACCTGTGTCTTCTGCACTGGCAGGAGGATTCCTTACCACTGATCTACAAGGGAAGCCTGGAAGAATCTTTATATAATCTATATACCAGTTCTTTCTCAGGTATATTTTCTATGCCTTTAATTTTATTAATAATGTTTTCCAAAGAGCAGAAATTCTTGATTTGATGATGCTTCATTTATTAATTTTTTCATAATTAACAAGATTTTGGTATCTTGGGAAATCTTTGCCTAAACCAAGGTAGCAAAGATGTTCTATTTTTCTTCTAGAAATTTTATAGTTTGGGCCTATGACCCACTTTGAGTGACTTTCTATATACAGTACCAGTGAAACAGGTCAAAGTCCATTGCTATGCACATGGCTCCACAATTTCTCTAGCACCATTTGTTGAAAAGACTGTCCTTTCTCCACTGAATGAACTCTTCCAGCACTTTTAGCGAAAAGTAATCAACTATGTACATGTGGGTCTATTTCTAGACACTCTATCCTACTCCATGGATCTGTGTGCCCATCCTTTTGCCAACACCACGCATCCAGATCACTACCAACAACACCTGCACAGCACAGTTAGTTTTCAAAACTCAAGAGGGGCCTTCCCTGGTGGTGGTGGTGGTAAAGGATCCCTCTACCAATGCAGGGGACATGGGCTCAATTCCCCACTCTAGAATATTCCACAGGTCAACTAAGCCCGTGCTCTGCAGCAAGAGAAACCACTGCAATGAAAAGCCTGTGCACCACCACTGGACAGTAGCCCCCGCCCGCCACAGCTAGAGAAAGCCCTTGCACAGCAACGAAGACTCAGCGCAGACAAATAAGTAAACTTTAAAAAAATGCCCAAGAAGGATAGCACTCTATTTGCCAAATGCACGGCTGACTCTGAAGCCGCTTCTTCTCACTCGGGGCGCATGTTGTCTCTAGGTCAGTGACTAAATTGGAACTCAGGACATAAATGTAAACTTGTCAATTTCAGTTGTTCACTTTTGCCTTTTATGGTGAAACACCACGCCCAGCAGGTGTGTCTGCTGGTGAGTGCCCTGTCTCCTGGTTTCGTGCTCAGGGGTTTTGCTGCTCTGCGTCATTCCTTCTGCCCAGGTCTGGCCCCTTCTTGCTTCCTACTCATGGGCCTAGATACCCCAGAAACCCACCACCCCGCCTTGTGCCCCATCGAGCACCGTCCACTCCTGTACTTGTGCAGTGGCCACCGTCCACTCACAGGCTAACCTGTCAGTACGGTACATGGGGCACCCTGTCCATTTGTCAGAGACATGCTCTCACCCCCTTCCTTCTCCTGGAGTTACGGTGGGGATTTCAACACCCTCTCCCTCAAAAAGAACAATATGGAAACCATCCTCTGCACACCTGAATGTTCTTGGTACTTTATGAAATTCAGACTAGATCAGTACTTTCTATACCAATGGAATTCTTTTTAAAAAAAAAACCAGACAACTTTGGCAGCATCCTAGGACATGCACACCACCCAAAACACCCAGGAGCAGGGACAACTCACAGTTAAGGCTCCAGGTGCCACGGGTGAAGCCAGACGCTTGTTAATGGACTGGAAGGTGGCGGCAGGGACACCAGCGATGGTGTTCACGATCACATTTCCACTCACGGTGCCTGCAGGGAGAGAGGGTGTGAGGCAGGAGGACAGGAGAGAACTCACCTCCAGTTGTGGCATCTTACCCGTGAGGCTTCTTACCCGCGGGCATGCTCGTCCCTGTGACAGACGTTTTGATGGCTCCTGCCTGCTGGAGGAAGGAAACCATTTGAATTTTAGGTCAAGTTCTCCCCTGTGCAGATGCTCCAAAGCCTTCCATTTCATCAGGATAAAATTCAAAGTCTTAATCGCGGTTACTCAGGCCACGTGGCCGACTTCAGCGCCCCCTCTCCCCACGTGATCCCCACACACCTACCCATTCTCCCACCTCCTCCCACACTGCTGGGTCTGTGCCTCGGTCACCAAGCTCCAGCCACACTGATCCTTTTAACCCCATATTTGTCAAACTCAGGGCCTCTGTGCTAGCTATTTTCCATTCTTCTCTGACTAGTGTCACTTGGCTATAGGCTAGGGGCCAGCCCTGCACAAAGTCTTCCTGACCACCTAGCACTGGGCAGAGAGCAGCTCTCACACCAAACAGGTGCTTAGTTTTCTGAACAAGGAAGGACAGAGCTGCCCAAGTGCCCATAAAAACACCACTGTGGCAAATGCAGTAAAGAACATGGGGAGGAAATGACTCTATGTAACAAAGCCATCCCATGCTGGGCAGCAGTGTCTTCCCATGGGGGATTCTTACGTGTCACCACGCACACACAGAGAGAGCACATAGCGGGGCACGCTGCGTGAGACCGTCAGACTACCATTCTTTTTTAAACACCTTTTACAGCCTCCCTCTCACAGGTGCACAAGCTTCGGGGGAGGGTGGGGCAGGGTTGGGAATGAGAGGTCTGCACTAACTGCTCTGCAAGTTCGCAGAGGTCAACCTCTTCACAGTTACACTTCACAAATCCCTAAACCCAAACTTCCTGTCTCTTCTACCAAGAAGAGTGGCCTCGCCTCCCACATCCCTACTGAGCTAAGCTAGCCCGGAGAGCAGAGCCGGTCCTGCGTGGGGTGATGCAGGTGAAATAGCCGCTTCCTCGAGCGGGGGAAGACTGGACCTCTGAAGGGCTTTGGGCTGGAAGTTGCAGGACCCCTTGGTGGGTATGCTGGACCCGACCTCCCTGTTCCTTCTCACCAGCACTGCGGCACTGCCCACCGTCGTGATCGCAGGGGGTGCCTTTGGTGGGGGTGGCGCAGGCTGTGCAGGGGGCTGTGCCTGAGCCTGGGGCTGGATGGCAGGCGGCCCCGCAGGCTGCTGGCTGCCTGCTGCTGAGGGCTGGGGCAGAGGCGGAGGCGGCTGCTGGGGCGGCGGGGGCTGTGGCTGAGGCGGGGGCGGTGGGGGCTGTGTCACGGGCGGCTGCTGTGCCTTCTGCTGGTCGGCCAGCGCCTACAGGGGCAGGAAGGAACAGTGTCATGGGAAGGAGTTGGCCCAGCAGACCGCCCCAGCCCGTGGGCCCTGCCCACCCACTGCACCACACCTTTTTCTCCTTGGCAATGCGCTCTGCCCGGAGGGACGCAACCTGAATAGGAGGCAGGGGTTTGTCGTAGTTGATGCCACTAGAGACAAAAAACAAAAAAGAAATGTATTGCAAGTTCTAAAACAGACAAACATTCTAGGAACCCGAATCCCCCATTTCCCATCCTGCCAGGTGCTGGGACATGACTCCTACAAAGCCTCACAGGCCAGGGTGCCTGGCGGGTTGGCCCTGGGATGGGGAAAGGATGACCTTCCAACAGGAACTCCTGGAAGGGGGCCCTGGGCCTGACTCTCCTCTGCAGCAGTACTCGGCTGGGGCCCCAAGCATGTAGGGACAAGAAGGCCATTCAGCACTGTGCCCCTCAGAGTAGACTGCCTGCCCCTCCACCCAGCAAACTGCTCACCCCACCTGTCCTAAGCATCAGCCTTCCTCCAAGAGGCCTTCAGGAGAGGTCAGCTGGTCACCCGCCTAGTACTGTGAGCACCCAACGGTCCTCTCCAGCCTCTCACAGCAACCTTGCTTCCAAGGTTCCTGCGCCCCCAGCCCCCCATGCCAGTCACAGGAAGGCTGGCTCTGCCCTGTGCGCTCCCTCCAGTTCTCAGGGCGGCTCACCAGCACGGCCCAGATGCTGAGGGCCCAGGTGCTGTGCTGCACCACTCTGGTACCTGGGGGATGCCAGCCCCCCACCGCCAAGTCACATGTCCCCAACCCGCCCAGCACTTTGTCTCCCATCCTCTGACCACCCATGTCAGTCCACTCAGCCCCCCGAGGCTGCCCTGCAACCCATCCAGCTGCTCCCATATTCAAGTGAAGATGCAAAGACAATCTGTACCATGAAGAGACACAGAGAGGGGCTGGGGTATGAGCTGCCACAAGAAAAAGGTGACATGTGAGAGTGAGGCTAGGGGAGGGACCCACATGCCGGGGGAGACCATCCCAGATAGAGCGACCCACATGGCAGAGCCATGAGGCAGGGACTGCCGGCCCACTTGAGCAGCAGCCCGAGGCCTAGGCCCTTGGTGTGGCTGGGAGGGCCGGGGTTCTTAGCAGGGACAGACCCGTGTCTGGCAGTATCTGCAAAACCTGCTTGGTTACAAGGAAAGCTTGAGTCTGAGTGGCACCTAGGTTCCATCTGAACACATTCTTTCCTCCCCAAATTTCAAGAAGGCAAACACACAGAAAGTGGCAGGGATTTTACAGCCAACACCCAGGTGCCAAGCAACTCAGATTGCACAGTTCTCTGTCACTGCTCTCTCACCCCGACCCATCTCTCACCCACCGTCTCACTACCTATCTAGTCATTTTTTTTTTTTTCCTTTGCAAAATTTCAAAGCAAGAACACCCACCCCCAACAGCATATATTTTCAGGGCAGAGCCAACAAGACATCTGCCAGCGCAGAGACGCTGAAGGAGGAGAAGCCGCTCTTCCTCCTGCAGGCTATCAGGCCGTCAGACTGCAGGTAGGACACCACTTCATCACGTGAATGGGGACACCAGCCAGCCGGGCACGCCCCACCTCGATGCCTGGACACACTGTCTGTACAATAACTCACTGAACTTGTAGTTTAAGAAAGCCCTAAAATGAGGTCATTTTCAAACAGTTAAAACTGTATCACAAACACAGAAATACCTTTCTGCCAATACAGAAGCGTGCTTGGGGTTTTTCTGAAAGGGGTTCATGCCAAGCCTGCAACACAGAAAGAGAGAAAGTTACTGAACAAAGGAAAACGCAAAGGCGGGAAGGCCGACAGTGAGAACGAGCCCCCACTGACTCCGCGCGGCTGGCAAGGGGGACCTGGGAAGCGTACAGGGGCTTGATGGGGGGGCTCCTCTTGCCGGCAGTCATCTTCATCAGGTCAAAGTGGCTCGTGTACAGCTGGGTGTGCGTGGCATTCTCGTCCTGGGCGTACATCTGGCCTGTGCGCAGAGGGCGGTTGTTCTTACTCTGAAACAGAATGGGGCAGCACAGCAGTCAGACACTGACCTGTGAACGAGGTTCCCGACTGGGAGCCTAATGTGAAACCACTGAGCCCCTTCTTCCTGACCTTCTCTCTGAGACTCAACTTAGAACAGCAACGACACAGCGGCCGTTATCCACCGACCACACTCCCCAGCCTATGCGAGGCCTCCTTGCCCATCCCTGGAAGAAGGGGACGCCTCCAGCTGGGAAGACAACAGTGAGGCCAGTGGATCACACAGCAAGCCACCGACAGCCAGAACACCTTGACTGTGATCCGCCCCTGGGCACCAGCTTGCCCTCCCAGGGGCCTCTGCCCCCAGTGGACGTGAAGGACGGGACTCTAGCATTATTTGTGCCTGGGACTCTCTCCTCCACGGGCCCTATGGTGAAACCAGGCACCTCCTTGCTCCTGTAGAACTTCAGGGCGGTCCCTCCCGGCCCACAGGCCACCCCAAAGAGGCTTCGTGAGTCCCTCCTGTAGATGTAACATGTCTGACCACCCCTGCTTCAATGGGTGCAAGCAGGTCGTCGATGCAGGATGCCCCTATGGAGCAGCACTCTAATGCAAAGTAGCAAATCCCCGCACGCAGAAGTGAAACACCTTGGACACTGAGTGCCTATCGGTCACTGGAATATGGTTCATTTCTAACCTCACTCTATGCTCTGCTGCACAGGCACTTAACAAACTTCCCAGTTTATTCAGAACATCACCTTCTATAAATGACCTTTGCCATTTTCTTTAGCTTCACACATGAGCTATAACAGAGCATCAAGTTTCAGCTTGATGATTTACTGTATCCAAGTTACGACAATTGTTAGAAATGCTTCCCAAACCTAATGGATCTGACACCGGAAGCCCTGTTGATGAAAGCATCGCAAAATGGTGTTCTGAGTAAAGACTGCTTTTCTGGTATTTGTTTTCAAAGGAGGAAACAAACATGTCTTATCCAGAGACAACTGTTTTTAGAAAAGTGAAATCTTGAGATTTGTTAAAGGGTGCTTATAGGAAAAACGTAAGTAACATTCATGAATTAGAAATACAGGAGCAAACTTGATCAAAGCTTAGGACGTCTCCTGCTGCTACATCTGCCCCGGGCGGTCCCAGGCAGAGATGAGATCATCGCTCCTGTTCTGTGACTGGATGTGAGGACCATCACCCCAAAGGCCACCAGCCAGAGGCCCAACACTGCTCACAGAGGCTTTCTACATGGAGGCTATGGACCCACTCCCAAAGGCAAGAAGGTGAGGACAGAGCAGATGGAGAAATGGCAAGAGACAAATGCAGTTCAAGGGGGATGAGAAAAGGTGCCACAGTGGAGACATCCTCGGCAGCCACCCTGACTGTGGGGCTGGGCCTCCTGACGACACACCACGTCTGCAGTCAGTGTCCACGACGCCTGCAGCTAGGACCAGGGTGTCCAGCACCCATCAACCCCCTGCAGCAAGGCGTGGAGGCGGAGGCACGGACAGACCCTCCTTCATGTCAGCTGACAGCAGAGAGCAGGGGCCCTTCCACTCACCCAACCCTGGAAGGAGGAAGCCCTCAGATGGCGCCAGGGCCACCAGACAGCACACAGAACTTTCCAGAGGACACAGCAGTGTGGCCGCTCCCTATGAGGTGGGATCTCAGCACCTAGACCACTGCCGACAGTAACTGTGACTGCGCCGCCCCCACTCAGGCCTTGGCAAGTACTGCACACCCTCACCCACCTCTGCCTAACCCCCCAGCCCCCACGAGCCTCACCTTGCCCTCCTCCCTGGGGATGAGAACATTCTCGTAGCGGTTCCGGCACTGCTTGGAGGAGCGGTAGATGCGGCTGCACGAGTTGACGACATCGCTGACCAGGTCCCAGTTGGGCGTGTGGGCCGGGGATACGATTGTGAGGTTCAAAGGCAGCTCAAGGAGCTGCTTCACGGCCTGGAGGATCGGGTTCAGGACCCGCAGGTCAAGGCCCTGCCCATCGGACGCTTCCCCATGCCCCTACCCTCCCTACTCCCCGTCCCAAGGGCCCCAATGACGGGGCCGACCAAGGTCGGGGCCTCGGACTCACCTGCAGCAGCGCCCAGTCCTCGCTGATGAGCCACTCGGGGTTGTCGGGTCCGGACTCAGTGGTCGGTTTGGCAAAAGTTGGCAGAGGTTTGGCGAACTGCGTCTGCTGCTTCAGCAGAATGTTCTTCTTCTGCTCCTTGCCCTCCCGGCGGATCTTCAACATGCCGGGGGTCGCGCGGTCAAACAGCGACCGCGGGGGCACCACGGCCTCCCCGTGCCGCTGTTTCTTCTTCCTGCCTGCGGCTGCACGGAAAGCAGCTTCAGCTAGCGGGTCAGTGGGCCAAGGTGGGGAGCGGAAAAGCCACAGGGAGGGTAACCGAGGCCACTGGCAGCCACAAGCCCTCTCCCCGCGCACAAGCCCACCTGAGGGGTCCGTTTTGTGTCGGCGGCGCTCCTTCCTCACATACACGGGCGGCAGCTTGGACTCGGGGATGGGCGTGGTTTCGTACATGAGACACATGACCGAGTCAATGTAGATGTCGTTGTCGTCCTGAGGGGGTGTGGGCGGCGTCCAGAGCTGCGTGCAGGAGGGACAAGCCTGAGCTGGGTGGCCACAAGGGCAGCTGGCCCAGCATGGCGGGAGGCAAGGGTCTGGGGGCGTGGGGACACGGGCACTCACCGGCATGACCTCCGTCTGCCCGTCAGCGCCCTCACACACAAACTCCTGAGGGAAAAGGGGAGGCTTTTCAGGTCCGCGCAGCCCTCGCTTTGAGCTGTGAGTGATCAACTGTCTACCTTCACGTCAGTTAATAAGCCTTCGAAACAAGCATGCAGCACCGCTATTGCCAAGACCTAAACTGCACTTCCATCACAGCTGGCACGACGGTGGGGAAAGCCAGCAGCAGGGAACAGAAACCCCCTAACCCGGCACTGGACCAAGACAGGCCCAGCCCGTCAGCCCCGGGTCCATAGACAGGAGGCCTTGGAGGGGCGCCCGTACCGCGCTGTAGGCGTCCTCCCGGGTGTAGGTGAGGAGCTGCTCCTGCTCCTGCTCCAGCCGCACCCTGGCCTCCTGTTCCCGCAGGCTCCGCATGTTCCGGGCCTCCCATTCACGCACAGCGGTCAACACGGCGCCCTGCGGGAAGACCGGCCATTCCCATCGCTGCCCCAGACTGCCCGGCCAGCCTCCCAGTCCTCAGGCCCCTTTTCCTCTTCCCAATACATGACCCTCTAACCAAGCACCGAGCTGCTTCAAAACCAAGGAAAACCACCTGGTGTAGGGTTTCAGAGGCTTTGCCCATCTGATCACTTTACATACGGGTGGGGTTTGGTTTTAATGCCTTGAATTCTGAGTGAGTCACACTTCCAACCCAGTTTAACACTGAAGAATCTGAGATTCTCACACATGAAGATAGTCAAAAGTTTTATCTCTTACCTCACTACTTCTCTCCTTTTCTTGATCAATGGAAGTATGGAATAATTCCAGGTAATTCAAGGCATACTTTTCAATTGGTGTGAGCTGTATCAAAATGCATTTTTTGAACAGAATTAGTAGCAAGTTCATAAGGATTTAGTTCCTCGTATAACCCCCCACCAGCACCTGAATCAAAATAGCGACTGGTCTTGGTCAAGAATGAGCAAGAAATGCCTCACAGAAAGGTCACATGCTTAAAATATCTAGGTATAAAGAAAAGCTGAAGTAGAAACCCAGAAGAGAAAACGCCCAAACCTGTCCCATGAAGTCCGCTAACTCCTCCAGCTGCGAGGGCTCCTCGTCCCACCTGGGACCGCTGGAGTCAGGCGACCCGAGCACGGCCTCCTCAGCTGGCTTCTGGGCATCCTCCTCCTCCAGGTACTCGATGCTCTTGAGGGCCTGCAGGATGTACATGCTGCGTGGGGTGACTTTAATATGCTTTGAACACTCTAAATAAGGGGTCTTGGAAAAGAGCCACACACGGACCTGACTATACGCCCACACTGCACACCGAGCGCCCCCCCCACAGCGATGCGTGTGCTCTTCAGACCCTCACACACTCTGGGGAAAAGCCTCAGGACACAGGCCGACACGCACAGCAAGGCCCCCAGACTCAGAGAACCAAGCGGAATGGGGTGTCTCGTTCTATTGCACACCCGACACCCACTTTTCCGCCCCAGTCCCACCACAAGGGCGCTTCATGGTGCATGTGACATACGCCCTGGTCCGTGGCACAGACAGAAACCAAACCCCCAGGAAGACAGTCCTTGGCACCACCATTCAAGAAACACAAATTAGACTAGCAGATAACACATGCTCCTCTCTCAACAGCCGGAAGGTACAACTGTCAGGGGCTGGCAGACTCAAGACACAAACACTCACGTGGGGGGTGGTGGGGGTGTGGATCACGCAGCTTAAAGAGGATTCAGTTAAGAAATCCTCTAGGCAGGGCAACTAGGCAAATCTTCAAAGTTTAAATGGTAAACCAACCTCACACGATACCCAGAAATTATTTCCAAACAGACTGTCCATCTAAGCATGAAGGATAAAACACTGAAGCATCTACAAGAAAGTACAGGAGAACCTCTCAGAACACAAAAGCATCAATCACTTCACAAAGACAGTGGCATTAGGACCAAGAATTTCTGCTCACAGAGACAGAGTATTAAAAAAGACAAACCACAGACTGGGAGAATATATTTTACATGTATCCCACAAAGGCCTTGCACTCAGAATGTAGAAAAAATGCCAACAAGCCATTAAGAAAAAGAGACAACCCAGTTAAAAAAAACAACAACACAGAAAATGATGCGAACAAGCATCTCACAAAAAAGTACCCACACGACCAATGAACACAAAGCTCACCAGCCAAGAGCAAGCTGCAATTCAACCACAGACGCGCCCACACGGCCCCCATGCCTGCACCTCTGAACTGGTCCCCAGCCCAGTGTCAACACAGAGCCAGATGATGGTCCTAAGCCACATGTCCTTGGGCAGCCTGTCTCCATCACCGCTGATCCCCGGTCACACCTGACTCCTGCTGTCCAGACTCAGAGGTGCTGTCCCTCCACCCGTAACACTCCTAGACACTGCTCATCACACCACTGCCATGAGGTGATGGTCTAGCATCTCTCCTGTCACTAAAACAGAAGCTCCAGGGAGGATGAGAGGTCTTTTTCTCAACACTATACCCCTACTGCTTAGAACAGTGTTTGACACACAGTGTAAGACAACCCACCAGAACACTTCAAAGAATCTCTATGTTGAAAAAACATGCCAAGCCAATGTCTCTAAGTCACACTAAGAAGCAACAGCAAGGGTGTATGACAGGCTCACATTCCTCAAATACTCGCCCCTTTAGACCTCACATTTTTCTTCCAGGATCCATGTAAGATTTTTACCAACGGTTAAGGATTGTCGGGACAAATATCAATAACATCAGATATGCAGATGATACCACCCTTATGGCAGAAAGTGAAGAGGAACTAAAAAGCCTCTTGATGAAAGTGAAAGAGGAGAGTGGAAAAGTTCGCTTAAAGCTCAACATTCAGAAAAATAAAATCATGGCATCTGGTTCCATCACTTCACGGGAAATAGATGGGGAAACAGTGGAAACAGTGTCAGACTTTATTTTTGGGGGCCCCAAAATCACTGCAGATGATGAATGCAGCCATGAAATTAAAAGACGCTTACTCCTTGGAAGGAAAGTTATGACCAACCTAGATAGCATATTAAAAAGCACACATTACTTTGCCAACAAAGGTCCGTCTAGTCAAGGCTATGGTTTTTCCAGTGGTCATGTATGGATGTGAGAGTTGGACCATGAAGAAAGCTGAGTGCCGAAAAATTGATGCTTTTGAACTGTGGTGCTGGAGAAGACTCTTGAGAGTCCCTTGGACTGCAAGGAGATCCAACCAGTCCTTCCTAAATGAGATCAGCCCTGGGTGTTCATTGGAAGGACTGATGCTGAAGCTGAAATGCCAATACTCTGGCTACCTCATGCGAAGAGTTGACTCATTGGAAAAGACCCTGATGCTGGGAGGGATTGGGGGCAGGAGGAGAAGGGGACGACAGAAGATGAGATGGCTGGATGGCATCACCAACTTGATGGACATGAGTTTGAGTAAACTCCAGGAGTTGGTGATGGACAGGGAGGCCTGGCATGCTGTGATTCATGGGGTCACAAAGAGTCAGACATGACTCAGCGACTGAACTGAACTGAATGATTACCTCCAGGAAAAGTAATCTACTGTTTCCCCACTATCATTTCATTTATGTTATGATGTTTTAGGTTTGCGGTGGGGGCGGGGCGTGGTGTGTCTTTTTTTCTTTTTTGTGGTGTTTCTTAAGTTGAGAGTTATGTTTTGTTTTTTTATTTATTGTTTAAATATTGGGTGTACTAGGTCTTCAGCGTGGAACTTGGGCTCCAGAGTGTGCAGGCTCAGTAGTTGTGTCACAAGGGCTTAGCTGTCCTGAGGCTTTACGAGATTTTAGTTCCCCAATCAGGTACTGAACCCACGTGCCCTAAATTGGAAAGTGAATTCCTAACCACTGGATGACTAGGGAAGTCCCCGTCAGGATGTTTGAGATTTTCTTAAAAGCCTAAAGCACCTGTCACCTATTTTAAAAACAACAGGGTAAATCTATCTGTTCCTCCTGATACAGAAACAGCTGTATTTCTATGCACCTGACATTACCCACAGACTACTAGAAGAAAATGTGAGAAACAGTGGACAGTGGTTGTCTCTGAGAGAAAAGTGAGGGCGTGATGCAAGAGACTTACTTTTCACCATAAATTTTTGAAGATTTTACCACATGTATTTATAACTACTCAATAATCGAACAGCTAAGTTTCAAAAATAGAAGAGGAGTCATCCTGTAGCCAAAAGCCCCTCCAAGAGGCAGGACAGGAACAGAGCCTCAGGGAGGAGAGCGAGGTGGCCCTGATGGGTGGGTGTGTGATGTGTCTGCACAGTAGCTTGTGAGACAAGTGTGCAACCTGCGAGCGTCTGAGCCAAAAAACGCAGAAGGCAAGATTTCATTCAATCTCATAAACCTGAAGCATATCATCTCAGCACATAACCCACAATGACGACTGAGTGAAATAGCTGCTGTTCTCTGTGGTCTTGTCCTCAGAGTGGGACGTGGGGCTCAAGCCAGGGCTGCCTTCAGCCCAGCAGCACTGCGACAGGGGAGCGCTGAGACGGCAGTGGGCAAGAGCCAAGGGGTTGGAGCAGAAGGTCACACGGGACAGTGTGGGGTGGCCCGAGAAGCATGGGTGGAAGCAGTAACAGCTGGCGGCAGTGGCGGGGGCACGCCACTCTCTCCCGCGCCCTTCACCTCTTTTTACAGCTAAAATCCCCAACAACGAAAGCAGGGAAGGAGAAAGCTGACAGGTCAGGCCCAAGCAACTGGAGCATGCGGAGGGGGAACAGTGGTGTTGCAGGAGCAGGGGCAGACCCAAAGCTCCAGATCCAACGATGCCAGGCAGGCACCAGCCATCCTTACCTCTATGAAAGGTCTTGCAATTTTGGGTGCGATGGTTTCTGTGACAGAAGGTTCCTGAGAAAGAACGACAAACTCCTCGGCCTTCACTGGGAAGCCAGTATCATCCATGGGTGGATAAACCTCAAACAGCTCCTGGATTGTCCGCTGAAACAAAAATGCGTATCACTGAGCCCATGACCTCTGCGCCCAGAAAACCACCAGCCACCAACCCCTCAACAGCATTAAACCCCCCAGTTCTGGTCACTGTGTGGCACCCCCTCCCCCGCCCCAGGCCTCCTCGCAGAGGACAGCACCTGCGTGAGGAACGCCATGGAGTAGTCGTTTCCCTGAGCAGCCACTTCTCGGATCAGATCTTTGGTGCCATTTTTCAACAACTTCTCTTCAATGGAATTGCCACTCACGAGCCTACAAACCAAACGTGGACACACATGACAGCTAAATCCCTGGGAGCCCGAGGACAGCCTGAGTGCCATGGCACCTGGACCACAGCACCCGCATGGAGCAGCATGTTGGCAGCGCTCTGAGCTGCTTCCTTCCTCTGTGTGGTGGCCAGAGGGGACTGGAGGCCTGCGGGGTCGCCTGGCCGCTACCCCACATGGGGTGAGCCACACCACCACCTCCCATGCAGCAGGAGGGCTGGCCCCAGAGACCCACAGCACCCATGCCGGCCGGCTGTGTCCCCTCACTTGCCGCTACCTGGGAAGACACCCCCAGGACTCCAGACTCCTTGAGCCCTGTCTCCCTCAGTGCTGACGATGGCAGGCAGGTGCCCCCAAGTCTCTGTGCACCTCCCAAAGGAACCTGTGTCTAGCGGCTGCAGCCCCAGGACCAGCGGCCCCTGGCTGCTGCTTCGTGCCACCTGGAAAGCTGCAGTAACCACTCCTTACTTCCATGATCAGGGCTTTCATTAAGATGACGTTAAACCTCACTATCACTTTGGGAAAACCTTATACAGCTTTGTGAACCAGGTCTTCTTGTCCCAGAACAGAGCATGTCCTGTGCTCATGATATCACTCAGGTTATACCCTTTCACAACTTTACCCTCCACTCCTGCACATCCTGCACCTTTACTGCCAAGGTCGTTCCCGAGTGTCTACAGACTGTGGCTACCGAGAAGGAAATGTTTTCCCCATCACTAGCTAGTAACTGCTAAAGGGCCAATGGTAAGCAATCACACAATGAAACATTATTCGATCACATAAACAATATACCAATTTTATATATATTTGCATGGAAACAGGCTCTAGACATACTATTAAAATAAAACAGCATTACATGGTAAGACTGCTGGCACAAGCCATTTAAAAAAATCAGGGAGGGCTTCCCTGGTGGCTGCGTGGTAAAGAATCTGCCTGCCAATGCAGGAGATATGAGTTCGATCCCTGGTCCAGAAAGATCCCACGTGCTGCAGAGCGACTAAGTCTGTGCACCACCATTACTGCGCCTGCGCTCCAGAGCTCCGAGAGCTGCAACTGCTGCGGCCTGAGCGCCTCAGAGCCCGTGCTCTACAACAAGAGAAGCCACCACAGTGAAAAGTCTGTGCACTGCAACCAGAGAGTAGCCCCCGCTCACCTCAACTAGAGAAATGCCTGCACAGCAACAAAGACCCAGTACAGGCAAAAATAAGTAAAATTATTAAAAACAAATTTATATTAAAAAATTGGGGCTATGTCTGGAAAGACATTAAAATGCTACTAATTGACAACTGGGCAGACTCTTTACCTTCTCCATGGGCTGTCTTTTTTTTTTTTTTCCTTTTCAATGAACAAGTAACACATTTACAATGAAAAACAAATTAAGCTATTTAAACACAGTGTGTGGATGACTACATCTTGAAAATGGTAAGGGTTATGCACGTGGGCTGGGGTTCCAGCCCTGGGCCAGCCACCAGGGACCACACACTCTGCAACCCTCCCAGAGGTGGCAGGAGCACAGAGGAAGGGGCGTGTCACAGGCCTGCACACTTGGGCACCAGATGGGCAGACAGAGGGCTGACACACAGGCAGAGCCTCCTCTGCTTTTCTCAGCTATGTGTGGATGACCACTTATAAGATTTAAATTATTTCAGTAGCCTGTTTACAAGTTGCCACAGTTAAGTGATAACACATCATTTACATTTGACAATACCTGAAACAACCTAAAACCTGAGACACCCTCTTAAGGGTCAGAGACTCTAGAAGAAATATAATAGGTACATGTTAGAAGGACAGCATTTGTGTCTCAGCAGCAAACCCAGTCACCACTGCGAACAACTCAACTACGTCCCAAGCAAGGCTGAGTGTAAAGAAAGAACAGACAGGATAGCAGGAACGTAAGTCCACCTGAAGGACAGGAAACACACGAGGCAGAAGCTTCTGCAGTGCGCTGCAGCCACCCCTGGCTGCCCCGCCAGCAGCTGCCTCACCTGTATATGTGCACGTCCTTGCGCCGCCCAATCCGGTCGCACCACTCCTGGGCCTTGGCGTCCATCACGGGGTTGAGGTCATGATCGTAGAAGACCACCGCATCTGCCTCCACGAGGCTCACACCTGTGGCGCGGCTGTGTGTGGAGAGGAGGGCGCAGAAGATGCGCCGGTCTCGGTTGAAACTCCTCATCAGTTCCTGGGGTGAGATAAGCTCCCGAGTTAGTGCTCCTGACTAACGACAGGAAACCTCCAACATGTTCAGATGCTGATCAGTTAGAAATTATTTGGTGTGTCTCTCCTTTGACTCATGGTTCATGTTCCAATTACATCGGAGTTTAGCATTTTATCCTGGTTCTTTCAGGCATGTGCACTCTCCTTCACTTACTGATAGCTAACATCTCTACCCTGTTTGAAGGTTGCCTGCTAGCCTCCCACCCTGAACTGTCAGCTCCACGTGTAGGCCCCAGAGGACAGCAGAGTCTCCCTGGGGAGGGATGCGTGCTTGGTTCATGTACCCTCCAGCAATGCCAGGAGCCTTACAGCAAAAGCCCCTGGAGTAAGGCCGAGGGAGCTGCAGCCAGCCAGGGGCAGGGCCCTCCACTCCCTTCAGGGTTGCCAGCTGAAACGGCTTTCTTCCCACAACGTCTCTCCTGCAATGATTTCAGCGCCCAAGCAGACCTTAGCAGGAGACCAGCCCTCTTCTTCAAGAAATTCTCTACATACAGTAAATCGCCTACACATAAACCTTCAAGTTGCTGGCTTTCAAAGATGCAAAGGTGAGTTCGCATGTTCCACCACATAAGTTAGTTCACGTGTCTGGTGTAGACTGTCACGTGAGTGTATCCTCTACAAGGGATTGTGATTCTGTGCACTTTACTGTACAGAGCATAGTGGTACATCATCTTTATATCAAGCCCAGAATGTCCAGAAGCAATGTAAAGGCAGTGGTGACATAGCTGATTGTGTTAGTTGTGGACTTAGGCTAACTTTGGTGGACTTACGAACAAACTGAACTTATGAATATGCTCTCAGAACAGAACTCGTTTGTATGTGGGGGACTTACTGTAATGCGTTACATTACTCTTGAGGGAACTTGCTACTTAAGACTGTGGTGTACTTCCTTCCAGGCCTTCTCAGCATGGGGAGGCCTGCGTGTACTGGACGATGTGAAGTGGGTAATGCGATGCAAGTCCAGCAGCTTGTCTGCACTCAGGAACACTGTACCATGATACCAAGGCCTGTCATGAAACACTGCTGAGGATAACTTCCTAGTTCACCCTGTGGGATACTCAGGACAGCGCCAAGTCCTGTGGCCCACAGACCACTGTAGCCCATTCTTCTATTCCTGGATATGGACTGTGCTCCAGACTGGGGGTTATTACAAACACTTTCACAGACAATTGTGTAGATACATCTTTAAGAAGCGTGGTGCTGCTAAAGGAGTTCTAGATACAGAATAAGGGCTTCCCTGATAGCTCAGCTGGTGAAGAACCTGCCTGCAATGCAGGAGACCCTGGTTTGATTCCTGGGTGGGAAAGACCCACTGGATCTTGGGCTTCCCTTCCCTTGTGGCTCAGCTGGTAAAGAATCTGCCCACAATGCAGGAGACCTTGGTTCAATCCCTGGGTTGGGAAGATCCACTGGAGAAGGGAAAGGCTACCCATTCCAGTATTCTGGACTGGAGAATTCCATGGACCATGTCCACGGGGTCACAAAGAGTTGGACATGCCTGAAGGACTTTCACTTCACTTCAGATACAGAATTACTAGGCTAACCGTATAACCATTTTTAAGGTTTACAACCCATCCTGCTAACTTGCTTTCTAGAAAGGTGTCCTAATTTACACCCCCACCAGCAGCCTGATGGAATCAAGCTACCCTCAGCTAACCTGGCAAGTAAAAACTGGGCCTATTATTTGAACCTGCATTTTTTAAGTGTAAGTCAGTCATGAGGGCTTTTCTGTTTTCACATGGCTACTTCTTGAAGGACAACCATCTCGTTCTTATAAGGACTACACATCACCAATTTTGATTCTGAAACATCTATCCAACTGGATTTCCCAAGTAACAGGACTTATGAAAAAATGTCAAAGGGCGCAGCTAAAGTCCAGAGACATTAAGAGGTTCTTCTCTCTGTTTAGATAGCACGGCTCGGAGAAACCAGCTTAGAAACTAGCAATCAAAGTTAACCCAACCAAATCATAAACGGTAACAAAAGAAATGATTTCCTTTCTACCTGCCGTTGTTCACTGTTGGCGTTTTCATCAATTCTTATGTAGGTGAGATAATGGAAGTTCAAGAACATTTCTAAGATGTCCAACATGAGAACCATCTGCGATAAGATCAGCACTCGGCGTCCTTCAGACTTCAGCTTCTGAAGTAAGATGGCTAAGGCCTCCAGCTTTCCTGTGAAATGAGCGACACCGAGAGGATCTCATAATCCAAAACGAGTAAGCCCGACACAGGGTGCAGAGTGGATGGGACACCTCCAGTACCTGAGTCAAACTGGACCAGCCTCAGCTCAGGGAACCGCAGCGAGTGCAGAGCCGTCATCCGCTGCAGCTGCTGCGCGTAGGGCGCTGTGTGCTCCCGCAGGCAGTGCCGGAAGAGCCGCATCCTGTGGCTGTAGAGGGAGGGTGGCCTTGCCACCCACAAGCGCGGGGGCGCGGCCACCACCGGCGGGATCACGCACACCACCCTGAGAAGCAGAAAGCATGCGTGTCACAGGTGACACCCACGGCACCTCCACCAGGCCGTCCCTCTGGCTCAGGCAGCGAAGGCTCAAGAAGGCAGACGGCAGAGCCGTCTGGCAGCGGGGAGTCACGAGAGGAGTCAGAGTGCCTAACTCCAGTCACATGGGGGGGACGTGGCTGCTGGAACACACCATCACAGCAGCCACAGGAGTGGGTGCCGGCCAGTGAGGGCTGCCCAGATCAAGATTAGCAGTGAAGAGTACTGCCCCCTACCCCCTGAGAGCACAGGGATGTGTGCGGAGGCAGGACACAAGCACTCTGTCTCCTGGATCGTCTGGGGAGGGTGTGAGCCCTGAAGCTGCTATAGCCACAGCATCCCCAGCCAGGGTTGGGATCCAGGCTTGGGAGGAGGAGGCCCTACCAAGGGCAGCAAGACGACTCAGAGGACCCAGACAATCGACTCTGAACAGACTCCAAAGGACAACTTGCGGAGAGAAGTGAGATGAATGTCCACAAAACAACCACGAAAGTTGGTGGGGTGCAACACAGTGAGCGTTTACTTTTTGGGGCTCCAAAATCACTGTGGACAGTGACTACAATCACGAAACTAAAAGACAGTTGTTCGTTGGAAGAAAAGCTATGACCAACCTAGACAACATATTAAAAAGCAGAGACATCACTTTGCCAACAAAGGTCTGTCTAGTCAAAGCTATGGTTTTTCCAGTAGTCATGTAAGGATGTGACAGTTGAACCATAAAGAAGGCTGGGTGCCAAAGAATTGATACTTTTGAACTGTGGTGTTATAAAAGACTCTTGAGAGTCCCTTGGATGGCAAGGAGGTCAAACCAGTCAATCCTAAAGGAAATCAACCCTGAATATTCATTGGAAAGACTGATGCTGAAGCTCCAAAACTTTGGCCACCTGACACAAAAAGCCAACTCAATGGAAAAGACCCTGATGGTGGGAAAGATTGAGGACAGGAGAAGCGGGCGACAGAGGATGAGATGGTTGGATGACATCACTGACTCAATGGATATGAGTTTGAGCAAACTCCGGGAGATAGTGAAGGACAGAGGAGCCTGGCGTGTTGCAGTCCACAGGGTGGCAAAGAGTCAGACACGACTTAGCGACTGAACAACACCACTAACAGTGAGTGAGTAAAGAATGCTTACAATACTCTACCTTACCTGTCGATGACATCCTGGAGGGATTCTTGACGTTGAGTCAGCGTCAAAATCAGGTCCCTGTGACTTTTCGAGGGCAATGTGTACCTGCTTGCAGTCCCAGCCCCCTTCCCGTGACCACGGTCAGAAGCCCGGAACCAAGGCACCTGCTCTCTGCCAGGCAGGGAACAAATCCCCAACAAGTCTCTGCCGTAGATGGGGGAGCGGGAGCAGCGCCGTTCGTTGATGAAATAAATCTGGTCCAGCCGCTCTTTCAGAAGTCTGGTCTTCTCCTCCTTCATCAAAAACAGGGATGAAAATGGCTACTGAGAAATAGCATAGCTGGCCTTACTGAGCCCTGTGAGTCCCTCGTGTGTGGCAACTGGCCATAGAGCACGCTTAAGACTCGTGGGGCCAGGCTCCACAGGAAAACAGTGGCAGAAAAAAACAGTGACAGAAAAACAAGCAGAGAAAACAGCACCACTTTCACTGCCAACGTGAGAAGTATTTCTTCAGACACAGTGAGCATTTCTAATGTCTGGAAGACTAGTAGAAGCATACAAAAAAAATGGGAAATGTAATTTTTACAGTCCTAAAGCCTAGTTGATTAGAAAAAGTGTTTTTAATTCTCTAATTCAAGGAGACAGCATGTTTTTGATGGCAAATAAACAGATAATACCTCACAGAGGCAGCGATGTATTACTATCACAACCCTCCCCCATGACAAGCAGCTTCTGAGAAGGACCTTCGTGTGTGCAGGGATGCCACGATGTTGCCCTGGGGTCTGTTGCACCATACCTGGGTGGGGCCAGCGACAGGAGAAGCTGGTTTGGAGGCCGCTCCGGGTTCTCCTGCGGCCAGGGGACTGACTGCCACTCGACCAGGCACACCCACTACAAATGCAAAAGCAAAGGGCTGGCACACAAAACTACTGGCATGCCCTCTAGAGGCTCCAGAGGCCCTCCTTCACTGGCATGATCCCTGGAGCATCCTTGGCTTTCACGAGCACATTTCTAGAATATGTCAACTCAAATCTATATCATTCAGAACCAACAGTGAGGCATTCCTGCTCTCTGGCCATGATCTGAAGTGAACATCATGGTCTGACTCTTTGGCAAGAGCCCTGTGTGCAACTCAAACCTCCCCACCATCCTGCTGAGCAGCAGCTACATGGGCCCTTTGCTCTGCTGTCCCTGGCATCTCAGCAGCATCAACCCTGTGTACCCGGGACAGAGGGATGCCAGGGCCCAGGACCGTCTGCTCCCATCAGACAAGCCACGCTGCCCATCTAGACAGAGACTTCTCCATGAGGGCTGTGAAGGGGATGGCCGAGGACTGAGAAGGATCCGCTTGCAGGGAGCAAGGGGAAGGGTCGAGATGATTAGATGATTAGTAGCTGGACTGGTGTTAGGTTGGGAGTCTGGGGCCTCACAGAGCAGGGCTGAGCACCCTCTGGGGAGAGAAAACCTGTAGCACGAAGCCAACCAAATACAAGCAGAACTGAAAGTGGCCCAGCTAGACACAGAGCAGTGACCAGGACCCTCTAGCACCCACCCCACCAACAGAGCCCCTGACAGGGATGGGCTGTAGTGACCAGGGGTTCCAGTTGGGAGAGATCCTTGCCACCTCTACATATCAACCTGAAGTAGTGCCCATGTGCAGTGAGTGGGCTCCCCAGCAAGCACCGAAGGAGGGTGGGTATGTCTGAAGCAAGGGACCCTGGCAGGAAGTAGGCTGTGGGGGTGCTGAGAGGAGCACCAGCCGGCTGGCAGGAACAACCCTGTTCCATTACCTGACCAAGGGAAATTCTAGCACATTCCCTAAATGTATTTGTAACATGAACAAGCAAAATTTCTCATGATTCCAAGTCTCTTGTTAGAGCAAAATCAAAGTCTTAAGGTGAGTGATAGCTGGTTGTATTCAACAAGGACCTTTGGGAACAGAAGAGAATGAAAAGAGACATAGCAGACACGGGCCGTCTGCGGAAATCAGAGGCAGCCACAAACAGAACTGTTAGGTTCTGAGGCCTCACAGAACCCATCAACACCCTCCACCTGCCTCAGAAGCAAAGAGGGTTGGTAAGAGGTTTCGAAGCCAAGTATCCCCCAGGCTCACAGCACTCCACTCTACCTGGAGGGGTCACAGGCGTGGGGCTTGGGCCACTGGCTGGAGGCTTGCTTCCCAGGGCATTCAAGGCACCCGCCTGAGACACGGTCTGCATCACCACGGGGCCAGGAGGGCGCAGGTAGGACTGCCCAGGCGCTGACACAATCTGGAGCACGCTGCCTGCAGGCAAAGGGCACAGGTCAGTCACGAGGTGCCTGTGCCTTCCATCCCCCCACCACACCCACTTCCAAAGGTACAGAATGAGGCGAGAAACCAAAAATCCAGAATCATTTTACTCCAATGAGGCAACACAAAATTCAGTTTGCTGGAGAAAGATGGAACTACTTCATTCACAATGAATAAAAACTCTAAGGATCAAAGACACTTAGCTTAATGTCAAGAAAAACTTCTCCAACTCCTTACAATGCCAGATTTCAGGCAGCAAGGCAGGTTCCCACTCACTGTCTGCTCCAAGCCTGAGCCATCATGTGGGGGGCGGGGGAGTTCCTGCCCCAAGATCACACACTGGGTGCGTGCCAGCTGGTCAAGCTGGGTGAAGAAATATCAAAAATCTCTGTGGCTCTATAACCACTGTTAAAGAAAGCTTCCATTTTCAGCCTCTGTGTGATTTAGTCCTGAAGTCTTTTACTCTGGAATTATACTCTACAAAAACTAGAGTACACCAGAAATTCTTAGGCGATGGCCTTGCCCTTCTGGTCAAAAAAGTGGAGAAATATAGAGTAAACCAAATGAAACCATTTTTTTGCTGCAGGTTTTCTGGGGGCCTCCACTCTGCTAACGTGTGACCCTGGTGTCCACACGGAACACCCCAGACTGGGCTGACAGCTGAACTGTCTGCCCCGACAGGAGCCGTGAATGACATGTCTGGGGAGGCTGCTTGGGGAGGTGGCCAGACTCCACCTCTGGGATCTCTGGCCAAGTCACCGAGGATAAATTTTAACATCCCACTCAAACTGCATCCCCTTGTTTCCTCTGAGAAGCAGTTACTGCAGGAACACACTGCCTTCAGCCAGAGGTGGTCTGGAAGTTTTAAAGGCTGTACATAAAAGAAAATAATTTCTCCTATGTAAATTGCTAGTCTTTTAGAGTTTTGAGGGAAATTTACCTCATGCCAAAATCTGAAAGGAGCAATTATTTCTATTTTGATATTTAGAATAGGGAACTGTATTCAAAAATTTTTTAAATTACTATCCTCTATGTAATATGGACCAAGGCCAGGCCACTGGGTGATTTACCAGTCACCTCCCTTGCCTTCAGAATACCTACAAGGTGAGACTCATTTAGGCCACTGCCAGGTGAAGCACCTGCGCTAAAGGGGTCGGAATCACAGCTGCAGGGGGGCGCCCTAGTCAAGCCACCACTCACTAGAGAGCCTTACCTTGGAGCTGTAGGGGCTGGCCAGCCGTGAGCTGCCGGAGCTGGCTGTGTGACAAGGTGAACTTGTTGCCTTGGAACTGCAGTGTCACGGGGGTCTCTGGCTGGGCGACTCGGCTTGGCGGGCCTGCGAGGGAAGCCAGCTGGGCTATTTTGACCACCTCCCCACCTGCAGAGATGCAGACAAAACGGAAGTGAACACTCTTTGGAAGGGTTGGCGACTGGTATACTGACAATCACTTGTCACAGAGAATGACCATCTGTAGCAAACTAAAGTGTCACAGGAACGTTCATTAGGTATTGCTTTCTAACACTTTCAGAAGATATTTTAATAGAAAAGAAAAAACAATTAGAATTAACACCAGGTTTTAATGGTCAACTTACTTAATCCTAACTGGTAGAAATTTTAGAGTTATCAGATATTAATAATTAACCAAACCATTAAGGAACATTTTACTTTTCTTTCCAAACAAGAAAAAGTAGCAAACATCAAAAGTAGCAGAAATGTACTGGTCATACACTTTGAAACTCTCATATCAACCTCTTCATTTCAGAATACTTTTAAAATGTGAGAAAGTACATATCCAATTTAGGTCACAGAGACAAATGAGATTTTATCACTACAGATATAAAATACACAACTAGCTTCAATTATACCCATAACCTTTTCAAAATTTGGGAATGTATTTAAGTACATAAATACATCACACTTTACGATACAATATTCACACTAATTTGAACTAGATTGTAGGATTTGGTCTAACTGTGAAAAAGTGCAAAATTTAACACTGCTTAAATTCTTTCAAACAGAACTCAGATGAGATCATATGTACCTAACTCAAAAAGATACTACCTTCAAGCTGGAATTGAGTAACAGCTTCAAAGGTTTCTTTAAACCCAATGGTTGATATTTGAGTCTAAATGTTCCTCCCATGAAAATTCATGCCAGAATTATTAGTGATACTATAAAGAGAATAGTTAGCCAAAGACTAGAAAAACACCCAAGGATATGTTGCCCACAGAAACCATAAACAAGGGAGGGGAAACGGAAAAGGAGACGCAGAGATCTGTGCATAGAAACATGACTCTCCCATGAGCTCCCCTTAGTCCAGAAGTGGAGGTGCCAGAGTGAAAGGTGGCCTGGCCCCTCACACTCCCCTAAGCACGGCTCCTGCAGTACACCCCACGGGACTACTACCTCAGGCCAAAAACACCCGCAAAACACATGCAAGGGCTCTCCTGCCCTGGGCAATGAACCAGGGTAAGTGCTCTTCATCTGCTGGCATGAAAGAGAGAGACGTGACCCAAGAGAAAACTAACTTAACTCAAGGTCTCCTCGTGACCCTACTTCCCTCTCCTATCTTTCCAGAGAGGCCTCAACATAACTTGCTGCACCAACAAATAAGGTGCTCTAGGTGGTATCTGAGAAGTAGCATAGCCCAGATAGTTCTGTCAGTACACTTCCAACTGCAGCATGGACAGAGGTAGTAGGCTAATCACACGGATCACAATAAAAAGTTCTATTTAAAAATGTCAGTGATCTACTGCAAGACGTCTCACTTAAGTAATAACTCATTGCAGCTTCAAATCTGGGGATAAGCCAAGAGACTAGCAGGAAGTGGGAGTGCAGTTCACAGGTTTTCCTTCCCCTGCCCTTTGCTCTCCGAGGGGCCCTGGAGGCTGACAGGATGAGTCGAGGGCTTGCTAAGAAGTGCCAACCTCAGCCACCAAGGCGGAGCACAAGCCCAGGAAGGAAGCAGAGCTGATGGGTGGGGCCAGGAGAAAGCACAGAGAGAGGACAAGACCCTGGACCTTGGCCCTGAATTGGGCCTCCCTCTTCAGGCCAAGGGCTGGAAAGGACAGTGTGGCAAAAGGCAGCACCGGACACAGGGTCAGGGAGACGAAGGGAGTGGACAGCAAGGCTCTTCACACGCTGCTCATCTGAACACAATGTCCTTGTGCAAAGAGGTGGCAGACCCGGGAGAGGCGAGGCCACTTACTCGGCAGGCGCGCCTGGGCCTGCGAGGTGAGCACCAGCCCCTGAGGCAGCGCGCTCTGCCCGGCCGGGTGCGAGGGGGCCTGGGGCTGGGGCTGGGGCGGGCCCGGGGCGGAGGCCGGGACAGTGGTCTGAGCCCGCAGTTTCGCAGGATGGGCTGGGCTAGGTGCTGTGCTGAAGGTCGAGGCAGGCTGGTGTCTCGGAGCACTGGTGGAGGCCTGAGAGGTCTGAAACGGGGCTGCTGCCGCTGCAATTGATAAGGTTGGTTTGTGCAAAGCTGTTAGAGGTTCTTCATACAATGCAGTATTAAATCCGAATTTTACAGAAATAAAACAAACAGTATTTCTTTCATACCACCTCTCAAATGAGAAGCTCTCCCTAAAAGGGGGGTGGGGTAGCCTATGGGATGAGAAAAATCTAATTTTTTATATGTCGTTAGCTATTTTCACTTCATGTTCACCACCCTGCTACATGGTATGTTTCTGGAGTAAACGGAGTGTCAAAAGTCGGCCCTTCAGACGTATCAGTGAGAACCATGTCCTCACCACACGAGAAGGTAGGCAGCCCTGGCACCCCCAGCTTCTTACAACAAGCTGCTCTGGCATTTATGAAGATCTCAGAAAAACACAGCGGACGTGACCCCACAGATAAGGGTTACGAGACTATTACCTTTTCTGCTGTTTAACCCTATCCTTCTTCACAGTAACAAGCAGGTTACATTGAAGTGGTGGCACAGAACACAAGAGCAGACTTCCTCAGAAGTTTCTTAAATGACTTTGATGTGTATTTCCCGACATAAAAGAGAAGGTTTCTGCTGAGGTACATCTTCACCATCACATCAACAGTGACTCAACTAAGAATGTAATTTCTTGTACAATTCAAAGACATGAAAAAAACTAAAACTCATGTAAGAATTACACATGGCCTCCTGGGAGAGCCAGAGCAGACAGTCCCAGTCCTGCTCAGAGGAGTGGTCACACATCCCCATGGGGCCAGGGAAAGTGCGAGAGGAATTTCTTCCACAAAAACCCTTTGCAACGCCAAGCACAGCCCCCTGAGAGGCATACCTTTTGCATCTGGATTTGCAGAGAATGTGGCAATGGGTGGCCGTCCTCGAACGTGGCCCTGTGGCGTGGCCGTGGCTGTGGCAGGGGTGGCCGTCCGGGGTGGATGTGTGCTGGGGAAAGCCACAGTGCGGCCCTCGGGCTTCTGGCCATACTGCACAGGCTGGAACAACCTGGACGCCCGTGTGCATGGGCAGGGAGAGATGAACACTGCTGAGGTGCGGAAGGCAGGGCCCCCTAGATGGGTGCTGGGGATACAGGGCCACCTGAGGGCACAGGGCATCCCACCCCAGGGGCAGTTTAAAAAATGGGGAGATTTCTAAATACAGTATTAAGAAGCAGATGCTCATCAAGGACAGGGGGAGGGGTGCTTAGTATACAAAAGTGGTACCTCTACCCCCAATACTTAGGCAATGTTCAAGAGTGAATGTGATGGCAATTTTTAGGTTCCCATGAATGTGAACTAGAAAAATTATATCTAACACAAAGTCCATTAGACTACTCTTTTGATTAACAGTCAAGTAGAATGAAAAGTCAACTTGCATAATTAGGTAACAAGAAACTGCAGAAATGATAAAAGCACCTCAAAGGTGTCAGTGGGGAAAACTATAAAGGGGTAACCACAACACAACTTCCCTGTCTGACTTTATCAGAAGGCAACGTGCTCTTCATGTTTCTTTCACCTAGAAACCATAATGGCAGGAATTTTGTATTTTCAAAACCCCTGTGCAATGCAACAGGTGGAGACAGCCAGCAGAAGCAACTAAATGAGGCTGTACCAGCCCAGAGAGGACTCTGGCTTCACTGCCCAGCTTTGTATTTAACTGAGGGCTGCAGGCTCCTGCGAGTGCAGGCAAGGCAGCTGAGGGCAGGGCGGTCGGACCCAAGTCGTCAAGAAGGCAGTAAGAACAGGCTGCCAACTGCAGAGCTGGCCCTTTTCTCCCTAAATCACCAACCTGCTTTTTCCTTTGTTTCTGACTGGTGCCCAGAATTTTGCATAAATCCAACTCATGGATTTAGCCCACCTCGCCTACCTCAAGTCATCTGTGTTTTGAGTTCATCATCTAGGGTGCCTGCTCCAACTAGTCTCATAGCACCTGCAAGATGTCCCTTTTCGCCCCCGATGCTGTAGCCAGGGTGGAGTCTCTGCCAGACCTCAGGGCCCCACCCCCACAGCACTCAGGGACCCCAAACCTGCCCCCACAGTACCCCCTCTGCCCTCCTACTCTGACGGCTGCCACTAAAGCCTGCACCAGGTTACAGGCAGTCTGACTGCCCCATCTCTGACCGCCTCCCCACAGAGAGCCCGCCCAAAGCCCAGTGCTTCTCCGAAATGATGAAAGGGCTACTCTTCAGGCAGCTGAGCGGCCACACTGGCCTGTCCACACCTGCTGTTTATCCCAAAAACCAAGCACACCTGGGCATTTCCAGGAGAAGCAGATAACCAGATTAGAGGATTATCCTTTTTCTTCACAAACTGTAGCCCAAGTTCTTGTGTGGAACTCAAACCCAGTCATCCCAGTTCTGAGAGGCCAGGGTCTCTTTCAGCAGGAGGAAGAGGGGATGCCACCTGGACTCCACAAACCACAGCCAGAGGCAGCCAGTGAGCAGGAAGTGCTGCTCCACACCATACCACATACCTGCTGGGCTTCAGTCTGACAGCCGCCGGCCTGCTTGACGGCGGCGGCGCAGTGAACAGCTCCTCAAAGAGTTTCCTCGTCACCTTCTTCTTACCCAGCAGTTCTGCCTCGTGGTGAGTCATTTTATTTTCTAAGCCAAGAAGATCAAATATAGAAAGGTCCGTTTCCTAAGGAAAAAAAAGAAAACAATTTTGCTACATGAGGCAGGAGAAAAAATAACTGACTAGGAATCAAAGTGGATTCCAAACTGGGAAGGACAGGCCCCGACTGGCCATCTTCCCGAGAGGCACCCGGCGGGACGTGGTGTGCTCGGGTCCGCTTTTTTTTTCTTTTGGATATGGACCATTTTTAGTCTTTAATGAATTTGTTACAATATTGCTTCTGTTTTATGTTCTGGATTTTTGGCCATGAAACATGTGAGATCTTAGCTCCTGACCAAGGATTGAACTCACACTCCCTACATTAGAAGGTAAAATCTTAACCACTGGACCACAGGGAAGTCTCAAGTTCCCCATCATTAACATGGGAGTGATGGCATGTTGTCATCCCGACAGGCGGGTGGGAAAGAAGAGGGTGGCACTTAGAACAGACTCAGCAGTGGAGAGGAACGAGCCTGGGAGATGCTGGTCTAAGCAGATGGAGATGCTTGGTCTTGTCAAGGCAGAGCTGGGAAGAGACCCCAGTGTACTGGTGCGGGTGTGGTGGGCATGTGGATGTCTCTGTGTCCAGAGGCCTGGGGAAGCTTGCTGTTCCTATTCTTCTCTTGGGACTTTCTCATTCCCACCAGGATGGCAGGAATCAAAGAGGAGAGACAGCAGGTGTGGGCAAAGAAGTGGAGACATGAAAGCCCTCATCCCCTCACACATCGATAGGGATGGGAAACTGAGCAACTACTGTGGCAAATAGTCTGGCAATTCATCTAAAGGTTAAACATGGATCAACACATGACCCCACAATTTTTCACCTGTCACACATGTGCCCACAAGAAGAGAGCCCCATAGGAAGGAAGTCCCACACCCACACAAAACTTGTACATGAATGTGCACTCAGTGACCAAAAAGGTGTAAACCACCTAAGTGTCCATCAGCTGGTGGACAGATTAACATAATGTGGTCCATCCAGACAACAGAGAAAAGAGATTATGACACATGATGCAACATGGATGAACTCTGAAAACACTACGCTCAGGGAAGTAAGCCACTGATGTGAAATATTTGGACCAGACGAATCCACAGGGTCAGACACAGGTGGGTAGCAGGGACAGGGAGGGAGAATGGGAGTGACAGTGTGTGTGGATTTTCTTTGAGGCAATGAAATGTTCTAGCATTAGCTGTGATGCTTGCACAATTCTGTGAATATACTAAAACCAACAAACTGTACATTTCAGAACAGTGAGCTTTATGGTAGTGAATTATCTCAACTAAGCTGTTTTGAAAACGAAAACACAACATAAAAACTTCCATTCATGAAACATCTCCCCACCCAAGCAGTATCTTCAGGTAACCTGCTTCTAACTCATTTTTATTCCTCATGCATCAGGTTTTCTCTAACTCAACAAAGAACACATCCCTACATTAAGAGCAGTGATGACAGTGGCAGCACAACATCCCTCACACTAACTCACCATAAACTGCTCACCAACCGGCCCCTTCTTCAGACCATCATGTACATAAACTGACTCCTCACAAGTGCCTGGTGTGGTGAGGAGACCAAGGCCAACTGAGCACCCAAGGCCGCACCCCTGACGAGGCAGAGCCGGGACCTCCACCCCCAACGATTTGGCCCCAGGGTCATGTGCTAAACGTGCACAAGTCTATCCAGGCCACAGAGCTAGTTCCCGTTCCTCGGTGTCTGTAAGACCTGATCCCTGGTCCTCCGGGGTAGAGGCAGCAAAGGGGAACTCAGGCACTAGCCTGCCAGTGGCCTGGCTGGTCAGGTCAAGCTCTCAGTCTCCTGGGTGGAAGCCAGAGTAGGAATGCCAGTCCCCGAGGGCATGTCCCCACCTCGCTGAGACCCGTGAGCTCAGCATACTTGTGCTCGGAATCACCTGACCTATCCCAATCTGTTCTAAAATTTGGGGTTTTCAAAAACTTTCATTACCCCCAAATTCAAACACAGAAAGGTATACAACTATTTTTTTTTGGTTAAAAAAAACAACCAAATTTCGCCACCTAGGGATAGTTGTGTGTGTATGGTTAGTTGCTAGCTGTATCCAACTCCTTCCAACCCCCAAGGGCTATAGTCTGCCAGGCTCCTCTGTCCATGGGATTTTCCAAGCAAAAACACCGGAGTGGGTTGTCATGTCCTTCTCCAGGGGCTCTTCCCAACCCAGGGATCAAACCCATGGTGGATTGTTTACCACTGTGCCACCTGGGAAGCCCTAGGTATAGCTACTAATATTTTAATAGAAAGACCTGGGTCCCTACCCCTAAATTACACCTATGAAGACACCCAAAGGGTCCTGCAGTTCTGAGTCCCGCTCTCCTTCACACACTCTGCTGCTGCTCATGAGCCAACAGCCAGGGAGGAAAACCCTCAATCTACCCTTCACATCGTGGGCCCGCCCCTCGGGTCCATTCCAAAGCAGGTTCTGGGTCCAGGGCAAGACCCATCACAAACGCCCCTTGATGCTGCCCAGCATCCGGCAGTGCAGAATGCAGGACACAAGTTAGCGGACACTTATGTCCAGAAGCACCTGGAACAGAGCTCAGTGGAGACCCCTTGGGCACCCTCTCTGTACCTTCCAGAAGTCTCTGTCGAGCGCCTTCAGGACGAGCGAGGCGGAGCGGTACTGCAGCGGCCCTGCTGTGTAGGAGGACTCCGGGAGCCGGGGTGCCACCAGTCCAGGGTGGTTGCAGATCCGCTGCAGCCTCAGGAGGATGCTCAGCACGTCCACAAAGTGCCCGCTCTTCAGCGCTTCCTGGGTTCTGCGCATGCGCAGGAAGAGACAAGCGCATTGCCAGGGGTGCGAGCACATGCCAGCTGGGCTTCTTCCCGCTGCTGTCCCCATTCTACCAACGCACGGCTGGTGCATCCCCTTGACCTGCTGAGTAAATCTGCCACATGCCAACCCACCTCCAAGAGGTTGTGGTTCTGAGATTCGCTCACCGCCCCATGAGAGAGTATGGGAGGCCAGAGAGCCAGGGCATGGGTTAGACGTGGGGGCACTCTCCATGGCATGCCCCCAAAGAGCGCCAGGGCAGGCGTCCCAAAGAGCCCAGGGATCTGTCTGGGTCGAGGAAGGAATACCCTGCCTCCACACGAGTCCTTGCACACTGGCGCAATGCCATGCTCCTCCTGGGCCGGCTATGGGCAGAACTTCTGACGGGACCAGGGAGGAGACAGGACTGTTGAGCCTGAGAGGAGCGTGGCCTCCAGCTCCAGATGCCCATCTCCCGAAAAGAAGCGTTCTGAGAGACCAGAGGGGGCCCTGCTCCTTGCGAGCAGAGAGGGTGGTGGGGCGCGCACTCACCCCGGCTGCAGGATAACATCCTCGTACAAGGCCTTCTGTCGATTGGAGAGGCGGCACTTGAGGACATGCTCATATTTCTTCGTCAGCTGCTTCTCCACGTCTCTCTTAGTTCTCCGCAAAATGAAGGGCTGTGTCACCTGAAAAGAGAGCACGCTCCATTGTTTCCTTTCCAAAGACGGTGTCACATCCACACTACATGGGGGCCCGCGGCCGCATACCCGGTGCAGCCGGATGACCACTTTGTGGTAGTAATCCTGGTTCTCCTCGTTGGGAGCCTTCAGGGGGAAGTGCAGGTAGGGCCTGGAGATGCCCGGGATGAGGAAGTGCACCATGGTCCACAGCTCCAGGAAGGTGTTGTGCAGGGGCGCGTCGATGAGGAGCAGGCGCTGCTGGCTGAGCAGAAGCGGAGAGACGACTCAGGCTGGGCAAAGAATCGCTCTCTCTGACAATACTCAAGGAGAGGGACGGTGACCATGGAGCCTGCACACGCATGCGCATATGTGTTAATGAACTGAATTAAGCAAGAGCTTTGGGTCTCCTCAGCCCTCAAGTGCTGGGACAGAGGTGAGGGGGAGTCTTTGCAGCTGAAAGGCCATTTGGGGGAACTGCAATTCCCTACAGTTCCTCCAAAGAACCTTTACATCAGCAACACAGAGCATGGGGCACACGCAGGGGCAGTCAGACCTCTGCAGGGTGAACACGGCCTCCCAGTGCCGCTCAGTCATGCCCTTCACGCGCTGCATCTCATCGACGACCAGGCACTTCCAGCGCACCCGCGTGAAGGACGCGAAGCCCTTGAAGAACTGCTTGTAGGACGTGATGCAGATGTTGAAGCTGTTGGGCTCCGTCCACTCCTGCAGCACACAAGCCAGGCCTCACCACCTGCTCAGGAGCAAGCCGCCTGGAGAGGACTCACCCCCCACTCACCCTGTCCCCATCACTGTCACTCCACTCCTTTTTCTTAATAACTTGCTGCCACCACAGAGAAAACGGCCGTTTATATTTTTAGGATCTTTTTTCTCTAGGAGGCCAAAGCCCTCGTGTGGACAAATTAAGAAACTGCTTTGGGGGCATTAACAATTGCTTTTGGAAAATATATTAGCACACAGTGTCCTGAAGTGGGGCTTGTTTTCATGGTATAGAAGCTTAGTGAAGGAAACATATATTCAGAAGCTGACAGGAAACATGAATAGCTATGTTGCAACTAATTACATTTAAGGTTTTAAAAAGCAATAACCAGAGACAGTAAAAATAAAAAAGAAAAAGCCAAGAAGAGACACCTTAAAGAAAAGACACTTTTTCAGTAAATACTACTCAACACAGTTGACTTTAACCATAAGCCAAATTTTTCTCTTCAATGAATAACTGTGATCTGGAACATTTACTTAGAATCTAGTACTAGAAACTACTGGGCAGAAAACAGAAACATACAAGTCCAAATTTGTTTCAGAAGCTCTTCTGTTTGTCACAAATACTCCTTGTAAACACGTCCATGGGAATTACTTATGGATTTATAACTCAGAACTCAGGATGCATCACAATTTCTCATTTCTGACTATGATAACCAACAGATCTGTGGTTTAAAAGGATGGCAGCCCCTCCAGAGACTACCTGAGCTCTGGGGGGTGGGGGTGTCCCTTCACTTCTGGGAGGTAAGCATAAGCCCTCCAGGGAACCCCTGCAGGCCAGTTTACTAGGTATGGTCTGTTGCTTCCAGGAGCTCCAAGTCCAGACAACTACAAGGTCTGGAGTCTTGCAAATGAGTGATTTACAATAATTACACTAACAAGCACATGCTAACACTTTGAAGTTTGCTTTCTACAGAAATTAAGATAGTTTTCTGTTTCATTCTATTTCACGTTTAAAATAACATACCTGTCTCTTTGCCTTGAGTTCTCTATGGCTGCCAACATACAAGAGCGTTTTGAGCCCCGGACACCAACGCTTCAACTCCAGCTCCCACTTGAGTATGTTGCAGCTCCTCACAACGACAAGGTGAGGGCCCCAGTTGCCTACACAGGAGACAGAAGTTTCCTCTGTAACAAAAGCCCTGTGTCCAGTCCAGGCGCCCAGCACTGTGCCCGGTGAGCAGGTGTGTGGGGGAGCCCAGGCATGACTAGAGCTGGCATCACCAGGAACAGAGGGCTCTCCTCTGTCCTCCCTGCAGAGTAGGACAACATGCTGTGTCCCCACTCCCAGCGCTGCCACAGGGTACACTCAACAAAGGTGCTGAATAAGTAAGCGCCCAGTAAAATGAGATTTATTCAAAACCATGGACCACTAATGTAAGTGGGAGAAGAACCCTCATCTACACAAAACGATGCTCAGAAAGGAAGAAACCTCAGGCAGGAGCCCTGCACCCAGTGCTCACCAAGCCCCCCTACCCAGCATGGCCTGCCGTCACCCCCACGCTATGGGCACTGGTCCAACACTCATGCTCATGACGGTTGCCAACTGCTAGTCAGAACACACCCAAACCATCCCAACCCGTCCCAAACCACACAGTTTCAATCTCATTCTCCAGAAAAGTAAGGCTGTATAAATTACTAGAGTAATACATACATAAATTTCAACTCCCGTGCTATAAAAGAAACCTAAACCAAGTTAAAAATCAGGAATGGCAGACTTGGAAAAAATATCTGTAACGCACACATCTATATTCATAACAGCTCATATGCAAAGCGTTATACTGATCCTTAAAAAGAATCATCCAAATGGAAGAAAATATATGCACACAACATGACTGACAAAGGGTTAACATCCAAAACATATAAACAGTTCATAGAACTCAATACCAAGAAAACAAACACCTCAATCAAAAAATGCACGTAAGACCTAAACAGACATTCCTCTGAAGAAGACATACAGATAACCAACAGAAACTTGAAAATATGCTCAGCACTGCTCATTATTAGAGAAGTGCACATCAACACTACAGTGAGGTACCACCTCGCTCTGGTCAGAATGGCCATCATCAAAGAGTCTACAAGCGGGACTTCCCTGGCAGTCCAGTGGTTAAGACTCCATGCTTCCAATGCAGCAGGCACATTAGTCAGGGAACTAATATCCCACATGCCACATAGCGTAGCCAAAGAGAAAAGTCTATAAGCAATAAAAGTTGGAGAAGGTGTGGAGAAAAGGGAACCCTCCTACATTGTTGGTGGGAATATAAATTGGTGCAACTGCTGTGGAAAACAGGTGTTCCTTGGAGGTTCCTTAAAAAGACTAAAAACAGAGCTCCACCACAAGATCTTGCAATGCCACCCCTGGGTATATATCCAGAGAAATCTCTAATTAGAAAAGAGTGAAGGAAGCTAGGAGGAGAAAAACAAATATCCTATAATATCGTATAATGTGAAATCTAGAATACTGATACAGAAGAATTTATTTGCAAAGCAGAAATAAGACACAAACGCAGAGAACAAACATATGGACACCAAGGGGAGAGGGGGGTGGGGAGGAATGAATTGTGAGGTTGGGTTTATACTATGTATAAAATAGAAATTAATGAAGATCTACTGCAGGAAAGGGAAATCTACTCAATATTCTGTGGTGATCTAAACAAGAAGGAAATCCAAAGAAGATAGGATATATGTGTATATATATATAAAACATTCACTTCACTGTACAGTAGAAAATAATACAACATTGTAAAGCAACTGTACTCCAATAAAAAGAAAAAATATTAAATAAAAAAAGAAAGAAAAGATACTGCATCCAGTGTCCACAGAAGCACTATTTCAACAGTCAAGAAAAGGAAGAAATGTGAATGTCTGTCAACAAATGAATGACAAGATGATGTGGTGTATGTGTGTGGACACACACACACACACACACACACAATGGAATACTACTCAGCCATTAAAAAAAAGAATGATATAATGCCATCTGCAGCAACATGGATGGACCTAGATATTATCAAACTGAGTGAAGTAAGTCAGAGAGAAACAAACATTATGTTATAACTTATATTTGGAATCTAAAAAGTATATATAAAAATATATGTAACCTGAAAAAAAATTAATATACATATAACACTGAATCACTTTGCTGTACACCTGAAACTAACACAATAATGTCAATCAAATATACTTCAATTAAATGAAGGAAAAAACACCAGCCAAGAGGAAAATGAACAAGGAAGTGAACTAAAATTTCAGAAAGGATGGGAATTCCCTGGCAGTACAGTGGCTAAGACTCTGCACCTTCAGTGCTGTGGGTCCAAGTTCAATCCCTGGTCAGAAAACTAAGATCCCATAAGCTGTGTGGCAGTCAAGAAAGAAAAAGAGAGAGAGAAATTTCACAAAGGAAAAAACACAAGCAGACAATAAACTCTGAAAGGCAGGACTTCACGAGTATAGAAATGCAAACCAACCCCATTGACCCTTTCCTCCCAGTGAAAAACAAGATTTTTTTTTTCCACTAGCATTTAGCATATCGTTCCACTTCTGGAGAGGAGCAGAGTGTCCACAACTGTGTTTGTGAACATGTCTGTTGACACTTGGGTGAAGCGGGGCAGGACACACCCCAGACTGCCCAGAGTGGTCACCACTGGGGATGGAAGCAGGTGCATATGGACAGCTGCAGCCTGTTGTTTTACTTTAAAAAGAAAAGAAAGTGATGAGTTTATGAGAAATTTTAATTGTGTGAACTTATCAGAACCCCTCAAACTCTCCTGGAACTCCCACCATTCTTGAGGAAGTGGCACACAGTTTTACGGTTACTCAGTGATGAACCCAAGGACACTGGGCCCCCTGGGGTGAGGGCAGACGGGGAGCCACATCCAGGGTGAGCCATCCTCGGTCTGCCTGTGCAGAAGCGGAGCAGGTGGCAGAGGCTCACCCACCCACCCTGCACAGCCCGCTAGGACCGCCAAGCACCTGCCTCTCCTCCAACTCGCCAAGCTCCCCGGCAGCTGGCCCGTCAGTCTGTTCCCAGCACCAAGCTGCCGAGGGACTCCTCCAACACAGCAGTGGCACAAACCTCTACGGAGGAAGACCAAGGCCCCCACCTGGCCAGCAGATGGGCCTTCCTGGCTATGCACCCTCCAGTCCCCACACCAGCCCCAATACTGCCCCGTGGACACACCAGCAACCCTCAACCTCTGCACCACCCCCCCCTCCCCAAGCCCCGCACTCAGGTGGCCATGGCATTCTCAGGCCTTTGCTCAAAGGCCTTGCAAGGCACACGGTACAGTGCCAACATGCTGCATCCTCAGTCACTGTGCCTGCTGCGGGCCTCCTGAGGGGGGCGGGCGCTTTGTTCTGGTCACAGCTGCAACCCCTGCGACTACAACATACCTGGAATGGGGTAGATACTAGGTAAGCACCTATAGAATGAATAACTGAGTCACTTGTTTGTTCAATTAATGAGATAAAATCCCCTATTTTTGGAAGTGTATGTTGCTTCCAATTTCACGCTATTATAAATATAATAAGAAACATTTTTTTCAACTAAACTAGACAAGAGACATGGTAGCTTTTCTATCTTGAGATAATTAAAACCGATTTTAAAGTACTACACTGAACACTTCATGGTATTGGGTCAAAAATAAACATATTAACACAAGGAAAAAAGGTCCCGAAGTTGATGCACTTGTATTAAACGTAAGCTTTCAAAACTAAAGGCAAGGCAGAGTTATTCACTGAGGACGCTAAGGTAACTGTGTCAGAATCCAGAGGGGCCACAGAGGAAGAAACCACTCCTGGGCTGAAGGAACCTCCACCCAGCAGCTCAGGATGTCAACTCTTCCAGCTCGAGCGGTCCCGCCCTGCCTCTAAAGCACTGACACAGAGAAGGGTCCTTGGGCGTTGACTAAGTGCTGGAACATGCATGAGCTTCTGTTGCCCTCCATCACTCCACCCCAGGTGCCAGCGGACCCTTCCTTTGGGAGAAGCCCACAAGCCCCTGTCCTGGTTAGAGACATGGGCACAGACTCGTTTGCAGCCCCGCGGGCACGAAGGGTGGTGAACAGTGCGAAGCTGAACTTCCATGTGAGTTCAAAGAGGCAAGGGCTGAGAAAGCGGACATTTAGGGTAGAGGTCACAGCCTCCTACGGGGGCAGCAGACACCCCGACCTTCTGTTGCCGTGCAGATGTGGAGCCCTCACAGGGCTCCAGGCTACTCGCATGAAACTCTTCTGGGAACGAAGCCCTGCGGGTGGCAGGATCCAGCAGAGAGACAGGAGGGCAGTGCTACTGAAATTACCAGGAGGGCCGCTCCCCAACCAGCCCAGGGGCAGACTGCAGTCAGTGCCCGGCCAAAAGGACTCATGCTAATGAGAAGTAGCACAGAGGCCCTGCTGCCTGCTCTGCCTGCCACACTGGTGGGCAGCAGAACCCTGGAAGTCACAAAGCCTCAGTCACAGCCGGCTGGATCCTATATTACATTAGACTTAGAGAACTCGTGAGTTACTTGATATAGTATCTATTATGAATGAAAGTTTTGTTGGCTCCAGAGATGAGTGCTTCTAAGCCCTATTCTCTCAAGTCCTGGATCAGAGTGTGGAAAAAGGAGACTGAGAAAAAAGGAGAAAAAGGAACTGAGAAAAAAGGCCTCCCCCCCACCCTCAAGCTAGATGTACCACCCATGCTTCAGTCTCAGCAAATACAAACTATTTAAACAACAACAGGCTCTTACCTTCATTACAGGCTAGGTGAGCAAAAAAGGCAATGATCTGCACTGTTTTCCCAAGCCCAGCTTCATCTGCCAATATGCCATTGAGGTTCTTGCGGTAGAGTTTGGCCAGCCAGTCCAGGCCAATCTTCTGGTAATCCCTGAGGGTGCCGTACAGCAGGGCCGGGGCATTCAACTTCACCTGTGGGGCAGACGGGCCAACACACACATCTCAGGAGAACCATTACAATTCTTCCTCCAAAGTGAAGTCAGAGCAGTCACAGGATAAGCCTACTGGAAGGCCACAAAGGTGATTCATAGATAACAGAAAAGGAAACATCAGTGATTGTTTTTCCTGACAACTTCTGCCACTGGGAGGAAGAGCTGGTTTAGAAGGAGGAACCTTCCCCTCACAGGGATACCATCCCTCACGAAAGGTGCAGCCTCACCACAGTGCTGATCCGAGCGCTGCCCTTGGGCAGGATGGCTTCAGCCACAGCGGTCACTTCCGCGATGTCCCTGGTATGAGGTTTCCCGACAATCACTCTCTCTGCAGCTTTAAACTGGTCCATGATGAAGAGCGAGTCAATGAGAACCACATCCTTCCGACTCTCCCGGTCCCCTGGGCAGTCTTCCATGTCTGTGATCAATGGGAAAATGGGATTTGTGGGGTCAGAGATGCTGTGATAATATTACGAGCCCACTTAGCATGAAAAGAAAAAGAAATAAAAAAAGAATGAAAGGAGAAGGAAAAGAAGAAAAAAGAGAAAAGAAAAAAGGAGTCAACAGAACCCAAATATTTCAAATACAAAACGAAGCAGCAAGTTTGTTTTTAATCCACCTTTATACAGCTAACAATGCTCTCCAGATAAACAGGTACGAACTCTTACAGAGTCTGAAGGAGCACTCTGGAAGGCCACTGGGTGAAACTGGAAAACACCTGCGCAGCATTAGAGCTAGTACCACTCACAGACTCATGGCCTCTAAGGGTTCAGAGACTGCACCTCTGCCATCAGGAAAGGAAGGATCAGAAGCATCTGAGTCTGGGCAAGGGGGCCAGCAGCCCCTCCTTGAGTCCGGCTGCACCGAGGGGTCCGGAAGGCCCTTGTATCCCCACAGAATTCCTCTGGGCCCCTCCCTCGCCCACCACCCCCCACAGGCAGCCATGTCTACCAACCAGAACAGGTGGGGTGAAAACAAGTAGTAGACTCTATGGGGCATAGTCTGTGAACCTGCTTGGAACATTCAATAAAAGTCAGGTAAAGACCTTAAAATGGGTGTGCTAAATTAAACAAGCATAGCGCAGCCTGGATAAACATGATAAAATCGAGGTGACATACAATCTGGAGAAGACTGTTTCTATACTGTTCACAACTTGATCAAATGTTCTGATAACTATGCCAAGTTGACCAATAAAAATAAAAAGCACAGAATTTAATAATACTATTAATGTAAACTTTACATTAAATATATTTTCAACTTTTTCTTTCATCAGACTGAAAAAGGTAAAGGTAATTCTTAAACTCTATTTTAAGTGCCCTTCCTCTGTTTGGTATTTTGGCTTTTGTTTTCAAAGCTGAATTCTTCAAAGATGTCAAGACAGACCTTCTTCTTCACTTGTCTCCTCACTGTCAGGCTTAGGTTGGGGCCACTGGAAATTTGGCAGAAAGGCACCTTCATACAACTTCATCAAATCGATCAAGGGTAATTCAGCTGGAAAGGATTGCAGGAAGAAAGATTATTTTATACAAACAGTGTCAGCTGGGAAGAAAGGCCCTTTGGGAGAAGGGCCCTTTCACACACAGTTGGCCTTGAACAACTCAGGGGTTGGGGTGTTGACTCTGCAGAGGAAAATAAGAGTATGACTCCCAGCCCTCCTTGTAAGAGGTTTCTTCACACCTGACCAACCACGGATCACAGACATTGTAGTCTTTACTACTGGAAAAAAAAAAAATCTACGTGTAGGTGGACCCACGCAATTCATACCTGTGTTGCTCAAGGCTCAACTGTATATTCCTTTCCCTGACTTTAAAATAATTCCTTGAGAAGAGTGTGTATTTTCTAAAAGTACATTGAATTTTTAAAAAGCTAATAATGATTGCCCATTACTGATAAAAAGTGTAAGACATTTTCTTTATAAAGTAAGGATCTGTGAAATGAGAAACTCAACTTTTATTCATAAAAGAATACTCCTAAAATAACCCAAATACAACCTAATAAATGTACATAAAACCTATAGATTAAGAAGTGAAAATATAAAAATACTACTAATGGAAATAATTGGTGGAGATGACACATAAAAATACAAAACGTCAAATAAAAGTCAAGAGTAAAAAATGTTCAAAAAGGATGATTAAAGATTATTAGCCTTTCTGTATAAAGAGCTTACCCTAACTGATCAAATAACACAGCAAACTAAAGCCCCAGTTACAGTGGGCAAGGGATATGGAGCTTTTACACTCAAAAAATACTATTAAGGGCTCATGAAGTATTTAACTGAACCTCTCCAGAAACCAGTGCACAATTGGTCCTCCATCACACCAGCAACCATCTTAAAAACTGTAATGCCAGACCAATACACTGAGTCAAATACTCTCAGCACTGCAGGTGGTGGTATAAACAGGCTTATTTTTCTGGTAACCAGTATGAAAAGTTGAAGGGCTTTAAATGTCATGCCCTCTAATGTCATTATTTCCCACTTCCATGAGTCTGTCTGGGGAAGTAACTGGAAACTGGGACTTCAGGTTCATGTTCAAACACAGTTCCACATGGTGTTACTTATAAAACAAGGCAAAGAACTGTGAGCTAGGTATCTGTGACACATAAGCTTTTCTGCATATTTACTGTATGTCAATAAAATTGGTGGTCAAAATAAGAAATGCCATAGAGAAGAAGTACCCTAAAAGAGCAGTAGGAAAGGCACTACCTGTTTAAGACTAATATTCCAGTGACTAGATTTGCTCACAATTTAAACTGTTCATCACAAGAGGCTGACAGGTATATGTGATAAAGCCAAGCAGAAGAAATTGTGGAAGAGAGGTGGTAGGTACATGGGTGTTTATAAAAAGGTTCTTTACTTCTTTGGTTGTCTGAATGTTTTCATAACAAAATACAGGGAAATGTGCATATACGTCATATAGTGGCTATCAAAGTAGGAACAAAAAACAGGAGAAACAACGGAAAAACTACTTCATCAATTAGATAATTTAGTAAGGTGTCTTTTTTTTTTCCATTTATTTTTATTAGTTGGAGGCTAATTACTTTACATCATTGCAGTGGTTTTTGTCATACATTGAAATGAATTAGCCATGGATTTACATGTATTCCCCACCCCGGTCCCCCCTCCCACCTCCCTCTCCACCCGATCCCTCTGGGTCTTCCCAGTGCACCAGGCCCGAGCACTTGTCTCATGCACCCAACCTGGGCTGGTGATCTGTTTCACCCTAGAAAATATACATGTTTCGATACTGTTCTCTTGAAACATCCCACCCTCGCCTTCTCCCAGAGTCCACAAATCTGTTCTATACATCTGAGTCTCTTTTTCTGTTTTGCATATAGGGTTATCATTACCATCTTTCTAAATTCCATATATAAGTAAGGTGTCTTAAAATAAACTTAATTAATGGAATCAACATCTTTCACACATAAAACTAGCCTGCAGATATAATGGAAGAAAAAAATCCTACTCAGAAAGCATTTCTATACTTCTTTAGATAGAAAGTATTTTAAATACTTAGAATTAAAGTTTTAAAAAATTCACATCTACACAAAGTGTTGAAAGTTTCGTGAAGGGCATGAGAAGAGACCCAGCCAGGAAGAGGCACCCTGTGGAAGGATGAAGACGCGCCCCCAGTGACATCATTCATGGCTCTCACAGGCTGGTCAGCTTCCCCTGGTGGTCAGGGCTAACCAGGGTGACCACCAGACGGCTTGAAATGACAGTGAGTAGCTTACAAGGCTCCGCTGTAGGAGATGCAGATGCTCATGGACCACCTCCTCTGGGGAGACCAGCCACCATGCCGCCCTGTTCTGGGGACACTGGAACAAACCCCCAGAGAAGTCCCTATGTGAAGGGGCTGGGGCTCACCTGCCAATAGCCAGCCAGCTAGTTGTGGGTGGCTGGAGGGGCGGGGCATGGACCAGAAGCTGGGCCTGCTGATGGCCGCATCTCCAAAAGACCCAAGCCAGAAGCACCCAGCTGGGCTGTTCCCAATTCCTGCACTACAGGACGTGGTGGAGGAGCTAAAGCTTCAAGTTAACAGACTCTACCAAGTCAAGGATGCACACCAGAATGAGAAAGAAGGAGAAAGAACGTAAGACAACAAGAACGTAGACAAGGTGAAGCTCAAAGACTAAGAGGCGAAACAGAACACTGAATGTGAACCAGTCATGACCAGCCACCACAAGCTACTGTCCTTCCAGGTGAAGACGCCCCTTTCAAGTCAAGAACAAGTCAAAGGCCAGGGAATTCCCTGGTGGTCCAGTGGTCAGGACTCTACGCTTTCATTGCTGAGGGCCGGGGTTCAACCTCCAGTCAGGAAACCAAGATCCCACAAGTTGTGCGGTATAGCCAAAAACAAAAAACAACAACAAGCCAAAGGTGTCCACCATCAGCACTTTTGTTGCTACACTTTATTGCAAAAATGGTAATAAAAGGATCAAGATTATACAGAAAGAATGTTATTCTTTAGGGATGAAGAGGTTGTATACATTCAAGCAACATGAGAATTCAGCAGTGTTGCTGGATTTAAGATCAACAAATAAAAATCAACTTCATTTCTATACACCAGCAAAAAAATTAAAATGTAATCTTAAAAATAGACCATTTGTTACAACTTTTAAAAATATAATGCACCTAGAACTAAATCTAACGAGGATATGCAACCAGAAAACATTAGTGGAAGCTATTTAAAGAGAGAGACCTACATAAATGGAGAGACTATCTGATCACAGTTTTAAAAAGCTCTTCATAGAGACATGGTTCTCACCAACACCCACTACCTCAACTACATTTACATCAAAATCCCCAATCAGTTCTCTGAAACTTGATAAGCTGATTCTGAATCATATCTGAAATAAGCCCAAAATAGTCAAGGCTCTCCTCAAAGAAGAATGAGGCAGAAGGCCTGACCTAGCTAGACCTCAAGAATTATTATAGGGCTTCCCTGGTGGCACAGTGAATAAGAATCCGCCTGTCAAGGCAGGGGGCATGGGTTCCACCCCTGGGTCAGGAAGATTCCACATGCTGCAGAGCAACTAAGCCCCTGGGCCACAACTACTGAACCCGAGCACTAAAGCCCTGCTCCACAACAAGAGTAGCCACTGCAATGAGAAGCCTACACAACCACAAAGAGCAGTCCCTGCTCGCTGCAACTCGAGAAAGTCTGCATGGTGATGAAGACACAATGCAAGCAAAAATAGTAAAAAAAAAATAATAATAATTTTTAAAAATAGAAGTATTATATAAAAAAAGAATTACTATAAAACTATAACAATCAACAGAGTGTAGTATTGGTACAAACCGACCTACAAAACAATAAAGGTCCCAGAAAGAGCTGTGCGTATCAGAAAACCTAATATCTGAGTTGACACTGGGCATCACTGAGGAAGGATGGCCATTTCAAGTAGCACTGGGACAATCTCTAATCCATTTGGGGGGGAAAAAAAAGAAACTGCACTCTTATTTCACACTAGAGACAAAATCAATTTGTGGTGAATGAAAAGACATCAGTATGAGAGCAAAAGAATTTTAGACAAGATGGAAAGATCCTTTTGATCTTGAGATTAAAGAAAGTTTTTTTAATCAACACTGACAAACTCAACTGCACTAAGATTAAGAACATTCATTTCTCAAAAGGCATCATAAAAAGAATGAACATCCACCCCAAACCAACTGGAAAAAGGTCACCACAACAAATGTCACTGACAAGGAAATGTGTCCAGAACATGTGAAGAACACCCACCGTCAGTACAGGAAAGAACATGCAAAACCAAGCAGGTAAAGACAGTGGTAAGAAGACACTGCACTTTGTGGGCAATGCTCCCCCACCACAGGCTGACAAGAACAGGTGCTCCTGAGATGTGGGGCCTGAGACAACTGCTCTAACTGTGACGGGACACCACCTCATGTGTGCACGCCTTACAAGCCGACCCCTCTGCTCCAAGCAGACGTTCCCGCACGTGCGCACAGGAAACACTAGAGTGATGCACACAGCACCGTCTATCAGGAAAATGCAGGGGAACCACCAACACCCCCACCAAGAGTACAACTGACAACCCGGGACATGGACATACACACTACACTTCAGCAGTGAGAATTAATGAATTTATAGCAACACACGATCACCGGGGACAAAAATCGGGACGAGAACTGAGAAAAGCAAGCGGATGAGCCTCCAGAGTGGTTCTGTGTATACAAAGTTTCAACATACAAGCAAAGCTGTCCATAGTTCAGGATTTACATGCCTGGAAGGGGACAAACTGAGCCAAAGAAATGCTAAAGGCAAGTTTCAGGCTGGCAGTCACCTCTGGGAAAAGGTTACCCCACACTCTATCCAACCCTGGGCAGTGTAGTTGGCTACAATAAAAGCAATATATTTGGGCTTTTACACCTTACTCTTAAACATTTATAATGTCTCAAATGCTCAATAGAGCACTTTCAGTAAGCTGCTCAGAGCCTACCTTCTTTGGCTAGATTAGACAGCTCTGTTTGGTGATCCACGACCCCTTCATTCGCTTCTTCCTCCTCAATCGTCTCCTCCTCATCTTCCACTGAAACGTCATCACCAAACGTCAGAGAGAGAGACTCCATGTCAGCTTCTCTTCAGCTATTCATGAAACACTACAAGGCTCCAGAACTGTTTCACACAGCTATTACAGAAGTTAAAACTAAGTTCTAATTTCTCAGGCTGAATCTGGAAATGACAGTATATTAAGTGAGCAAAAAACCAGGGACCATGCTTTACACTTTCTCTTCCATTTCAGGGTGTGAAATAGAGCCTGGTTTTTCATCACATGACAGACCTATTCAGGCCAAAATAGGAAATGACGTGGAACTTCTTGTCCACCTGCAGAGCGCACTACAGAAAAACCCACGAGCGCTTTACATGGCATCACTGTGAATTCACTATCGCCATTTTGGAGGCTCCAGCTGAAAATTCCCGGAGCTCAGCTCCTGTCCTGCACCTCTGCCCCCGAATCCTGGTGGAGAAAAGGCCACCAGCACCCACAGCAGAACTCCACCCACCATCGGGCCACCGCTCCATCTGGACTGAGCCCTCATGACAGCAGGCCTTCTTTCCCACTAACTCCTCAACACTACCACCTCTCCTCCCTACAAACAAAAAGCATGCATGTGTGCGCGTGCACACACACATACACACAGCATCCAACACCCTCCCTCCTTCACAATCCAGCTCCTCACTTCTTCACTGCAAAATCCCCACCATCCACCTAGGAACCTAGCCCCCAACAGCACAAGCCTCTGAACCACTGACTCTTCCAGGTAGGGCCATACTCGACACCCTGGGGGCACTGAGCGAGCTCTCTAGCGGCACTGTCAGAGAGCCCTGCCGACAGCCAAGAGCACCGGGAGGGGGACAGACCTTCGTCATCGGTTAAAGACGTGCTTGCTTTTCTTTTTCTTCCAGATATTCCCGAATCCTGAAACGCGGAACAAAAATTGTTAAGCGTGCGATCTGAAAACACAGAGTGAGAAACCAAAGCAGAAATGCCTAGCAACATGCACCTAGAAGAGCTGGGAGCTGCCATGACAGGTCATCCACACCAGACACAGGAAAGGTGCGGAGGAAGCAGAGCGGGAGGGAGACTAAAGCCATGCCCGCTGTGTTCAGCTGTGTCTCCCCAAACCACCAAAGTAACACCCAGGTGAGCCTAAAGCTATGAAGAACTCGCTTTATGCCCAGGGGAGACTGATTTCATAACGAAAGAGAACATTCCTCATGTCTACGAGTTTCTCCAGACACAAGTAACTCCGCTCTGTCAGGCACTGTATTTCACTCAGACCACTTCCATCCTCTCATGCAGTGACACGACAGTCCCGAACTTACCAGAAAGTTTTCCGGTAGTACATCAAGTCCCTTAGGTCTCAACTCTTTTCCTAAAGAGACAGGTAACATGATTCGTTTTCACTAGGGCTGTGAAACAGGTGACGTTCCTCACACAACCAAGGGCACCTCTGCTGCGCCCCCTCCACGAGTGGAGAGGACAGCAAGGGTGAGGCCCGCCTCCCCTCCAGGAACACAGAGTGGCACAGCGCCAGCCCCACCTCCACACGCGCTCTCGGCTTTCAGCACTGATGCTTCTGCAGAAACCGTCTCCCATCTGGCAAAAGTTTCTATTTCATGATTTGTATGATCTTACAGATCCATGCCTTTCAGCAGGGACCACCTCTTCACCTCAGTTTCCTCATCAATAAAAGAGAGAAACTATCCCCTCCCCTAGCGAAGGCTACCTCCTGGGTGGCCAGTGACCAGGCAGCTACTGTGGAGCAACATGGGAGCAGTGAAACAGCTAGAGAGATGGGGACCCCGACGGGCGAAGCCAGGGGAGTTCACCTCACTGTCCTCAGTTCTGAGAGCCTGACGAAGCTGACCTCCCTGTGGGCATGGACTCATACTAGCAAATCTCAAAAGAACTGAAATGCCAGGATCAGGCTGCTGAAGGAAGGTCTCCCTGGGGAGGCTCCACAGGGGGCCACGATGTCACACGGAGACGATGAGCAGAGAGTCCAAGCAGACACAACCCGCAAAAGGGAAGACTTTTTAAAAAGTAATCATACCTTTCCGGGAAACTTTCTGTAAATTTAAAGCCTTTTTCCTTTTTTCTTCTAATTCTACTTGTAGTTTTATTTCCACAACCTAAACGCAAAGAGTTAAATAAATAAGCATGCTATTAAGGACGTAAATTATAAAAGTTTCGTATTTGAAAACATTAAAACTCGTAGAGCAAAAGCTCAGCTGCCCAACCTCACTTCAGATTACAGCTGACACTTGAACAACACGGGTTTGAGCTGTGCAAGTCACTGGTGCACAGATGTCCTCCAGCGGTACAGCCTACACAACTGCATGCTCGGCGGCTGGCTGAACGTGACAATCGCACGCTCGGTGGCCAGCTCAATGTGACAACCGCACACTCGGCGGCTGGCTAAAAGAGCAGCCGCGAACCCGCGGACACAGGGCAGATGATGAGCTGTATGCAGATTTTCAACTGCACGTGGAGTCAGTGGCCTCACCCCCATGCTGTTCAAACAGAAATGTTCAATTTGGTTCTCTTTCATTATGGTGTGTCAGCTGCATCCTGCCCGAATTCTGTCAGACGGTAAGATGAGAACTGCTACAGAAAGGAAGACAGAGGAGCCATTCTGGACATACGAATCAGTCTTTAGTGACCTGCGTGTGTGTGCTCAGTTGTTCAGTCATGTCTGACTCTTTGCGACCCTTAGACTGTAGCCTGTCAGGCTCCTCTAGCCACTGAAATTTCCAGACAAGAATACTGAAGTCGGTTGCCATTTCCTACTCCAGATCTTCCCGAACCCATGCCTCCTGCATCTCCTGCATTGGCAGGTGGAGTCTTTACCATTATGCCACCTGGGAAGCCTTTTAGTGACCTGCAACCGAGGTCTGTCTGAAGGGCCCCTCACGGAGGCTCACGGACATCACAGAGTGCGTAGATCATGGCCAATGGAGATTCTGATGCACAAAGAGAAACAGGTAGAACCAGGTCTCTTAACGAGCCGACAGCCCAGAGGTGCCACAGTGGTGCAGGGACCCCGCCTTTCTAAATGACACTTGGGGCTCTACCTGTGGGGTTTCTCTAGCACAGAGTCAGGCATGGTTCAGAAGCCCACCTTGTCAACTCTGACACAGTCTATGATTCCAGGACCCCATCAGAATGTCAGAACTTACCTGTTCAATATTTGACCAGAAGTACTCTATTTCTCTAGCAGTCGACGCAGCTATTCGCCTCAATCGGTTCTGTTCTTCTTTCTTCCCCCTTTCCTCCCGAAGCTTCTTCTCTTCATGATGACGAGCTACAGTTCTGACAAGCTAGTGAGTAAAAGTTCAAGAATGGTATGTTGTGCCCTGTGTCATGCCATCAGAAAAAAAGATATGCTACGTTTTCTTAAAATCTTCTCAGCGCATAACTGCATGTAATTCACACAGAGATGCACCCTCACCTGCACGCACAGCACAGAGGAGAAACACCGACTCCAGCAAAAACCACTGCCAATGTGCTGCTTGACTTTGCTACAAGTGTTATTTTACCAAGTACACATATTTTTCTTTAAAATGGAGTATCACACTGTTATGTTCTGAAATACCAAAGAACCTGATTTAAGACCCTTTAGATTCACACCTTCCTGTCATCTTCATGGACTCAGCTTCTCTCTATCAAAACTATGCGGGGAAAGCAAGGGTATTCAGAATTCAGAGGGACGTGGACAGTCTGGCACACAAGACCAATCTGAGTCCTGAAAATATAGGAAATATGAATCTAATCCAGAGGAAGAGACACACAGCAGTGGAGGGAGAAACACCTGGCTTGGAGCTACTCACACGCACACAAGGACAGCTGCTCTGCCCTCTGGGACCTAAGAGCCCTAGAAATCTGCCACCTTCCACACTGTGAGCATCAGCAGTAACACCTCCCAGAGGTTCTCCCCCAGGCTGGGTGCCTGCTTTGGGAACAGAGAGAGGGAAATGAATTCTGACGCAGAAATGGAGAGAAGCTGGATGGGAAGACTAGGCAACACGGAGCAGGCAGCCTGCCAGCAACCCTAAGGCCGGGCACGAGTGCCTGAGCTGCCCTCCAGGCAGCTGGCCTCTTTCCCTTCCTACTCTTAAGCCTGAATCTGGGGGGCTGAAAGCACCCTCATGCCAACTGTCAGGTGAAACTGGCCAGAAAAGAAACTAAATGCCAAGACAGAACTGCAGCAAAGGAGCAAGGTCTGTTCCCAGCAGTCCATGCTGGAGCCCTGAGGACAATCCTCAGAAAGGAATGACAGAGCAGGTACTCTCTAGACAACAGGATGTTCTTCATCCACATCGTGAGTCAAGAAACCCTTTAGAGACTGGAGCTGGGAGACCTGCCATGTACAGCACGTTCCATCCATAACACCTCCCAAGGCTGCCTGAGAACTGCGATTGCCTACGTCCCAAACCTACCTTCTTAGCAGCGGCCACCTTCCACCTCCTCTCCTGGGCGAAGTCCGTGGCCATCCACTGCATCTCCTCCAGCAGGTAGTCCCAGTGTGATTTGGGCCGCGGGGCCTCCTGAAGTTTGGGAAGCCGTCGGAGGGACCACAGGCCTTCCTTCCTTAAATCTGCTATGCGCTGATGGATCTGGTTTTCCTGCAAGGAGCATCCAGCACACAGTTTAGGTGCATGCCACTAATTCACACTGAAGCTACAATCCTGCCCTATCCCACACACATGGGGCAGAGCGCCCAGACCAACACTCATGGCAGAGCACTTAAACGTCCCTGCTTAGTCACCCAACAAACAATAAGCACCAACTAAGTGCAGGCCGCAACCTGCACTGGCCTGGGCAGCCTCCAGCCGGCTCTGAGCTCTCAGTCAGCATCCTTGGTCTTGCCCACTCCCCAACCCAAACTGTAGACACCAGAACAGAAAAGACCTTCTCCACACCAGTCTACCTGCAGCAGGACAGGGCCCGCTGTGCAGCTGTTACCTTGGTTTCTCCTGATCACATACCTCAGTCAGTCAGCCTGACCATCAGAGGCTTCGTTTTAAACTACTGCCCTGTTAGAAAGTAAAATCAAATGCATTCTACCAGCTGGGCTCCACGCTACAATCTTCCCAGGCACTCACCAAGGCTATTTGTTCTGCCAGCTTATCCTGAGAACTGTCCTGGGGCGGCGCGGCATTCTGAGCTGGGCTCTGTGGTTTCGGGGGTGCCGACACGGCTGCCCCTGGGGAGCGGGAGGTGACCGGAGACAGTGACTTGTTGGCTCCCAAGGAGGGTCTATTCACCGGGGAGGCGCGTGCAGGTGAAGGTCCCAGGCCTGAGCCACTAGCAGGGGCAACAGTCGAGGTAGTGGAGGTGGAGGGCGGAGGCCGCAAGCAGGACTGGGTGGGGTCCACGGGTGGTCTGGTTGGTGCCACCGTCTAGCAGGGGAAACAGGGCTCAGTACTGCACCCAGAACCCACAGGCCAGCAGAGAGGCACACACCAATGCCCCCTCTCCAAAGCCACGCAAACCAATCATGAAGCCCATCCGCAGACCACAGTAACAGGCAAACTAAACCATATCCACAGAAAAGAAGTCCTGTTTGTCCACAAAACCACATTAAGGGCTCACTGTAAACTGTGCTTTCACAAAATATCTTATGTAAGCTGCTTTTGTCTTTTTTGTTTTTCCAGCTTTTACTGCTTTTTTCAAATAATTTTTTAGAATTTTTAATTGTATATAGTTCTCCTTAATTGAAAAATACCAAATTCTGAAGGGCAAATACAAATTCTGTGTGATCCTCTTGTGGTAGGCAAGCTGTAAGGTTAGGGGCCCTCCTCAGTCCTGGCCTGAGAGCCAAGCTTGTAAAGCTGAGAACTCACCCCCCTCCCTGGACTGAAGGTGAAGTTAAATTCACACAGGAATTCTATTGGGAGGAAGCAGGGGTGCAGAGAGCAGGGAAGGCAAGTTACTGCCCATCTAAGGAAATATCTTCCACCTCAGTGGTCGGTACACCTTGGCCAGCCACAGACTTTTGGAAAGTTCTACTGGCTACGGCCACACATCTGTGGGCCCCAGGGCTGCTCTCACCTTCCAGGGCAGAGCTGAGTGGCCCAAGAGAAACCACACGGCCCACAAAGCCTGGAATACCGCTATGCTTCCTCTCTGTGGCCTTTCACAGAAGATGTCTGTGGGCCCCTCCCAACCTGGAAGGAACAGAACTGCACGGCTTCTGTAAGAAACTACTCTAAAATCACATCCCACAGCACATGTGGTCAACCAGGGCAGGAAACAAACCCAAGAAAAACATCAGTGTGCATGAAGTTGGTACCAGGATCAACAACCGTGTCCAAAACAGACTGATCTCCACGAAAACCTCCAGCCTGCCTGGGGAGAGGCTCAGCCACCCTGGTGGGAGAAGGGGGGCTCCTTCTCAAGGCACACAGAAGGCTCCATAGCCAATGCCAGGAGCCAGTCACAGCCCCTGCAGCGCTGGCTGGCTGCCCTGGCCAAATTATCCGGCCTCTCTGGCTTCAATCTTCTCATGGCTAATGGGGGCAATAATAAAGACTCTACCACAGCAGGTGCCAGGTGGAGGGAAGCAGGTGATGCCGCACCCCGCACCTGCAAGCAATGAGGGAGAGGCAGCATCACCACATGGGAGAGCAAGCTTCTCCAATCACCAGAATTGAAGCTCCAAACCCAGCGAGGAAGTCTCCTTATTAACCGGTCAGGGGCGGGGTGGTTTTCCCATGCAGCTGACCACATGCAGCTAAGACAAGCCTCTGAAAACACTCCCTCCTGCCCCTTCTGGGGCCCCAGGCCCACGCTTTTTGGCCTCACTGCTCGTCAGGGACCCCACACAGTTCACTGGACACATTTCACAAAGGCGTCTGGGTGAAGTGAATTAGTGGAGGAAACGTGTATTAAGCCTGGAAATCTATGCCGTGCCCACACTTGCAGAACCAGCATCCATGGGGAGGCACCTGGGGACAGAGCCTGGTGGATGGTCAGGAGCTGCAGCGACACATTGTGACCCGGCATATCAGGTGGGACAAGGGCCACGGTGCCCTATACTCAGCTCTCAGTACTGGGAGCAGCAGTAGGAACTGTGTCACTTTCTGACATTTCAATAACAATAACTAGGACTGCAGAACCAAATAAAATGATGTTGCAACTAGTGAATTAACTGCTCCACAGTGGAGAGTGAGCTGCTAAGAGAGAGTGAGTTATCCAGCCACACACTGTCCCATCCAACAAACCACCTGTCTTTTCTTCCCCCTCTAACCTGGGGAACAGCAAGGGCCCGCAGTACCTGTGGCTGGGCTGGGAGTGGAGGGGCCTGCATCTGCGCCTTCCCGGGCATCGGGATGTGGAGGGTGGGTGGCGTGGGCTGCGGGGGAGCTGTGGGGAGTTGGCTGGGCGGGGGTGCGGGGACCGGAGCGTTGGGCGGCTGCGTCTTCACGGGGACTGGGAGCTGGGCCTGGGGCTCCGCCATCTGCGGCTGCGGGGGGAACTGCAGCGCGGGTGGCAGGGGCGCGGCAGGGAGGCCGGCCGGGGGCAGCCTGGTGGGCAGCTGCGGCGGAGGCGTGTGCAGGCTGGCGGCGTTCTGCACCGGGGGCCCAGTGGAGGGGTCGTACTGCTGCTGGCTCTGCTTCTGGCCGGCGAGCTGAGCGGCCTGCGGGGCAGGAGGCATTCCTCCTGCAAGAAAGGGCAGACCCAGCAGCCCTGACTCCGGGGCTCGCTTCCACCTCCCAGCGCTGTCACAGACCCTGCGCTGACAGCACCACACACTCAAAGGGGAAATTTAACTGGCGGGAAACCTGTGTGTATTAGGTCTAACGTGATAAATGAGCACACAAACAAGGAAAGAAAGGCGCTCGGCCTTTGCAAGTTAGCACCAAGCAGAGCAGGCACGGACTAACCGCAGGGTCCCTACCACAGCAGCAAGTCAGAAAATACACAGGAGGGAAAACCGGAGAGAAGCTGAGGACAGTGGGGCGTGCAGCTCCGCTAAGGTGACAAGAGCTTGTCTCCAGTGGTTTCTTCATGCTGTGTTAAGTGGGACTCAGAGGAACGTCCCAGTGGCAAAAACCACCTGGATATGCTACCTGGACTGCACACGTTCAGCCTGGTGCTACTTCCCTAAGCCCTCTCTGCACTCCCTTTTTCTGAACTAGGAGAACTAGTTCTGGCGCTGGGTCTTACCTTGAACTGTCGGCATTAACTGCTGGAGAGGAACTCCTGTATTCACCCCTGGGTGCTGGAAAACTACCCCTTGGTGACCCACTTCAAGTCGAGGTCTCTTAGACTGCTCTAGAATAATTTTCAGAAAAGGTGCAGTTTGATGTAAAAAATAAAACCACAAAAGTAGTAGAAAAAACATGTGTAAGTGATAAAAATCTTTGAACAGAGAGGCCTTTCTATGCATGAACCAAAATGCAGAAGCCATAAAAGGTTGATAAATACAATTTCTTTCTGTTAAAAACTTGTAAATATAAAGAAAAGCATCATAAAAAGGCAAAGGATAAGCGTCAACCTAAGAGACAATATCTGCAACATACATGATGGGCAACATTCAGAAAGCTCTTACAAATTAATATGAAACGGCTCAACAACCAGACAGACAAAACGGGCAAAGAACACAAACAGCTAGCAGAGGGACACATTCACAAATGGTTAAAAATGTGAAGAGATACTACAACCTTACTGAAATGAAAGAAATCCATATCAAAACAAACATTTCATTTTTCATCCATAAGACTGACAAAGATGAAAAGATTGGTCATATTTAATAACATGGCCAAAATTTAAGAGAACCAGAAACTGCTAATGAGGGCAAAAACTGGCCCAATCCTTCTGGAGGGCAACTTAGCATCACTAACCCTTACCTATGCACACACTCTGATCAGTAGTCTCATTCTTGGAGTGGTGCTTTTACAAACATGCACAGACATGTAGGGAAAAAATGTGAACCTAAACGTTCAATCCTGTTTTGATTATAACAGAAAAAAGATAACACTAACAAATGACATTATTCTTTAATGAATAAATGAAACATCCATGCACCGAGTGCAATACTTTGCAGCCATCAAAAAGAATGAGGTCCGTGACTGGGAAATATTATCTAGTCATTTAATATTAAAGGCGTAACAGTGCATATAGGATTGCATTTGAATTTTTTCAGAATGACACACCTGAAGCAATGCTTGTCTGGGAAAATGAACAAATGCAGCCAGCTCTGTGGCTAGGGAATGGAGAAGGAATACCAAACCAGAGGTGAGCTCAAATTACACTCTGCTTAACTGAATCTTTTACACAAAATGTGTATTAAGTTTCTAAGCTGGAGAAAAACTCCAGTTTGAAAAAATTAATGACAATTTGAAAAGGCAGATGGCTTTACACTTGAGGACATGAGCCTATAAATGCACACAGAAAATGAAACTGGAATATACCTATTCAACTAACAAACTTCTAACTTCAGTACACATAAACACACACAGGAATATTTTTTTGAGTTGATTACTACCCAAAGAAAAATTAACTTTCGAAGTAGAAACGAACCAGAACTAAATTCTTTAACGGCCACGCTTCAGAAACAGGTGGCCACTACACTGGAACTCCCAAACTAAGAAGCCAACTGGCTCTGTAGGCCCCTGAGCCTGTGCTCCATGACATACCTGCTGGGGGTCCCGCCTGCTGTCTCTTGAAAGGATCCGTTTCGATCGCACTTCCGGCTCCTGCCACCAGGGTCCCTGCAAGGGCCTGCTGCTGGGGAAAAAAAAAGAAAAACTGAGATTTTCATAATTTAAGTGCATCACAAGAATGAATGTAAACTAAAACTGTCATAATTATCCCAAACACTGACTTCATTCATTTTTGAGAAATGTTATCTACCCAATATATTGTAAAAAATAATTTAAGTTCTAACTTACCTCTGGAGAATAAAAAAGGACTTGCATTCTGGTTTTAAATGGAATTTCAGATCAATGCAAATGCACACAGAATGACAGCAGAAGCTAATGCGGGAAGTCTTAGTCTCGTCCAGGACTACAGCTTCACCTCCCTAATCATTACACTACCTGTCCTCACACAGCCCGCCAAAATCACAAAGCTGAATGATAAGAAGAAAGGTTGAAACTGTCTTCCTACTGGGAAATGGTACTAAAACTCCAATTAATAACAATCTAACTTCAAAATGGTACTGCAATTAGCACCCTACTTGATATATAGCTGTGTGAAATATATATAGGTTATTTAAAATGTTCTAATGAAAAGCTACCAGCAAAGACAGAAACTAGCTGAGTCTGGGCGCCCTACACCTTTGACATCTCTGCACCACCTTGCAGAGATACTGAATGCTAAAAATGAGGTTAACAGTTGCTAATTATTTTTAAATAATTCAACTATATCCACTCTACTTATCAAGACATTTTAAATGCAAGTTCTAGATGTCTGAACAAAGTTAACTGCCTGTGAGAGCAGTTGTTGATCCTTGCCACCTAGGAATGGATACTACACCACCAGGACCAGCCATGCAGCAGGTTTTGCCTCACATGGTGCAGGGGACTCAGTAATGAAAAGGCAAAGTAAGGACTCCATCCCACCCCCATTTACATGTAACAAAGATTGGGGGAGGGAGGAGGAGAGAAAAGAATGATATAAAAAAACAGACAATATGTGAACAGTGGTTATCTTTGGGGACAAGATTACAATTAATTTATAATTTGTGTGTGTGCACTTTTTCTAAATTTTCCAAACGTCTTATGATGAAAATATATTGCTTCTGTAATCAAGAAGAGGGTGTTTTGGTTTTTTTTTCAACAGAAGAAACTGGTACAGGGTTCTGTGTCCAGTAATGGCCAAGAACTTCCCACTGGGGCAAACATTCCAGATAAATATAAACTTTAAAAGAAACATTAAAAATGTGAAAAGGTGGGCAGATATAGGATGGAACTTGCTACTTACACGGAGGAACTGGAACAATCAATAGGAGAGGTTTCTAGGCTTATAACATTTGGCACAAGGCAGGCCTCAGACCCAGAGACAGAGGGCCTCACTGGCTTGAAGACCACTAGGATGGAGAACAGGAGACCACAGCAGAAGTGAGGGGGAATCACCACAGGGGGCAGCTGGAGAGGGGGCCACAAGTTCTCGCCTGATCTCTGGCTGCCTCCTAAACCACACATGTGCCAAGGCTCCAAGCACAGGCCAGCATAACTGCACTGAGATCTCAGGAGACAGGGTTCACCGTCTCAGTTCAATCACGTTAACTAAATGTGAGAGTAAAACCATCAATACTCTTCAGAAGAATGTTAACAGAACTCAGTCTTGCAACCTATTAATCACAACACCCAAAGTCCAATTCAAAATTACTTCAAAACACAAAGAGACAAGAAAACATGAGTCATACTCAGGAAACAATCGATGGACACGAACCCCTAGACAATTCACAAGCTGGGATTAACAGCAGGGATTTCACAGCAGCTTTAATAAGTATGTCCAAGGACATAAAAGAATGTTTTTATGAAGGATGAGAGGAAATCTTCCCAGAAAAAAAAATTATTAAAAAATAGAACCAATCTGAAAAAGAATATATATATCACTTTACACCAGAAACACTGGTGTAAATAAATTAACTTCAGCAAAAAAATAAAAAGAGAACCAAGTAAGAGATTTCAGAACTGAAAAAGTGTCTGAAATTTAAAAAACTCATTGGATAGGCTGAACAGTAGAGTGGGGATACAGAGGTCAATGAAAGGAAAACAGATTTGGACTTCAAGACTCACCACAGGGTGTGGACACCAGGGCAGCACAGTGCTGCTTAAGGATGGATGACAGATTAAAAAAATTGAGCAGAGAGCCCAGAGGGAGACACAGACTTACAAAACCCTGTCAGTTCCTGAAGACTCTAAAGCAACACAAATGGAATGAGAAGTCTTTACAACCAAATGAGCTAGAAGATTGGACATGCATATGAAGAAACTGACAAATTACACTTCATTAAACATAAAAGACTATGTCATCAAAGATACTTCTCTTTGCCTAATTCCTGATAGCCACTGTTTCTTGGTTTTCAGAATGATTTTTAGTTTCATCTTATACGTCTTCATGACTATTTTAATGGGAAAGACACTGCTGTCTTTAAAACACCAATTTGATTTTAAATAACAATCATATATTAGAACTCTTAAAAAAAAAAAAACACTTATGGGGGAGAATAAAAAAGAACAGTTGAAGGAACTGGGGATGTAGCTGACAGAAAAGAAAAGCAGACTCATGTTACTCTGGAGAAAAATATTAAGACCAACAGCTGTATTTAGTGGTTACCAATGGGTAAATTTCTATCCAATTTAAACAACACATGTAACCTGAGTGGCACCATGGGGTCTATAGGGCTGGGTGAAAGAAAAGGACATGGTCAGTGAGATGATGACCTTCCTAAGTGCTTGCAAAAGAAAAGAACTACTTGTAAGTAGACAGGACTTTGCCTCTCAATTCAAGATTCTAAAAAGAAGTCTCCTCAAGGTTATTCTTCAGTAAGGATAAAGGAGAGGAAAGCACAAACAAATCACTCATGCCTTCTTTCTGCAAGTATGTCTATTAAATCAAGTTAAGCTACCACTTTATAACTATAAACTTTTAACTATACACATAAAAACATGAACACATATATAAGAATAAAAATCAATCATGGGGGGATAATTAGAAATTTACGATTAAAGGATACACACTATTGTATATAAAACATAACCAACCAGGACCTACTGTACAGCACAGGGAACTATATTTTTAATGTCTTGTAATAATTTATAATGGAAGAAAATGTAAAAAAAAAGAATATATACATTTATATATACATGTGTATATAATTGAAATCAGTTTATCAACTATTTTTCAATAAATTTTTTCTAAATGGAAAAAAAATCAATAGTTGGGATAAAGTTACAGAACTCTAATTATTATTCATTCCCTTTAACATTATAATCACTGACAAATAATCTCCAATTAGAATTTTTTAAAAATCTAAATAACTGTAATAAAAACCATCTGGGGGAATTCCCTGGCAGTACAGTGGTTATGACTTGTCGCTTTCACTGTCATGGGGCCAGGTTTTCACTGGTCAGGGAACTAAGATTTTGCAAGCTGCGTGGTGCAGACAAAAAGAAAAAATACTACCTCAAAATCTTTGAGAAGCAAACAGAAATTAATATATATATGTAACACGAACAGTTCTGAACTGGGACTTCCCCAAAAGTTACCACAGAATTGAAATAGTGGGATATGAATGTCCACTGAACACTGTTTTTCTCTATATGAAATTTTTCATAATAAAATGCTAAGAAGTATAAAGACTTACAAATTTACAAAGTAATAACACCCATGTACTGATCCTGAGGCTTAATGCCCTGGAAACCTTGAGCACTATGAAGGCATCCCACTATCAAGGCATCCGCCTGATCCATGGGTGAACGTTTCTCCCTAGTGCCAAAACCTACAGGCTGAGCTCCACTCTATGCTGTGTTTGGTTTTGCTTCCTTGTTGTTCAGTCGCTAACTCATGTCTGACTCTTTGGAACCCCATGGACTGCAGCAGGCCAGGCTTCCCTGTCCTTCACTATCTCCCCGAGTTTGCTCAACCTCATGTCCACTGAGTCGGTGAAACTCTCTAACCATCTCATCACCTGCCGTCCCCTTCTCCTTCTGCCTTCAATCTTTCCCAGCATCAGGGTCTCTTCCAATGAGTCAGCTCTTTGCATCAAGTGGCGAAAGTATTGGTGCTTCAGCTTCAGCATCAGGCCTTACAATGAATATTCAGAGTTGATTTCCTTTAGGACTGACTGCTTTGATCTCCTTGCAATCCAAAGGACTCTCAAGAGTTTTCTCCAGCATCACAATTCAAAAGCATCAGTTTTGCAGTGCTCAACCTTCTTTATGGTCCAACTCTCACATCCATACCTGACTACCTGAAAAACCACAGCTCTGACTATACAGATCTTTGTTGGCAAAGTGATGTCTCTACTTTTTAATATACTGTCTAGGTTTTTCATAGCTTTCCTTCCAAGAAGCAAGTGTCTTAATTTCATGGCTGCAGTCACCGTCCACAGTGATTCGGGAACTCAAGAAAATAAAATCTCTCACTGTTTCCACCTCTTCCCCTTCTATTTGCTATGAAGTGATAGGAGCGGATGCCATGATCTTAGTTTTTGAATGCTGAGTTTTAAGCCAGCTTTTTCACTCTCCTTTTTCACCCTCATCAAGAGGCTCTTCACTTTCTGCCACTAGAGTGATATCATCTGCATATCTGAGGTTGTTGATACTTCTCCCAGGAATCTTGACTCCAACTTGTGATTCATCCAGACTGGCTGGCATTTTGCATGATGTACATGATGTACTGCGTATATAAGTTAAATAAGCAAGGTGACAATATACAGCCTTGACATACTCCTTTCCCAATTTTGAACCAGTCTGTTGTTTCACGTCCAGTTCCAATTATTGCTTCTTGACCACAGGTCAAGAAGGTTCCCCTGGTAGCTCAATGGTAAAGAATTCACCCACAATACAGGACACCTGAGTTTGATCCCTGGCTTGGGAAGCTACCCTAAAGAAGGGAATGGCTACCCACTCCAGTATTCTCACCTTGAGAATTCCACAGACACAGGAGCCTGGCGGGCTACACAGTCCATGGGGTCACAAAGAGTGGGACATGACTGAGTGACTAACACTTTGCTTCCTAGTGAACTTTAACCGAAGAATGCTGCCCCTGGGCTC